AGTAGCCTCAGAACGTTGAAATTTTGTATATAGGACTGCTATAACATGTAGATGTGCACCTCGTATTTTGGTTGCAATCGGCCGCACCAAACGTATATAAATATATTTATATATATATCCACTCTGTACCCGGCTCAGTGATCTCAGTTTCTTTACTCTTATATGTTTGGTAAATTGTACATTTTTTTCTTTAAAAATGATTGAATTATGTTGTTTTTATCTTCCGGTTAAGGATTTTATGCCTTTAGTAAACCTATGTGCAATATTTTAGAATTATCAGCAATTTTAAAGTTGTTTAATTGCCTCTAAGCCTGTTTTAATGGCGGCCATTGATGTTTACATTTGAAACAGGAGACTAGTGGATTTGTTGCCAATCTAGAGAAACTTAGCTTCGCAACAACAAAGATAACGCATTCATTTATTGTTGCCAATTAAATCATGCTTTATTCTTTCTGGAATTTTTTCGAGGAAATAAGCGTTTGAGATTTGCTTCGTAATTTTTAATACAGATATTTTGAGTTTTTATGTATTTTTGCCTTCTCGCGAAGTAAGAACTAAATTAATTAAATGAGAAATACTCAATCGTCTGTGAAAAATTGTTTCTATTTTGTTTTATTTGCTTAATTTCTTTTATACATAGTTCTAGATTTATTATAGTATTTGAATAGAACATGTGGCAACGATTAGATAATTCTTTAAATGATATACATTTTGTGCATTCTGAGTTATAATATGAATGAAATATAATACTGTTAAGTAAACCTAGCGCCAGAGTGTCGCTATGGTAAACAAAGTGAATTTTTAAAGAATGCATTTATTCTATTGTGGTTTATGCGCTGTCGGCGAAGTAGGTTTAATTCAATCTAATAAGTTAAAATAAAATGCAAGAAAAAATTAATATAATTTAATATTCCGTACAAGGAAGTCATGTGGTGTACACATCAGATTTTTTACAAACATGTTTAAGTAAAATTATTTTCAGATAATGATCTTATTGTGTTATGCTTAAAAAATGTAATACGGTTTTTAAGATTTCATTATGCAAGTTTGCTTCAAAATATTCTGTCAGCTGTTACCTATTCCTTGTACCGACTCTCCAGCTTTTGAACGGTTAAGTCGCAGAACACTGGTAGTGTCTCTGCCAACGGGCGAAGTGCATGGGGATTTTCGTGGACTTTCCCATGGTTTATTAGATTACGGCAAAGCACTTGAGGGCTATCTGCCTTAAGGGAGGGATGCCTTCGTGGAGGACTTTTTAATGGAACTGGCTCGTATGCACGTTACACATGGGGAAAACCACGAAAACACCCATGCAGCCAGCCCGTTCGCGGGATTCGAACCTCGGAACGAACTACCAGTGTTCAGCGACGTTACCGCTCGGCCGCTGGTGGGCCGGACTTTCCCATGTGTAATGTAGGTATTAGCCAAGTTTTTCTTAGAAAGTCCTCTATGAAGGCATGCCTTCCCTTAGACAGATAGCTCTTGCGTGATTTACCATAACAGAGCAAATCAAACCATTCCCTCCACCAATGTAAATTTATTAGAAAGTAAGACTACAAAATTGTTTCTCTTTATTTAAGATATGAAACTGATTTCACTTCATGACATTATTTGATTGCTACAAGATTAAAACAGCTGAACAGTACTACCAAACGAGGTCTCTAGGCAGCATTATTTAAATTTTATTCAACGATTCGGCCAATAGTTTTTGTTTCTTGTGGTAAAAAATACAGTGATGTACAATTCATGGTCGCGACTCTTTTCGGGGTCTTCGGCTTTAGTGTTTGCATTGCTTTTTAGTACATCGGTACGTAATATTTATAGCTACTTGAAATTTCTTATGCTTTAATTGTTAATTATCCCTTCCGCAAATACCCATATGGAGGACAACTTAAGAGGCACTGGCAAATATTTTATTGCACATTATGGGGAAAAAAGTGCTCTTCTGCCAACCCGTTTTATCACTCGGAACAAAACCTGGAGAAAAACCACTCGGGCAGTGGACTGGTAATTATTGAAGAATATCGTACGAAATTATTTACAATATTTTATTTAAATGCCAGAACCTCGTAACTTAATCGATTTTGATTTCCATCATACTGGTTAATTTTTTTCTTTTAGAAAAAAAAAATCTTTTTTTAAAATATTTTTCGGTCTTTTTTAAATAGTAAAGTGATTATTTTCATTTTTAACTTTCTCTTTTGAAACCCATTAAAGAAGGGATGTATATGTTGATGCAGGAACTAATAATTTTTCAATTTTCTTTTTATGTTATTAGTAGTGAGCGAGTAAAATTGCGACAATTTCATCTCAGATTTTATTTCTGGTCGAAATGAACTGTCTACTTTGAGGTTTACGTGGTTTCTTGACTCGCACTATCACGGTTCTTCCAGGGCTTAATTTCTAAAATTAGAAGTGCTGGAGCCCGATGGAAGATAGTCAGGAAAGAGGAACAAGAGTAAATAAATAAATAAAATGATTATTATAATCATTAATAATTTAAAAATTAAGTAGTTAATTATTATCAAATTTATAAATAACTAATTAATATTAACAATTAATATTTATGAATTATTATATACTCAATCAATTAATGATTGATCATTATTTATTTAAATAATTACAGTAATTAAATAATAAAAACTGAATTAAATATAAAGAGTTAAATTAAAATTTAAGAAGCGATTTTTAATATAATTTTATTGCTGCTAAAAATAAAATTTTTGAGATCATACATTTAAATTGAAATTGTTGTTTCGTAATGTTGCTCCGGTACGCTCCGGCTAGAATTATGATTTATCCCACAAACTGAGAAGTCGCGGCACAAGTTAAGCTCTGGGTTCTTCATTTAATATTCTTGGCAATTCCTTCTTCTTAAAGTGCGGATGTTATTCAGTAAAATTCTTCCTACTGTCGTGTATCCAAGTGACTTTAATTACAGTTTTTGAGAGGTGTTTCACTTATAGATTCGTCAGCAAAAGTAGATTTATAGCACTGCGCAAGTCACGATCGCGTGGAGCTTTTCAGTGGGCTCCCAAATCATTGCTTAATTTTTTATGAATAGTAAGCATACTCAGCGTCTTAAGAAGAGGGGTACCAAAACACTTAGATAAGTTGGGCCTTCTGCTTAATAAATCTGACATTGAATGCGATGACTGGTGTCTGACCTATAAGGGGGGGGACGGAGGTATTCTACTGAAAAAGGAAAGCCGCTTTTCATAGTACGGTAGAGGCCCACCAGCGGCCGAGCGGTAAAGTCGCTGAACACTGGTAGTTCGGTCCGAGGTTCGAATCTCAGCGAATGGGCTGGCTGCATGGGCGTTTTCGTGGTTTTCCCCATGTGTAACGTGTATACGAGCCAGTTTCCCTTAGAAAGTCCTCCACGAAGGCATCCCTCCTCTTAGGCAGATAGCCCTAGTGTGCTTTGCCATAATTAAATACACCAAACACCATAGTACGGTAGAATCTCGCAAACTCGACTCCCGATATCTCGACAACATTTTACGAACTTTCTAGGTCAGACGGAGCGAATGTTACATACAGTACATATAATTATTATTTATGCGTATGTCTTTCCTGTCCCGTTCAAGGATTTGAGTCTTCTTTTTCCGTAAGTTTTGCCGTTTTCGCATTGTGCCATTAATTCTTGGAACTGCCTAACAAGTTGTAATAATTGGCAAGACAATTTGTTTCTTTCGAGGATACGAAGAAGTCATGTAGTGGCTGGCTCACATTCCTTTCTATGGCTGCGAAACTTTGGAAGAAATGAAAAAAATGAATACAGTTTTTAGATATACTTTCTAGTGTTAGTGGCCATTGCCTTTACTCTCGAAACTTACGCACCTAGTCACTAAATTTTTAATGTGTACAACTTCTTGATTTTCAGATGTTAGTCGTCAAAATGTCGCCTAAGACATATACAGAGGCCACTTTAACAAAGAAGCACCGCTAAATCAATACTGCTTTCACGATATTTTGTAATTTTACGAATTAAAAAATCAAGATTTAAGTGCATAAGTAAATAATCTCTACGGTGAAAACTGAAATATTTTAAATCATATTTGCTAGTCTCTTTGGCGTTACGAAAATTAAAGGCCCACAAACTGTTGACATCATTGAACTGGTAAAATCATTGAACACACAGTGTTCGATCCGGATTCAAATCCTTGCAAAGGATTGCAAAGAAATTTTCTTGGGTTTTCCCCATGTTTAACATGAATAATTTTCCTTAGAAAACCAAACCCACCAGCTACTGAGCGGCAGCCTGTCTCTAAACGCTGACAGTTCGGTCCGTAGTTCGAATCCCGGCAAACGGGCTGGACGTTTTCACAGTTTCCCCATGTGTAACGTGTACACGAGCCGATTTCTCTTAAAAAGTTCTTTACAAAGGCATCCCTTCCCTTAGGCATATAGCCCTCGAATGCTTTGCCATTACTACTAAATAAACCAAACCTTAGAAAATTCTTCACCAAGGCATCTTCTTTTAGACAGATACTTTCGAGTTCTTTACCATAATCTAATCAATTCGAATTTCATTGTTTAAAGCAGTCACCGCGTTTGATCGTCAACACAGGCAAATTTAATCGCTCAATCAGTGACATGCAAATTTTTTAAATATCACCGAAAGCGTATGCGTTGATCTCTTTTAATAAGAAAGGACTGGTATTACTTTAATTTCCCATATGTTATTCCACATTGATCTTCTGAATGTATGTCAGAATTTTCTCTGGCTGTAAATTAAAAGGTGAACAGTTTTCTCCAAACTGCAAAGTATTCGCAACCACATAAGTTTTTACATTAATTTGTACATGACCCCTGCGAATGAACTTCCGATTTCGGTTTTAGAGCTGACAGCATACTTTTTCCCTCCCAACTTACAGAACTGAACGCTTCTTTTTTAATCCGCGCATTTCCATTGGCGTGCTACTTTATAAAGCGCAATATGTACGTCATTCGACCTTCGCGATGTGAGTAACTTAATTGCATTTGTTTCATTTTAGCGCCTCTTGAGTGAAGTGAAACATCTAGGTGATTCTATTGGGAATCTGTCGTCTCTGTCATCTGGAGTTATTTCCTATTTAAATACTCTGCCGAATGGTTCGGACCCTGCACGACAGATCAGGGATCATCTGCAAAGTGTGCAAGAAAGATACCAGAGGTAATAATCTTAAGAAACACGTTAAGTAACATAATTATTTGCTCTGAAATTAAGTATTCAGTTCAAAATTGAAAAAGGTGCAAATAATAAAATTTAAATGTATTGTTTTAAAAAAAGTCTAAAAAGTATTTTTTTAGAAATAAGTTTATTAAGTGCCTTATTGCCTGTAAAAATGTTGAGAATGTTGTAAAATGTAGATAAGTCTCCTCAAGTAAAGAGGAAAATGCTAATGATATGTTAAAAATAACCATATTTCCTTTATGTTATTATTAAGCAACTTAAAGACTAATAAATATAGTATCTTTTTAAAATGCTTATTAGTTGAATGCCAAGTATATTTTCTTTAGTATGCATGATTATTAATTTTGCTATGATTTCAAGGCTTTTAGATCATGTAGAAAAGAAATTAAAATCAGTGCAGGAAGAAAAAGAGGTGATGAAGGAATTAGAGTCTGAAATTGTTGAGGTTAAGAAGAAAACCCTCAAAATAGAAGAAAAGATTAAAAGTCTTGATTGTTATGTAGATGATCTTGAGACAGTGGACAGAACAATGACAGTAAGTTTGATAGTTAATTTCGAACACGAATAAGGAGTTTTTTTTAATTTAAATAACTTCTCAGTAATTGATGTAAATCAAAACATGCAGTTTTTTAGCTTTTAATGATTTATTCCAGGAGAAAATATTATGAGTTCCTATTTTATTAAATATAATTTTCAATTAAAAAAATATTTAACCATATTAATGGTGTATTAAAGTACGAAAAATGTATAATGTATGCTGTAAATCAGAAAAAAAGATTAATGGAATTATGGTTAAATGTATGAAAAAAATGGGATTTCAATTCACAAAATGTGGATATCTGCACTAATGATTGTAATATATTTTATCATTTCAGGAAGTACGAGAAGAAGTTACTACAGTCACTGAAACTGTGAAATCTGTAACAACTCGTACAAAAGATACTTTTTCGAAGAAGAAAACTAGTATTCCTGAGTCTGTAACCAAGGCATTATCTTCTCTAGAATTGTTATCAGAAGCAACATCTTCAGCATTAGAGAGCAAGGAACGGGATTATAAAAAAGCTCGTGCAATACGTTTAGAATATACAGAGGCATTGGATGCAGTTGTAGCATGGCTTCAAAAAGCCCAAGAACAGTTACAAGATAAATCTAATTTACCAGAAGCAGCACTGGAAGCTATCAATGTAAGATACCTATTTTTGATTTCTTCATTTCCTCATCTGTAATATCAATAATATAAACAAAATAAATGTAACTGCTTTGTAACTAAAACAGTTTAAGATAGAAAAACAATTTTCGTTAGAATATTAAGATTTTTATGATTTGTTATTTGAATATGTCATTTTTAATAATAATTTAAACTAGTTTAAAATAATATTTAATATAATATAAAGTATATATAGAATAGAAATTCTAATAATACTTAGAAATAGAATATAAGAAATTGAACAATTTATTAAAAATGAGATTTGTTATAGAGAAATTGTATACAATATTTAATAAACTGTTTTCTGTCTAATCATTTATGAAATATTTTGTTTTTAAATTCTGACCTCAACTGTTTTATTGTTTCTGAGTATTTGAATGAAACTAAGTTCTGTAATTTTAATATGATTTTTTTTTTAATTTAAACCGTAAATAAAAAAAAGAAGGAGGTTAACGTGTGTTACTGTTCTAAAATGTCTTCTCAGTATATTATGTAAAGTTTCTAACTTATTTTGGAATAAATAAGATGTGACAGAACCAATTCCTACCTTCCAAAGTATCTCACATATATTATAAGCAAGTTCTAAGAAAATTCTAAGTCAATCTTATACTAGTCATGTATTTCATCAGAATCGCATAATATTTTAATAATAATATAAAGTATTATATAGAAATAGAAATTCTATATAATACTTAGAAATAGAATATAAGAAATTCAAGGAACAATTTATTAAAAATGAGATTTGTTTATAAGAAAAATTGTATACAATTATTCTAATAAACTGTTTTTCTGTCTAATCATTTATGAAATATTTTGTTTTTAAATTTCTGACCTCCAACTGTTTTATTTGATTTCTGAGTATATCTGAATTGAAACTAACAAAAGTTCTGTAATTTTAATATGATTTTTTTTTTTAAATTTAAAACCGTAAATAAAAAAAAGAAAGGAGGTTAACTGTGTGTCTTACTGTTCTAAAATGTCTTCTTCATGTATTATTATGTAAAGTTTCTAACTTCATTTTGGAATAAATAAGTATGTGACAGAACCAATTCCTACCTTCCAAAGTATCTCACATATATTATAGAAGCAAGTTCTAAAGAAAATTCTAAAGTCAAATCTTATACTAGTCATGTATTTTCATCAGAAATCGGCATAATAAAAAAGGAATATCAAGGGCTATTGTTATATTTAAAAATTTTATCTTCTCCCACCTGATATTTATTACTTGCTTATCTTCGCAGGTATCTTACTCAGCTGTTTTTAACTTTTAGGTTTTGTTATCTGAAGTACCCGGTGTGAAAGCTAAACTAGAAACTGTACGTAGAAATGGCTTGCTTATTGCTGAAAGTACTACTAATGAAAGTGAAAAACAAGTGATTCAAGGTTCAATAAGATCTTTGGAAGATCAGATGAGTAAAGTAGAATCATGGCTGTATGAAAGGGAAGTTCAAGTTAAAGAAGCTGTAAATGCACTCCGTCAGTTTTTGGAGTCTCATGCCATTATTCAAGCATGGGTCCAAAAAGTTGATTCATATCTTTCCTCTGATTTTGAACTCGTATCTCTAGAAGAATCAAAGCAAAAGCTGTTTGAATTGCAGGTATGATAGAAATGCTTATTGTATTTTAGAGTTACTATGTAGCCTCATTTAACCAAATATATCCTCTTTCTGAGGCTTTATACTTTTTATTTAATACAGTTTTTTAAATAAGAACAAGTATTTTTATTTATCGCTGTTTTTGGGGAATAAAATTACAATATACAGTAGAAAGTCTGAAGTCCGGATATTCAACATCCGGAATCATCTGAAATCTGGACCTCTGGACTACAAGCAATTTTTTCTTGAAATGTATTTTACTTATGCATTTTACCAATGCACATTTGATATTTTGTCACTGTAAGTCCCAATTCTTAATTTTATTTCAGCACTAAATAAAATACCTCCATATTGAAGAAACAATCATTCATTAGCATAAATCTGTATATCAATAATTTGGCTGCATAGCTTCAATTTTGCTTAGCATACATCTCAAACCAAAGCATTCTACATTGAAAGAATGTTGATTTTATATCTACTGAATAATTAGTATCCCTGATGGCAATATAACAAATCATTATTTATTGTTTTTTTTTTTTTTTTTTTTTTTTTTTTTTTTGCTTTCATCACCACAAAACTATCAGGATATGGCAGAAATGACTCATGTAGGGAAGTGTAAAAATTTTTTTTTAAACTATTAGTAATTGTGTACCAAAGAGCATGGTAACTTTTTATTTTGACATTAGTTTTGATGATGATTACAGACTTCAGCTAACTGTGCTGCAAAGCACTGAATGTGTTGCTGAGGAGAAATTTAACAGAAATTTCTTTCTATATGCAAAAAATATATTTAGATTTTGTAAATGATACACATAGGTTAAACGACTATATTTAATGCTGTTTGAACTGAGAATAGCCGATTTGTTATTTAGATAAACATTGGACTGGTGTCAGAGCTGGTGAAGCTGCACTGGGTGGCAGAATTTAAGGAAAACGAAATTTTCAGAATTTAGAGATGTACCAAGCAACAAAATTAAGGGATGATGATTTCTTTAGAATTTAGGGAAGGTACTGTTACGCAAAATTTTTAGAGTTTAGGGTAGGGGCACTTAGTAGCAGAATTTAGGACTAGGAGAGACTATACCAGGTCACAAAATAGCTATTGCCGGCCTTGGATAAGATTTTATATATGTGGAAATTTATATGTTCAGAATTCATGTAAGTCTTAAGCATAACAGGGAAGAGTGAGAAACAGGCATAAGTATGGTAAAATAGCTAAAGTAATATAATTAGCCCAAAGGAGCAATTTGCCCAGAAGGGCTATTAATTTCATTTTGGCATTTTGCGTCGTCTTCTGTAAAATAGTGTTTCACTGTTCAAATTGTTGCCAACAAATATTAGAGCCCTGTATTATATTTAAAGAAATTAAATAATGAAGAATCTGCATGAATGTATGTTTCTAACATTGTGAAAAAATAGCGGTACCTAGGGACATCAAATTTTGAATAATGTAATCCTTCACTCAAATACGGGCATCTGGAAGCCCAAATTTTGAATTTGTAATTTGTTTTATTATCAATTTCATATTTTGTAAAACTTTTAACAAATTTTTGATTAAAAAACTGAATGTTTCAATGTGAGCAGATGCAATACTGTACGGAAAAAAAAAAAAAAAGAAATTTTTTATCTTCAGTGCACAAGACTATGTATCGGAAATTCTAAAGTTCTGCTCTCATTAAATATTTTGTGCTATTGCTGTTGAATTGAATTTTATGTTTTAAGCATGAGGAACATGATATTTAATAAATAAAGGTAACACATGACACATTAAAAAAAGTCCCTTTGGATGTAATAAAAAATCTGAAAACTTTTCTTTTTTTTTTTTTTTTTTTTTTAATAAGACACACTTTTTTTCCTAAATTTGGTCTCAAAAAAAGTTACCTGCGTCTTATACGTGAAGGACACAGGTTAACTTTCAATACTGAATGCTATGTTTAGCCCGGATAAAGGTCTAGATACACATAACTTTTTCTACATCTACATGTGTGTGGCCTTCTAAATAAGGGTACGTCTTATACGCCAGTGCGTCTTATATGCCATCAAATACGGTATTTATTTTTATTTTATTTATTCAGGCTTAACAGCATCAGAGTGCAACAGAGGCAAGACAAAGTTTTCTATATTCACCAATCTTGTGATACATCGTCAACAGTGCATAGCAGACACTAGCTACGCATAGTGAGGATAGCCATGAATTTGAAAGTTTGCAAATATCGCTAATAAAAAATGAAATTTTCAAGTTAATAGAATTTTTTTAGAAGTGGTAATAAACAAATATTATGTAATGTTTCATTGTGATAACAATGCCTAATTATCAGTCATCTAACAGACGGTGAAATCTGTAGTAATGGTTCTAAAGCCAGAAAATATCTTTACTGATAGAGAGGTTGCTAAGATGGAAATCATTTTGATTGTCAATTTAGTAGGAATTCTGGACATGGCAATTACAGGATCTGAATGCTTATGTGTCTAGAATAAAAGAGAAAGTATTCATCCAGAATAATGAAATTTACTTTGAAAAAAATGTTTAATAAAGCAGACAAATAAATACCCCCCTTTTTTTGGAACATTTTTCTTCCCTTAAGGTCATAAATGCTTCATTATTTCATTTCTTAATTTTTGCATGGCATCGTACTAGATTTAAACTGAGAATCTAATATCTGAAAGAATCTCAAATCTGTTATCTCTGAAGTCCGGATCTGTTCATTTCTTGGACTTTGTACTTGTAAGTATAATTATCTTTCAGTAATAATTTTATATTATTTTATTCCAAATTATATGTAATTTAGAATAAAATAATATAAAATAACTACAAAAGTTTGTGAGAAATTTAAAGGTTGCAGTGTACAGGAATAACATAAATTCATGAAGTGTTAGCATTTCTGTGGTTTGAGTTTTTTTGTGTTTGCAGGTTTTTTGCTCATTTTTAAAAGTGCTAATTGCATTGAATTTGCTTATTTATTTTTTTAAATTATAAATTGATTTTTACTGTACATTAGTAAAAAATCCGTGAATTCTAGACCAAAGAAATGAAAGCTTAAACAAGAATTAATGAAATCAGTGTATGATAAATTATAAATACATTTTCTTATGTTGCTACTGCATAAATTTTATGAAAATAATGGCAGGAATTTTTTAAGACCAAGTGTGGCAATTATTTAAGTGATGTGTGCCACATTTAGACTTTTACTGGTATTTCAATCTGTACATTATTAGATAAGTGAGAAAATAAACAGACTGGGGAAAAAAAATTGTGAAGCATCTTCTCTCCCAACTTCACAAAAAAATTCTTTTTTTCTAGTCACCATGATATGCTAACCATACTATACTTCATATAGTTAAAAAAAAAAGTTGTAACTTATATATTCAAAATTATTTATATAAGATAAAAAAAAAATATTTACTAGTTTCAGTAAACTGAATAAATTACCATGATTCATTTTTTTTTTTTTTTTATTATATACTGATTTTGCTTAGTGTTAATGTATTCCCTACCAAATGGAAGTGAATACATCATGAATGGAAGTAAATGTTAATGTATTCACTTCCATTCGGTAGTGAATACATTAACACTAAGCAGTTAGGACATTACTAATTTTTCTTTATCTGTTTACTAATTTTATTTAATCTTATTTTGTATTTATTTACTTTTTTGTTTTCTATGTTATTACTATTTGCTAAGAGGTAAAGTAAAGCTTGGATGAAAAAAACGTTTCTATAAAATGATGCTGGAATTAAAGGGTAATTTTTAAAGGCCTTATTTTTTAGATGAAAACATGAAATATTTACAGAATCATCATTTTCATAGCTCATAAGATGCAAAAAATATTTTATATATTATTGAAATTAATGTAATTTTTTAACCAAAGGGGAAAAAAAAGCTGCGCAAAAAAGGTTAAATAAATGTCCATTCCCCTAAAAACATAAGTTAAAATATAATACAGAGTATGATTTGGCTTGATAAAATCTCAAAATGTGGTATGATTGTTTATGCTCTTACAATGAACTTTGAAAAGATTTTGCAGAAGCAAGACATAGTTATTAACTTTTAGGAGATTGGAAGTTTCAAATCTTTTGATGTAAAGTATCGCACACTTGTTCTGTATATTTAAATGCATGGTGAGATAGGCCAAACATTTTGTCCGGATAATGTCACTCTCCATATGCTTAAAGTTAAGTGTTGCCTAATGTTAGGGATTATTGTTCAATTCATCAACAGTAGCTTTTCATCTTGATATTATATCAGGAGACAAATCAGCTATGACTAAGAGATTCCTCATTAGTCTTTAAGTTTTGTTGTTTTTTACATCATTTCAAATTTAAACTCTTTGTAGAAGTTTCGATTATGCATATTTTGCAATGAAATAAATACTAACTGTGGGCATTCTTATTCAAAACCTTTTGTGCAGCCTATTATATGCAATGATGAGCAGAAGCAGGCAGAACATCAGAATTTCACCATTGGTCATACCTACCACACTAACCGTGCAGATCTGCCCCAATTTTGAAGGAAAACATTTGTGGGGGCAGTCCAATGGTCTCCCATCAACCTCTTGAAAAGATTCTTGGCTTACTGTGTATTTTGTATGTGCTCTTGCTGCGCAGACACTATATGCTTACAAATAGCCCTGCCTTTTCTAGGATTTAAACCTGGGTCCATTAGTATGGGAGTCAGTATAAATGATCACTCTACTGGGCAGAAGTCTATTATTGGGACCAAGTCTTGTTATATGCATCTATGGAGGGGATATTTTGAGACACATGAAATTTTTGGAATACCTCCAGCTGTATCTGTCTTTACCAGCCAGCTAGTATAGAGGACACTCTATACTGGCTGGGTAAATGTTTAGTTGATGTTCAAATATCAGAGAAAGCAGGGATGTTTATAAGCATATAGTGTTCATGTGGTAAAGGAACACTTAAAATATACAATAAATTCTCTTAAGAGATGGGTGGTAGGAGAAGGGAAATGGGTGACCTTATGGTACACCCCTGGGATATTCTCCCTCAAAGTTGGGCTGGAACCTTAACAGTTAGCTAGATTCAGCAATACCTCAATCACCTATGATACTACAGAGATGCTGGCCTAGATTCTACCTGTACCTGCATTTCTCTTGTAGCCAGGTAATATAATGATGCTGACTGTTGTTACAATGAGCTGGGGTTTGAATCCTGAAGAAGGCAGGCTTGTTTGTAAATATTGGCATCTGTGTGGCAAGGGAACACTCAAAATATACGAGGAGCCAAAAGTCCTGTCAAAGGCTTGGTGATAAGGAAAGAGGGGTCGCAGACCCTTGAACCATCCCTATGAGGTGTTCTCCCTCAAAATTAGGGTTGAACAGCATAGTTAGCGCACGAGAAATATATTTGTTTGACAAGTTGTGAAGTTCTGGTATCCCACACACTTCTACCTGTATTTGTAACTCTTCTGCTGCCCTGACTGATATAGAGATTAGTGGTGCTGGCTGCTGTATTGATGGGTCCAGGTTCAAATCCCAAAGAAGTGATAGATTTTGTTAGTGATACTGTCTGTACGGCATGGGGGCAGTTAAAGTGTTAGCGAGCTCGAAGTTCTCTCAGTAGCTTTGTTGGTAGTAGCAAAGGGGTGGGAGGCCCTCTTATTCCTCTGGGATACTGTCCATCAAAACTGGAAATGAGCAGGTATAGTTCCATTGAGTACAGGTATATGAATAAAAGTGATATATAGGTTGTACAGGTATAGTTCCATTGAGTACAATGGAACTATACCTGTACAACCAATAGCGAAATTCTGGTGTCCCATCAACTTGTGCATATATATGTCTTCTATGTTTTCATTAGGCATCGTTTTCAGTCATTTAAATACTTACTTCGTAAAATTAATTTTAGCCTATTATGAATACATTTGTTATTAATTCTATGCTATTAAGAATGCATTTGTTAGCTGTTATGAGAGTTTTGACTCTACTTTTCTTATCTGCTTATTTTCCCTTTTTTCACTCTAGTATTTTTTTTTTTTTTTTTTGCATGTCGTGTTTTGAAAACACATATATCTGTTGTTTGTATGCTTTTCCTATTTTTAATTCATGTATATTGCTTAAATACCAATATATTACTATAATATGTAAATTCTGGTTTGGAAATTACCCCAACTTTAAATGCTTTCATTTTAAAAATAGGTCTTTCTTCATCGATCACAGATTCAATCCTGCTTCGAAACCTCGAACAAGCTGATGCTACAGTCTCCCTGGAAAGGGCCTCAAAAACTGTTTTAATTTTATCCATTGACTGGGCTTTTGTATTACTGGAAGTGCGATTGGTGTCTTTTTCAACTGTACCCCATACAAATTAATCCATCGGGTTAAGGTCTGGGGAGTATGGAGGCCAAACATTTGGACTGGTGAAGTCGTAGAAATTTTCAGACAACCATTTTTGACTTTTCCCAGAGGTGTGGCAAGGGGCCAAATCCTGCTGCCTTCATAGTAGAGGCTGCAACATTCATTACATGTGACAAAGCCAGAATTCCAATGCCAGGGTTCTTCAACACTTGTTCCTGCAGATTTGTGAAGAATTCTGCTGTACAAACGCAATCAGATTGTCTGCTAGGGATCTTTCTTCTTGCTATATCCTCGTAGTCACCATTGCAAGTCTCTAGTTCATGCCTGATTATTTTTACTGTGTTCAGGGAGCATTGGTCAGCAGTCATAATATCCTTATTTTGATGGCTGGCACGAATCATCATGATGCAAGTTATTTTCTTCCATGATTCAGGTGGGTTCCAGTCATCCATCCTTTCTGACATCTTGTATGTGAAGAAGAAGAGCCCAAATTTTTTAAATGACGAGTAGTGTGTGTCAATACCTCCAACCTACGGAAAAATATTATCAATTATAAATATGTCAAATTTATTCCAAACACCCTGTATTTGCGTTTAATTAATTATTTTTAATTTCAGTTTTCTTTGCTAAAATCTGAAAGACAATTTAGATGATTTGAAATAATTGTTCCAGTTAGGAACTTAGCTGTAAATGAATAAAAGTGTTGATTTATTATATTTGATAAAAAATCTGAGAAATGAAGTGTTCTTTTAATGGAAGGCTAAGGTGCAAAGCACATGGGAAAACAGGCACCTAGGCTAAAAGTCTCATCCTGCGTATAACTCATGGAGAAGTGACATGACATTCCTACCATAACATACGATGTGTTGGCAGAGAATTTTTAAAGAATTCTCATATGATGTTAAACACGAGGATTGCATATAAGACATTCAGAGAGGAGGTTTGGCTGCCAAAGACGTATAATGTAGAAGTGAAATTGGGATTTTTGCGAAGTTCTAATCATACTATAGAAATTTTAATGGAACTGAGCATACAGTTCTGCTCTTTGATGGCTATCATGATAGTGAATAGAACAAGAATGATGATGTATGTAAAAAATAGCTGTTCAGATATATAAGTAATGTTCTCCTTTGACATTTTCAGACTTGATTTATTCTTTTGAAATTGGTGTTTGTTCACAAATCAAAATTATTTTTTTGTATCAAAAGTGAACATGAAAGAAAATGTTGTATACTTTTCCATTTGTTTTCTTTCTTTTATAGGCTTTGTCTAAGGAGTCAGTGCAAGTGCAGCAGCATATTAAAAATATGGGTAAGAGACTGGAAAAAATTGGTGATGTGTGCAGTGCTGGAGATCTCTCTGACATGCTTGATAACATTGAACAAGATGAGAGCAATGCTGATAGTAGGCTCCAGGAACAACTGTCTCTCCTCCAAGAAATGGTTGAAGAATGGGAGCAATGTGAGCGAAAAATTAAAGAAGTTGCTGCATGGGTAGAAAAGGCTAAATCTACTCTTGAATCACCTCAGTTCAAAAAGAGAAGTTTAAGGGATCAGCTAACAACAAGAGAGGTTTGTATTCCTTCTTTTTTGCTCTATGTTTACCTTGCTTTTATTTTTCCAAAAAAAAAAAAAAAAAAAAAAAATTGAACTGTTTTTAACGTAATCATTATTTTATAAAAGTTAAGAAATACTTTCTCTTCTTCTGTAGAAAATGATGTCAGACATGTCAGTTCAAAAAACAAAAGTTCTAATGGCTCTTGAAAAGTTGCAAGTGCATTTGAGATCTCAATCTAGTGGTCAACACCAGACCCTAACCCGAGGTCAGAGTGTGCAAGAGGAATTGGAAGCATTACATTCACAAGTTGAAGATCAGTGTGAAATTTTACAAGTATGTGTTGTTCAAGAGGATCAGTATCAGCAAGATTTGCAAACTTTGAAACATGCATCTTCACAAGCAGATCACCAGCTGAAGTTGGCTAGTAGTCCAAGTGTGAATATAGAAGAAAAAGAGAAACTTATGGAGCTTCAGCAGGTTAGTGTGAACTATTTATTTATTAAATGCTGTTTAGCCCCAAATATAAATTAATATTCTATATCAGATGACCTACACTATTTAAAGCATTTTACAGGGAAGAAAAAAGGTTTAGATATAAGATAATTCTACACATATAAACTTGATATGTTGTGCAAGAAAGATGAATTAAATGGATTAGTAATATGCTAAAATAAATTTTCTTGTAACATAAAATAATGAGAAATTATCTTAATAAATTTTACAAATGTTTGGCTGTGCGGAAAATTGAATGGCTTTTAAAAGTGCATTTAAAGATTTTCAAAAGGATATTTTAAGAACATTATCTTATATTTGAGATAGTGTGTTATATATGATCAAATATAGCCTGGTGTCAGTGAATATATTTTTAATGTATTCTAAATGCTGCAATCTCTTTTATTGTCAACATATTACCATAATACATAAATTCTGATTTGGAAATGGCTGCAACTTTAAATGCCTTCATTTTAAAATATGTTCTTTTTCTCTTTTTTTCCCACTAAGTCCGGAATTGAGACATCTGCTATCCAGTATGGTCTAATATCAGGACCTTCAGACCATGAGCAGTTTTTTTAGTGTCTAAGAAATGAGAATATAATTGTGAAATGAAAAGCAGGTGTGTCATGAAAACGATTTTTCTCCTGACTGAAATTCGTGTATGTCATTTTAATGGCACTATATTGATTTACAGATACTTGGATACTTGTATTAAAATTAGCATTCAGCTGCTAATTCTTAACAGCTCTTTATTATTGTATCAGCTGATCCCATTAAGAGGCCTGATGGGTTAAAGATCTGGTAGACTCCTAAGATAATCTGAAACAGAAAAAGGGAGATGCTTCACCTCTGAAAAAAATCACTGCATTACAAAAAGGTGATCTGTTCACAGGGATAAGTTCGGCTGTAGGGAAAGAATGGCATCTGGATTTGAAGGGCATAGCTTCTGGAGAAAGTGCTGGGCACATGATCTGGAGAAGCTACCAAAAGCCTTAGATTATTCTTTAATAAATAACAGCATAAAATTGAGCAAAAATGTGAGGCAATAATGGGGTTAGTCCAACAGTGCTGGGCACATGATCTGGAGAAGCTACCAAAAGCCTTAGATTATTCTTTAATAAATAGCAGCATAAAATTGAGCGAAAATGTGAGGCAATAGTAGGGTTAGTCCAACTTTGTAAGTAAAGTCCAGTTTAAAATAATTACTTATTACTTTCAACACATGGAAAGTCATCAGGTGGTGCTCTTTTTATTAACTGTGCATTTCACTTTTGTTTTCTAAGGAATTGCAATATTGCTTGATGGCATTAGCCATGACCATACTTCCAACCTTTGAATGGTTGTGGAGAACATTTTTGAACATGGAACATTATGGTACTGTGGGCACATAACTGATGAAGTTTTAACCTACTGTCATGAGGCAAGTCATCACCTAAGGTGTCAGTTTTGAGTTGGAAGATCAGACCACTCTTATAAAGGAGAAGAAAATGGCTAAAATGATTTTGTCTGACTCAAAAATAAGTGAAACATCAAAACATACTATTTGTTTGTGGGTTTTGCTCATACATGCTTACTTTTGGTGGCATAGTAGTGGGGAGAAGAAAGAGAATTAGATTCTGAATTTAATTAACATAGCAAGTTATGGTCTTTGTTAAGTGAGTTTCCTAATTTGATACAGCTTATTATTTTTTGTAGTACAGTCAAAAGTTGTTAATTCGGACATCCATAATACGGAATGATCTATAATCCGGACCTCAGAGCTGCAAAACATTCTGCGCATGTGTTACGTTGACGCATGCGTGTAAGACCTTTATGGCTGCGAATATGCATGTGCGCATGTGCATAATACGTTTACGCTTGCGCGTTTGATGTATAACGGACGGTATAAGCTAAGCTAAAATTATCTAATTCAGTTAATGTTGCAGATTGCGTTGTTCCTTAATCTTCGAATTGGATCTGGATTATTATTTTTTGCAGACTGTTAGAGCAATTTTATAAAAGTAAGCTTGAACTTTCGATTATGTCAAATAGAATTTCCGATATTTACTTATATGTAAAGCATCTACAAAGCGAAAGTATGTTTTGAAGTCCATTAACTTTTTTGCTACGGCGCACCTTTGTTTAAGACACTCGTGCAGGATGGAAGAGAATCTAAGGCAGTCACCATACAGGACGGAGGTTTTGCATCGCTAAGCCTAATTTTATAACAAAAATCAGAGAAACAAAAGTTTTGCTTCTACCATCGTAATTTTTGGTATCATTTTAGATTATTACTTGAGCTCTTATATATGTTAAAATTAGCCCTTAAAACATTTTTTTTCTTTATTTTACATGAAAATATACTTAAAAAATTGCTTATCTTCTAAAATAATTTTCGGAAGCGCTATTCAAATTATTCCAAAGTTTTAATTGATAAAATCCATCAATAAAGTTTAAAATTAATAAAAAGAACACAATAAAGACTATTTACAGTAAGAAGTAACAAAATTTAAAATGAAAACGAGTGTGGTAAATCTCGAAGCACAGAGAAGTATCACTTTGTAACTCTTAGAAAAAGTATCACTTTTTAACTCTTTAGAAAATGAATCAGTACTCTCATTTGCATTAGTAAATGGTTCACTAACCATACTAGGGTATTCTTCCTCTGATAAATAGTGCCTTCCCGTCATAATAGACTGGAAGTGAGGCTTTCCTAGAAGGAACGGAAATATATCTGAAGGCAATGCAAAACGTAAAAAACAGTAACCCTAAAAGACAGTACATAGTAGAGGAAAAAAATGGAATAAAAAAAGCAATTTGATATAAATCAGATACGAGAATGTTTTCATTAGCATGCAGCGATTTAAAGAGCCAGCCTCTGTTTACGCTTTCCTTCCGCTCCCCCCCTCACTCTTGAACAGCTGATGAGTAAAATACCAAAGTCAAGTAGAATATATCAAACTCAAGGTCAGGAACCTAAAACTGTGTTCATTTCATAAGTAATGGACACAGGATGCCATCTAGTGGTCTTCAGAAAAACGTTCCACCTTAAAATACGTATACCCATCACCCGTCCTCTGAATGCGATCTTTACTGATAATCCTCTGAATGCGATAAAAAAGATTATCAGTAAAGAATGTCCTCTGAATGCGATAAAGCCGGGCCTGCCCGGCTTTAAGAGACGTTCTTAGGGAATGCGTATATGGGACGCCCATCCTGAAAGGGTTAAACAAAAAGTAGAATTGCTGCAAAAAATGGATAAAGGCATATCCTTCGTTTCTCTAACCATTCTGAAATCTGTTTATCAATTTCACGCTGCTCTGCGGCAGGGGGAGGGGGAAGCGCCGCAGCGCGCAATGAATTGGAAGTTAATCTGTCAGCACTATCCTTATCTTCAGGGCAGATGTTTTTATTTTATTTGGCTTATAATTCCGTACTAAATGTAATATTCATCTCGATGTACTCCGTCTTTGATATGATTTAAATCAAATTCCTCGTCATTATAATTCGCTTCCGATAAAGAAGAAAGTGACTCAGAGGTTATTGAAAACGAAAAAATTTTGATTGACAAATTAGTCGGTATTCTCGACACAGCAATTATAGGACTTGAACAGCGGAACTTTGTAACTGAAGAAGAAATTATGTATGTTTATAGAATTAAAGAGAAAGTATTATCACATAAAACGAAGCAACTTAAACAATTTACATTAAAAGAAATGTTTAATAAAGTAAACAAATAAATATGAAGCTTTTTTTGTGTAAATTTTGATACCCTTTAGATCATAATTGTTCTTTATTTCATAATTATGGTTTCTTTTTTTTAATTTTATAATTTCTGCATGTCATCTTACCAGATTTAAACTGATGATCTATAATCCGGAATCGCTGAAGTCCCGACGAGTCCGGATTAACGACTTTTGACTGTATAATTTTGCAGGCTTTGTAGGATTATTACTTTAATCAACTGTCTTATCAAAATTTTCATTATGATTTTCATTTATATCAAAAAAGAGTTCCTAATTCTGAAGATGCAATAGGATCTCAAAAGCAAAAGCATACTTGTCACTTGACTTCTTTAGCAACCTTGGCACAATTCAGGTTTGAGAAAATATGATTTCAAAGTTAGGCAAATGCAGAACATTATTTTGAGGCCGATTTTAAATGCTACAGAAGGGAAAATTTTCCAGTTAATGGGATTTGTGTAGAAGTACGGAGAAGTTGTAGAGTCCATTGAATGAACTTTTGTCTATATACTGGAGTAGCAGGAAACTGCACAGGAGAAGGGTTAAAGTACCCTTTATTAAATTTTTAAAAATTTACAATGCATCAACTCGATGCTTGATATATATATAAATAAATTGAATTATAACTTCATCACAGGGATAACAGCGTTTATTAGGAGAATGGAAAAGGTAAGCATTCACAATACAGCAGCGATTAACATGACTTAACTGAAGTTCTAAAGTTGGCAGATTGCCCAAAACAAAGATTACATCATTTAATGCTCTAAGAGGTGAACACGAGCTAATAAAGAAAAAAGAAATTGCATTAATCATTGCATCTCGAGACATTTGGATGTATAAAATATACAACAATGCTAACAAACTTCGCCTCTGCTTGGCGGTAACTGAAAGTCAGATAATTGAAACTAAAAGTTGAAATATTAACAAGTGCTAAAACTAGCCTACAGGACTTGGCGAGATCCTGTAACTTAAACCCCCTACTACGCTAGTGGCAGCAAAGCAATGCAATTAAGCCACTTGAATCAGCAATAAGTAAACGTACCTACGGCAGCAATCGCAATTGAAGCCTAAGTCTCTCTTCTCCTACTGAAACGCAGCTTTTTAACTACTTCCTTCAAAGTAGAAAATTTGCATTTCCTTCTGCATGTTAAAACATTTAGCTATTCTGGCACTGACAGTTAAGGGAATGAAGGCTTAATTCAAACTTTAAATTGTTAGTTAAAATAAATATAAATCCCTACAAAGTGATAATAAATGAAAGTAATACAGTAGAAGTCCAGAAATCCGCAAAGCTTGGGACCAGAGGTTGTGCGGATTTTAGGATTTTGCGGATTTCAAGACAGAAAAGATAAATCATAATATTCAGACTAAAAGTGCAAAATAAATAAGGCATATTAGATACATTTAATTAAATTATTATATACATTATTGCAATAACTTATTATATGCATTAAATTATTATTACATATAAAAATTGGTTATATTATTCATTGTATTATATATACATAGTATCGAGGTTTGCCGATTTTGCCTCTTGAAAAGATTTCCGGTTTTGGATTCCGGTGTTAGAATCACTGTTGCTGTAAAATTTCAACAGCTTTTCTTTAGTTTTCCATATATCATACACAATCGTATCTCAATTCCATACTATTCTGCTATAAAATGCACCTGTCTCTATCTTTTGCAGAATATGCACTTTTTGCATTATCGTCAATGCAACCTGTTTACGTTTTTCAACGTTGCAACAAGTAATAAAATCAAGAGTGCATTTCTTAGCTGTCATTGTATTAAAAAAGGGCTGAAATTTAAAATATTCTTAATTCATCCACAAAATATCCAGATAAAAAGAAGGCAGCACTAAATAATCTTGTGAAATAACAAAGCTCAGAAAATACAATGTAAATCATGAACTTGAAAGAAGAGTTGAGTGAATTGTCTGCTTTCTTACCTCGGTGCAGATTAGAGGGGAAAAAAACTTTTATCATGATGTCAATAACTTGGTATTTATTTTCGTTATGACTCATTATTATTTGGTAATTATCACGTCATTATTTGGTAAGTATTTTTTCTTCGATATTTCGTACTCAATGTTGCGGTTTCCAGAACCTATAAACTGAATGTTTATATTTTGAGAGGCAATGCAGATTTCAGGGGGTTGGTGGATTTAAGGTCGCCTGATTTTCGGTATTTGACTGTATAACACAAGTTTTCCATCGCAGCTTTCCAATCAACAATCAACTAATGGATGGTGAAATCTGGCATATGGTTTTAAATCCAAAAAATATCGCTACTGATATTGAAGAACCAAGAGGTTTCTGGCAATGAAAAAGATTTCAGTTGACAATTGAATGGAAATTCTCGACATGGCAGTTACTGGGCTTGAACAGTGAAAATAGAGAAGAAATTTTGTCTGTCTATAAAAGTAAAGAAAGTATTGAAATATCAAACAAAGCAGTTTAAACAACTACATTGAAAGAAGTGTTTAATAATACCAACAAACAAATATTGAGTTTTTTTTTTTTTTTTTTTTTTTTTTTTTGTAAATTTTGATTCACTTAAGGTCACAAATCCTTCATTATTTCATGAACAACTATTTTATATTTTTGATTTTATAATTTCTTCATGGCACCTTACTAGATTTAAACTGATGATCTAAAATCTGGAATCGCCAAAGTCATAATTATTCTGGATCTCAGACTTACAGAATGATTCTGGATCAGTAGTGTATTTAAGATATTTTACTAAAAATTTTTACAAAGCTACATGATTTCAAAACTCGCACTGCTATTGCTGGGTCAATGATAAAGTAAATGCTGAAGCAAGTATGACAAGCATATAATCATCATCTTTTAATTGTACATAGAAGTAAAAAGTCACATAAAACATTTATTGTTAAAACTGGGCAGTTTTCCTTGTATGCATTACTTGTCCCATTGCCTTTTTTAATTTCAGAGATAAAATTATTTGAAATTGGATCATTCTTTTTGAATGATCCTAAATGTTATTAGATTTTTTGAAAATTTAAAGCTTGTGAGTAATCTGAACAATTTTAAAATGTAATTGCCAAGAAATTTATTGGTTTTTTTTTTTTTTTTTTTTTTTTTTTTTTTTTTTTTTTTTTTTAATGGGTTCAGTGCTAATGATTCAAGCCAAAATATTTTGCAAGGAAATGGATTTAAAAATTTTACTGCACATATTTGACAGGTTGGTTAAACAAATTAAAAAACTGTTCATTAATAGCAAAAATTTGTCTCCAGAGCAAATTTGTAATACTGATAAAACTGTCTTTTGCGACAATACATGCCACAAAAGGTATCAATTAATCATTGCATTTCTTTGATTTTAAATAAATCTGAAGTAGATATTAAAGGCCTTAATTTAAAAATGTCTATTACTTGGAACTCATTTAATAAGTAACTATTGAATTTTATTGTACTTGATTAATTAATTTCATTTTTTGTTTGTTTTGAACTAAAATTTCTCCTATAGTAAATGAAAATTATTAACTTAAAATAAAGCAATTAATTGTTATATTTGAAATATTTTTGTGAAGTAATTGGAAATTTTGAATTTTTGATGAACTTACATGAGGAATATCCTTATAAAGGAACTGTAATAATGTCCTTATAGGTGTATCTTTATATACCCTTTATATGTCTTATAGGGGAAATATAATGATATTGTGACTGGTCAGATTTGACTTTTCATATTGCTACATTATGAAATAAGAATTTTTTTCTTCTTTTTTATAAATCATAATGAATTTTAGATTCACAATGAACAAAGTTTTATTTTCTAAGATACTTAAGCATACATACTTAACCATACTTTGTGAAGCTTTGATGTGTTAAAAGCGTTTGTGTATGAATGGAAATTTTAGTTTTGTATGTATAATATCATATATTGAAGATGTTAATCTAAGATTGTGTTATTTTATTAGCTTTCTCTAGAAACTTTGCAGTGTTATTCATAATCACACACCTTCTATGTAAAATTTAGGCATTAAAAGACCAGATTCAGAACTACAACAAGCAAATCTCTATTGTCCAAGATCGCATCAAGATGATTCACCAGACAAGGTCTCCTGATAAAGATCCATATAAAGCACATATTATACCTCTTCCAATGTCAGCTATTCTTCCTCCCCCTCCAAAAATATATATTCCTCCAGAATCACCTATTTTTGGTGAAGTTAAACAATCGTATAAAACAAAAGAGAAATTTGTTAAAAAATCCCATTCTCCAACTTCTACTGATTTAAAACCTAGTTATGCTACAGTAGCCTCTGGTAGAGTGAGTCCTATACTAACTTTTGATGAAAGTAATTTAGTGGAAAAGTCTGTTGTATCTACAGTTACAAAAACACGATCAGCTCCTACAGTTAAATCTTCTCAGTCCTCTTTAGATCAATCTAGAGAAAAATCCAAAAAGCCTGAAACTCCTTTGGTTGAGGAAAAAATTTCTCCTCCAAGCTTTGAAAGGTCTCAGCAGTTTTCTAGTGATAAAAAGGCGGAAAAAGTGCAAAAGCCTCCAGAAAGTTCTGTTACTGTGGATGGAACGTCATGGGCATCTGGATTTCTTTCTAAACCATCTTATGCTGATATATTGTCAGGTCGTATTAGTCCTGTACCTACATCCCCAACGACTGCAGACTATCCAGGGAATAGAGTTGTTACCTCATCATATGAAAAAGAAGTTTTAAGTACTGAGGAAGGAGAGAGTACAACTGAAAAACTTGAATCATCTGCTTTTAAATCTTGCTCATATTCTACTGCATCTTCTGAGCCTGTCATTGAAATGCCAGATTCACCAGATATTTCTAGAACTAAGTTTCATAAACAAAAAGTTCCTACCAGTCCTGTTGGTGGTCATTTTGTACGAGGAGCATCTCCAAAATTTTTTGACCTTAAAACTAGGACTCCTTCACCTTCTGTTAGCTTAAAAGAATTTTCAGAATCACGTGTTTCATCTACATCAGTATCAAAAACTGTGGTATTTTCAGAAGGAGAACGCCATGTGACTCAAACTGAGTCATCTCATAGTCAGATTGAAACCAAATCTTATTGTGCTTCTCCACCAGAATCTCGAAAACTAACGTATGCACAAGTTGCTCGAATAAGTAGTCCTGTAACTGAGGGAAGTAGAAGTGCATCTCCAAGGCCAGGTTCCAGCTCTCGACCACATTCCCAAACATTCCAGAAAAGTGATCATAGTTTTCCATCCAAACCTCCAGATCCAGGCAGTGGTCACTCAAAATCAGATTCCGCTCAAAAGTCTTTTTTAGAGGTTAATTCTGACAATCGAAACCGTCCTAAATTAGATCCTTCATCTAAAGGTAGTGGAAAAAATAATGATTATGAGTCTTTTTTATCCCAAAGTTCTGAACAGGACCAAAAAAACTTGATTAGGCCTCTGCTCAGCCTTGAGGAGGATGTGCCATTTGTAGCACATCTGCTGAGCAGGGGCAGGAACTACCATCATCCTCTTTTTTGTGAGGTTTTAAATATCTCACAGAAAGTTAAGGGAAAGGTACAAGATTGCATGTTTTGCATCTTTGGCTTGTGTAAAGCCAGTTTTGAAGCTTCAGTTAAGGAAGCCCTTTCTCTTTTATCAAACAATCACGATTCTTTTTTTAGTATTAGTCTTTTAGGTCAAACTAAAATAACTTCCAATAATTGCTGCCATGTTGAACACTGGATTTCTTTAAATCCATTTACTGAATCCATATTGATGTGCTTAATATGCGGTTGTTTATGTCCAAAACAATTGCTTAGTAAAGACATTCCTTTTGCATCTTTTTATAGTTATTGGGAATCCTTTGCTTTTTCTCTTTTTAGTATTTTTGGGGCAAGACATGTTACAGTTTTCCATAATCTGCCTTTCAAAAGCAGTGCAAAAGTCTCTTGTCAGAGTTTAAAAGACACATTTTTTGTGGAATCTGATTTGGAATATCTTACAACAAATGACAACCTTTTTTTGTTAAAATCAATCCTTTCAAAAAGTAATCTTGGAAAAATAACTGAATTAAAGTTGCAAAATCTAGTTCCTTATCCTCTCATTTTAATTGATTTTGAAAATTATGTTGTAATTCCTTTCAAAATGGAGCTTAGAAAAGAATCAGAAAATAAAACTGTACCAGTTGTGAAGAATGCTGTGGAATTAGAAGGTAAAATAAACATTTCATTTGAAGATGAACATAAAAATACACTATGTGAGTTATCCAAAAGGAATGGGGAGGAAGAATGCTGCAGTACTGGTGTGAAAATTGTGCATCAAGACAGAACTCATTCTCATTCAAAGGTCTTTTTTTCAGTTGTTAGCCTGCTCCTATATGTTATGCAAGCATTTCATTAGTAATTTATTTGGTATTACTAATCATGAATAGTCATACTAACACATAAGGGTATGGTATTTAATTATATTATTTGCAGTGCCTGTATGTTGTTTTGAAACCATTTTCAAAACTATGCTGAATTTGCTTCTAATAGTTCTTGAATGCTGACTTCTGGTTATTTTATATTGAAAATAACTTATTTAAAATCTGTGATTTTCAAGAAAAATAGTTTAGTTATGTCTTTTTAAATAAGAATATTATGCATGCTCCTTAATACAGCATCTATAACTTCCATTCCCCCCATGTGGTATCTGTATTATTATGTTTGCTACAAGCCACAATTGGTAGTGAAAATTGTGTAAATTGGGAATTATGGTTATTAAAAAAATTATCTTTTGCAGCATGTTTGAACTTCTTGTTTTTCTTATAACAATTTTCTGACTAAAATATTTCACTAACATTCTCTGATTGGCGTGAGTTAGTATGTAATGTTTTGAGTTTGCATGTATAATAATCAGTATATTTATTTGTCTGAAAGTAAATTTTTCCTCAATGTTAACTAAAAATTTGATTAATTTAGAGTAACAAGTGTTTATCCGTAAATAAATGTGATGTTTTTAAAAATATAATGAACCTTTTTTATGACAACCCATCAAGATTTCAGATGATTTTGGTTTTCTTTAAAAGGGGTTTATCTTAGAGAGGTGAAGTTGAATATTGTTTTCAGAAACAGCGGCTGGTTTCAGAGGTTGCCATTTTAGAAAGATAGCTGTTATGGAAAAGCTCGTTATATTTTTAATTGATGCTGAGTAATCAAAGAATTATGACTATCCATAAGGATAATCTGTATGTTATTTTTTATAACAATCATAACTGTTGAACTTGATTTTAAATCATTGAAAAAGATTCTGTTTGAAATTTTGCTTTTTGTCACTCTTATAAGGAAATTCTTAGTAGAAATGGTTAATATTTTTTTGGCTGAATTAAGGAAAAATTGCATTAATATTTCCTGATGTAATAAATCTCAGGAACTTTTCCTGTCAGGCCACTGTAAAAAATGTTTATGTGCTTCTTATGGTGGTTATTTGTTCATCGAAAAGTGAAGAAAAAGTATTATATGGATGCTTTCGTATATTATATCAGTATTTTTCTTTAAAAAATGACACATGCTAAAGTGTAGAAATTTAAGTTTCTATTTTTGCTCACTTACTCAAAAATATATTCATAATGTCATTTAAACTGTTGAATACATGCTGCAAAACAATTTATGCCACATAGCACTGAAACTTCTTATCAGTACACCTGTTAGATGAAAACTTGTAATTTTCTGTTTCATTTTAACATAATCAGTATTTTCTTCTTTTTTAGACTTTCACATTAGCTAATCCTAGTATAACAAACTGAATTCTACTATTGATGTATTCATTTGTATAAAATATCTGATTCTTGTTGGTGAATCACATGAAATCATTTATGCTTGCAGTGTGTCCTAGGGTGTAACAAAATGCAGTGTGATGTACACAGAATTCTTAGCTTTACTTCATATAGCTGGTCAAGTTCATCAGTAATATTCTAATATTTCAAATCTTATTCTGAATGATTGCATATGCAGGGAATCTTTTTATTACAAAAATAACTATCAGCTATATCAAACACAGTTTAATTATCAATCAGCTATATCAAACACAGTTTAATTATCAATCAGCTATATCAAAAAAGTTTAATTATGGAAGTAATATCTTTTCTTTCATTTTACTAACTTGACTCCAGTTTGTTTTTCTTTTTTATTCTCTTATTTTAAAGGTGAAATCAATTGAAAAACAGTGTTCTCAAATTTGAGTCAGACTATTGTTTCTTTTGCATTTAGTCTATAAGACTTATTTGCTGTTAATCATTTTAATTATCTGATAAAATCGAATTGTGTTTATTTTTAATGGGCCACAATTTATTAAAGAAAGAGTTTGTTAAATATTGAAATTGTTTTGTTAAAAATTGAATAATTTCTAAATCTTTGTTGTATTTGTAAAAGATTTCTGAAACAACTTTTATAAATGCCAGTGTTGTCCAATGCATTTTATAATCCTTTTAGTTTTATTAAATGGCTGTTAATTTGAACAATACATTTACTTTCTATTCTGATCGTCTTTTCTATCTGTGTAGTTAACGTTTGTCAAAATTTTTGCATTTTATAAATGGATTTTTTCCCCCTTCCTGCTGTTCAAAATACTTAATTTTTATTAATCTGTAATTCTTAAAATTATTTAAATTGATAAATCCATAAATTTTCAGTTCCTTATATCATGAGGAATTAATTGATTTAAATTTTGGTTCTGGATGACCTGCTGTTTATTGTTTGGAAATGTGGTCATAATTCTTTGATAATTTTCTGTTTCATGACAGATTTTGCAGTAGTCTCTGCAAAATCATAAGAAATGTATCATTTAAGATATTAATAAAATTATATACAGTTATAATTATTTCAACAGAATATTGAAGTGTATGCATTTTATTTGCATTTCTACGGTTATAAAGTTTTTACTGTATTTTTAAATGTGACGTAATTAAAATGTATTGAACTAATAATTGTTCTTCTTTTTCAGAAGTACTTCGTTGATGCTATAAATCAAGAAATTCCAGCTAAAATTTCTGAAGTCCAAGAAATAAATCCGAAGGAACTTCAGTCTGATGTTCCCAGAAGAGTTGAAAAAGTCTGTATGACTTCTAGCACAACAGCTATAGTAAAATCTGTAGAGAATTCTGCTGATACTGAAACTACCAGTAGGACCATATCTTCTGCCTTAAAAGATATTGAAAAGTCTGTAGAGACTTCCGTCTCAAATGGATCTGTCGTTATGACTATATCTTCTAGTTCATCAGCAATTGCAAAATCACTGGAGTCTTCCATTGCTAGTACATCTGCCAGTGCTAGCACAGAAGCAGTTCCAAAATATGTAGTAGCTCTTGTTGCTAATGAATGTATTAGTAAGTCTATGTCTTCTAGTGCAACAGGTTTTGCAAAATCTTCAGAAACTTCTGTAGCTAGTGAATCTATCAGAAAAACTGCCACAAAAACTATGGCAAAATCTATAGAAACTTCTGTTACAAGCGGATCTGTCTGTACAACTATGTCATCTAGCACAACAGCTGTTGCAAAATCCTTAGACACTTCTGTTGCTAGTGAATCTATTAGTAGGATTATGCCTTCATCTTTGAGTGCAACAACAGTTGCAAATTCAATTGTGACTTCTGTCACTGGTGAATCTGTCAATAGGGTTATGTCTTCTAGCACAAAAACTATTGCAAAATCAGTACAGACTTCTGTTGCTAGTAAATCTGTCAGCAGGACTATTAGTGCTTCCCATGGGAATTTAATTCAGGACATAGCTTTAGATAGTCAAATGAATGCTTTGAGTTCAGATGCTCAGATTGAAACTAGTCAGTTGAGGCCCACTGAGAAAACGTCTGATTTAGAAGCTGACTTTCCTTTTGATCAAAATACTAACATATTTGTATCTAAAAACGAATTATCAAAACTGAGCATGGTTCAGCAGGCCACTATGGAATACCCATCTAAGGATGAAAAAGAATCTGTCCGAATTACAGAAGGTGCTGATAATACAAGTTCTGAAAGGAGTTATATGGTTAGAAAGTCATTTCAAACAGTCCAGAGAGAAAAAAAGGTTATTTCAAGATCTCAACACATTAAGTACATTATCAGTAGTTCTGAATCAAAAGAAGGTGATGTAAAAGAAAGATCTGCTCTAGTAACTCTAAAATATGATCAAGATCCTGAATTTTATCAAACTACTCTGCTTGAAAATCTTAATAAAGAAGAGCAGCAGGGTATTTTGAATTCTGATGAGAAACATTTAGAGTTAAAACACTCTGAAGATTCTGATGTAAAAAAGTACATCTGTTTAGAAGGGGATACCAGTTTATTTGCTAATCAGTTTTTAAAAAGTGTAGAGCATAAAAATAGCGATGATGCAAATCTGTCCAAAGCTTCTTTGCAAATCAATCTGGAAGCTGAGGAAGAAAAGTCAAAAAAGAGCATAAAGATACCATGTGATGGACTAATAATACAGGATTCTCCTGATCAGCTTAAAATGGAACATACTTCATTCATATGTGGCAGTAAAGGAGATCATATAAGTCTGAAAGCAAAGGAAGCAGCTACAGAAAAACCAAGAGCATCTACTGATGATCATTGGGTTTCTGTTTCAAGGGATAGCCCATTGCTTCTAAAAGATACACATTTACAAGATGAAAAAACTTATGGTAACATTAGTGAGAAATATAGCATTGATCTTGGAGTAAATTTAAGTGGACTGCAGAGCAGCATGATTGATAAAATAAGTACTAATTCAGGAGAAGCAACTATATGTTCCTCTAATTTTGAAGAGCAAAATGTAATAACTGAAAACCAATTAAAATTGAATAAAAAGAAAAGAATTACCAAAAAGATTTCCAAAAAACAAAAATTATCTTCATTGCAGGGAGAAATATTAAAGGCTACAACTTCCTCTGCATTTCAAATCCAAAGTAATACAGTGCAGGAAAAACACATTGTAATGCCTAATGTGTGTCCTAAAATATCAGGTACAGGACAAGAAGAATGTGTTATATATCCAGATGATATAAATAAACATGGAGAAGGGAAAGTGTCTGTTGAATTATCAAAATTGTCCAATAATGATAAATTCACTACTGAAGATGAAGTTCCAAGTAATATTTTAACCATCAGTTCAAAATTTTCTGCTGGTGAGATTCATGCAAATGCTCCTACTTCAAAAGTTTCTGAAACTTCAAGAACTTGGAGTACAAGAGCAGTGGCATCTGCTGCATCAAATGATGATGATAATAAATCTGAATCTGTTCTTCAGTTTCCTAACAAACAAGCTGTTATAACTCTTACTGCTGTACCTATTGATGAAAAACTACCATTTTTACATTTTGAGAGTGAGTGTGTACTTGCAGAAGTAGGGTTGCCTTTACAAGTCTCATCAGCTGAAATTCTAAGTGAACAGTCTGGATTACCTGTGGAAAATTCTTCAATATATGACAGCAATTTAGAATTTGAAAAGCCTCTTACAGATGAATTTTCTTTTCCTTCAGAATATCAGTATGATAAAATAGTGTCAGAAGTTTCAAAACAACAAATGGAACAAAAATTAGAAAGCTTAAATTTAGAAGATGAATCATTTAATGCTTCTGAGATTTCTATTGAAAAGCCGGTGGGCATGTTAAAACCTGAAATTTTTATGCACCATTTTAAAAAAAATATAAAGTCACCATCTTCTGATATTGTTCCTTTATCTCATTCATGTGGAGAAATAAGTGACACAAACATTGAGTCACTCACATTTAGTAGTACTACTAGTGTTGATGAAACTCATAAGGAAATGTGTATAGATAATTCTACATCAAATATAACTAAGATGTTAGATAAAGACAGTATTGCATCAGAACATGCTCAGAAATGCATTGTAAATAATATTGTACCAGCCGTCGAGTGTATTTCTGGAAGAATAGAAACATCAGAATCTCAAATTAGAAGGAGTTCTTCAGATATTCCTGCTTACACACTAGATGCAGATTATAAAGTATCTTCAGATTTAAATGTGGATTCGGTATTGGAAGCTGAAGGGGATGAATTGCAACAACTGGAGAAGTATATTGAAGGGGACATCCATGTTATGATTGACAGTGAATTGAAAAATGCTAATGATGCAGAATTAAAGAACATTAGTGACTTAAATGTATGTAACATTGAAGAAGGTACAAAGAAAAAACGGAGGAATAAAAAGAAAAAGAAAAGCAGTCGGGAAATTTGTAATGTGAACGTTACAGGAGATGATTATAAACTTAATGTCAGTCAATCATCCGAATCATCTCATAGAGAAGTGGTTGAAAAATACCAGTTTTCAGAAATAGGAAGCAGTGAAGAATTGCAAAATAAATTACCAGAAATACCTGTTTCATATAATAATAAAATTTATTCTCTGAAAAGTTCTGAAGAAAATGCAGAAGAGCTTTCATTTGGCTTATCTTCAGAAAAATATTTAGAAAGTAGTTCTTATTTAACTCAAGAAATTCAGCGCTTCAAGGAAGATGAATATATCAGCTCCAAGGAACCATTAACATCTGTTAAGGCTGCAAACATGTTAAGCAAGAGCAGTGATAACTCAGATTCGTTTGACTTCACATCAAAATCAGAGCCGTGCCAAAAGAGTAACATTAGTAAGAAAGCAAAAAAGAACCGTAAATCAAAAAGTAAAATACAAGATGATTTAAAACCCGGCCAGGCACAAACTGCTGAACCAGTTTATCCAGTTTCAAACCTTAATACAAATCTAGCAATTACTCCTGGTTCAGCTCTTAGCATAAATTATGTATCTGAAAATAAAACAGACTCTACTAATACTATTAAGAAAACTTTGAAGCAGAATAAAAATAATACTATTTCTCAGAAAGTGTCTGAGCAGGATGAAGATAAAAACATGTCTACTAGCGATTTAGAGCATGATATAATTGAAGAAGCATTATTTAAGGATGTTAATGATAAAGCAATTGCAGCTATTTCATCTTCTGATGTTCCAACCAAAGCACATGTTGAAGTGGATGCTGTTGATAAAGAAAGCAGGAATTTATTTCAGAAATTGAGTAATGAAAGCTTATGCTTATCAGACAAGCAGCAATCACCTGTGGAAACTCAGCTTTCTTCAGAAGATACTTTAAATGTAACTTCTACAATTGAAGCAGTAGTTCTTCCAGAAACAAGCAGTAATATTTCTCATCTGTCAAAACCTGAGTCCTGTGAAGATAAAAGTGTCAAGAAGAAAGCAAAGAAGAAAAAGCATAAACAAAAAATGAAACAGGATCATATAACATCTAATCAAATGCAAAACAAAACCACTCGTTCATTGCATCAATTTGATGAGAAAAATCTTTCTATTCCCAGTTTAAGTCCTAGAACAGAACTTTTATTTGAATGTGAACCTTCTAGTGTGTCCACTGATATCAGCAACCAAAGTGAAAATAATAAACTCTCACTTAAAGATTCAGATGTACTGAAAATACAACCATTTGTTCCTTGTAGTACATCTGAAACTATTTTTTCTGTTCCTAATAATTCTTTGAATCGTCTTGTTAAAATGACAGGTATTGGCATCAGTAGTGAAAAAGAGGAAATATCATATGACTTATCAAATGTTAAAAAATCAAGCTCTGTTTCAGATGCCACATTTTTGATAGGAGAAAGCCAGCATGTATTGCAGGATACATCAACTGAAATTTCTGTGAGTGATAACTGTGTAGAAAGAGTGGATACAGTGAATGAAAATGTACCTTGTACACCAGAAACTGTTCAATATAAAGAAACTACTGGCAAAAGAAAGCCAAAGAAGAAAAAAACGAAACATAATCAACATACATCTGATCAAATTCAAAAAGAAGGTTCATCTAATGTAAATGCATTCGGTAAGCCAGATCAAGATTCTATTCATAATGCAGATTTTAATACAGCTAAACATAATGTAATTGATATTGAACCTCTTGAAAAGTCCATTCAAGCTGAAACAGGAAAGGCTTCATTTAAAGATTTTGAAATGAATGTATCTGAAATGTCACCATATACTGTTAGTGATGCCTCAAAAACTATTTTATGTTCTGATATACCTTTGGTAGCATATTCTGAAAAAAGCAGAATTAAAGAAAAACCTGAAGGGTTTGTTAATTTATTTGTGAGGGAAATTTGTGATTCAAGTGCTCAGTATCTGCCAGAAGAAATTCAGCATGGGACGAGAGATATTTCTGGTATCGCTGTAGATAAACCAGATACAACTAGTGACTTATTACCACATGCTTTAGTAATTGAGCCATTTACAGAAAGAACTAGTCATAAAAAGTTAATGAAAAACAAATTGGAAAGCGAAGAGGATCAACAAATTTTTAATCAAACACAAGTTACTTCTAACATAGTTCATGTAAAGTCAGATTATGAAGGAGATCTGGCTAGTTCAGAAATTGTGTCTGAATTTGAAGGTAATTACAGGAAACGTCAGAAAAAACCTATCCAAAAAGAAGAAAAGCTTCCAGTTAGTGATTTGGAGTTGAATATTTCAAAAACACAGCCATCTGTTGAAACCATAACAATGCCTGTAAAACATTCTCTGAAGGAGAATAATAATGAAAAAGGAGGTGAAAAATTATTTTATTCATCTGATAGGGAAAACACATCAAAGTCTGCTTTTCATTTAATACATCCACCTGAAGAAGCTGAGCATGCCTTGTCTGAGGTGATGGTGATGCAATGATATTGCATAGCAGAGATTCAGGTGTATTAGATATAAGTGATAATACTTTATCTGTTGCATCAGTAGTGGAACCTCAGAAAAAACCTATCCAAAAAGAAGAAAAGCTTCCAGTTAGTGATTTGGAGTTGAATATTTCAAAAACACAGCCATCTGTTGAAACCATAACAATGCCTGTAAAACATTCTCTGAAGGAGAATAATAATGAAAAAGGAGGTGAAAAATTATTTTATTCATCTGATAGGGAAAACACATCAAAGTCTGCTTTTCATTTAATACATCCACCTGAAGAAGCTGAGCATGCCTTGTCTGAGGTGTCTGATGCAATGCATATTAGCAGAGATTCAGGTGTATTAGATATAAGTGATAATACTTTATCTGTTGCATCAGTAGTGGAGGAGGGGCATAAAGAAACAAGTAAGGAACATGAATTGCTGGGAGAAACTGATTATTATGTGACTGGATTACATGGTTCATTATCTGCATTTAACAAAACTGTAGATACATCAGACATAAGTAATGACGCTTTTGTTTTTACATCAAGAATGGAAGAAAAGTGTAAAGAAACAAGTGGAAAGCTTTCACTGCTTAGTACATCTGATGTAGTATCTACATTTAACAAAGATGTTGATGCAGTGGATATAAGTAATACTGCCATGTCTGTTACATCAAGAATAAAAAAGGAGCATGAAGATGAAAGTAGAGAATATAAAATGATTGTAGAAACCAAGCATGCTGTAATTGGTGCATTTGATGCAATACCTACAATTAGCAAAGATGTAGCTATATCAGATGTAAGTGACGATACTGTGTCTGTTATGTCAGAAATGAAGAACAGTTATAATGGTAAAAGTGGGGAACATGAATTGTCTGTAGAAATGCATCATGTTTCATTTAGCATGTCTGATGCCATTCCTACATTTAGCAAAGATGTAGCTGCATCAGATCTGAGTAATAATACTGTGTTCACTATATCAAGAATGAAGGAGGAAAAAAACAAAGAACCTGAATTTTGCATAAAAACTGAGCAAGTTCTGATTGGTACATCTGATGCAATATCTACAATTAACAAAGATGTAGATATATTGGATCTAAGTAAGGATACTGTTATGTCAGGAATGAAGGAAGATTATAAATCTGAAAGTGAGAAACGTGAATTACCAGTAGAGATGCATCATATTCCATTTAACACATCTGATGCTATACCTATGTATAGCAAAAATGTAGACACAGTAGAACTAAATAAAGTTGATATGCTTAATACATCAAGAATGGAGAAAGAAGTTAAAGAAAAGAACAAAGAACTGGAATTGCCCAGAGAAACTGAGTATGTTTCAAATGTTACAGCTGATACAATACCTGCATTTAACAAAGATGTAGTTAGGTCAGATGTAAGTAATGTGTTAGTTATCTCAAGACTGAAAGAGGTTGTGGGTAGAAGTGAAGAGAATGACTTATCTGGAGAAGCTCTGCGTGTTCCAAATGATACAATACCTACATTTAATGAAGATATGGATGCTTCAGATATAAGTAATGTAGTTGTGTCTGTTACATCAAGAATAAAGGAGAAGTATAAAGACAAAAGTAATGAATATGAATCGCCTGGAGAACCTGATCATCTTTTAATAGGTGCATCTTATACTATACCTAAATTTGACAAAGATGTAGATGTGTCAAATATAAGTCACGATGTTGTATCTGTTGTCTCAAGTTTGAAGGAGGAGCCTAGAGATGAAAGCAAAGAGCATGTACTGCCTGGAAAATCTGAACATGTTCTGATTGAAACATCTGAAGCCATTGACAAAGATGTAAATTTATCAGATGTAAGTAACGATATTGTATCTGTTACCTCAAGTTTTAAGGAGGAACCTAAAGATGAAAGTGATGTGCATTTATCGCCTGGAGAAAGTGAGCATGTTCTGATTGAAAAATCTGGTACAGTACCTAAATTTAACAAAGAATTAGATGCATCAGATGTAAGTCATGATGCTATGTCTGTTACCTCAAGTTTGAAGGAGGAACCTAAAGATGAAAATGATTTGTATTTATCGCCTGGAGAATCTGAGCATGTTCTGATTGGAAAATCTGGTGCAATATATGCATTTAACAAAGAATTAGATGAATCAGGTGTAAGTAATGATGTTTTGTCTGTTACCTCAAGCTTGAAAAAGAAACCTAAAGATGAAAGCAAAGAAAATGTTCTGATTGAAACATCTAATGCAACTTTTATACTTAACAAAGATGTAGATGCATCAAATGTTAATAATGATGTTGAGTCTGTTACACTGAAAATGGAGAATAAACTGAAAGAAAAACACAAACATGAATTGCTTAGAGAAACTGAACATATTCAAACTGGTGCATCTACATTTAGCAATACAGATATATCAGAAACAAATAATATTTTATCTATTGCATCTACAGCAAAAGAGGAGCATAAAAACAGAAATGATAATGTGTTAGTTATCTCAAGACTGAAAGAGGTTGCGGATAGAAGTGAAGAGAATGACTTATCTGGAGAAGCTCTGCATGTTCCAACTGATACAATACCTACATTTAATGAAGATATGGATGCTTCAGATATAAGTAATGTAGTTGTGTCTGTTACATCAAGAACAAAGGAGGAGTGTAAAGATGAAAGTAAAGAATATGAATTGCCTGGAGAACCTGATCATCTTCTAATAGGTGCATCTGATACTATACCTAAATTTGACAAAGATGTAGATGTGTCAGATATAAGTCACGATGTTGTATCTGTTGTCTCAAGTTTGAAGGAGGAGCCTAGAGACGAAAGCAAAGAGCATGTGCTGCCTGTAAAAACTGAACATGTTCTGATTGAAACATCTGAAGCCATTGACAAAGATGTAAATTTATCAGATGTAAGTAACGATATTGTATCTGTTACCTCAAGTTTTAAGGAGGAACCTAAAGATGAAAGTGATGTGCATTTATTGCCTGAAGAAAGTGAGCATGTTCTGATTGAAAAATCTGGTACAGTACCTAAATTTAACAAAGAATTAGATGTATCAGATGTAAGTCATGATGCTATGTCTGTTACCTCAAGTTTGAAAAAGGAACCTAAAGATGAAAATGATCTTTATTTATCGCCTGGAGAATCTGAGCATGTTTTGATTGGAAAATCTGGTGCAATATCTGCATTTAACAAAGAATTAGATGAATCAGGTGTAAGTAATGATGTTTTGTCTGTTACCTCAAGCTTGAAAAAGAAACCTAAAGATGAAAGTAAAGAAAATGTTCTGATTGAAACATCTAATGCAACTTTTACACTTAACAAAGATGTAGATGTATCAAATGTTAATAATGATGTTGAGTCTGTTACACTGAAAATGGAGAATAAACTGAAAGAAAAACACAAAAATGAATTGCTTAGAGAAACTGAATATATTCAAACTGGTGCATCTACATTTAGCAATACAGATATAAATATTTTATCTATTGCATCTACAGCAAAAGAGGAGCATAAAAACAGAAATGAAGAAAATGAATTGCAAAGTAATCAGTGTACATCTAGTCAACCTCAGAGCAGTGGAAAAGCCTATGTGCAGTCAGAAGTAGCAAAAGATCTGCCTTCCATTCACACTACAAATCTAAGGCTTGTTCCTGAAGCAGATTCTAGTCAATCTCAGAAAATGTATGTTGGAAGCAAAAATAAAGTGTATGGAAAAGTAGAGGCCTGCATGTTAGAAAGAAAATCAGAGATGCCCTTTGATGAGGATTTGCCTGAAGTTCATCAGATTCTTGTGAGTAATAATTCTGAACAGAAAATTAATTTTGAAGAAGATAGAAAGACCTTTAATAATACAAGTAATGAAATTCCTAGTATTTCTGATTCAAAAATTCAGTATCTGCATAAGGAAACTGAACATTCAGTAATGAACATTTCTGGTGTATCTGCATTTGAAAATGCTACAATAGCATCAAGTACAAGTAACTTTACTCAGGTTACTTCAGAGCAGAGATTATATCAAGAAGATGGTGACAAGAACGTAAAGAAATCAAAAAAGAAGAAGCAAGATAAATTGAAAGTTACTGAATTGCAACAAATTAATACTTCTGACCGAGATCAAACTGATGATACAAGTCATAGTATAGAACCTGGATCTGAACACAAAAATCTACAACCTGAAAGGGTTTTTCCTGCTGTGGAATCTTCTAGTTTTCTAGAGGTAAAATATATGTGTCTTGTAAATATCATTCTTTTGGTGTATAATTTGATTATAAAAACAGTAGATAAACATATTGTTTTATAATGATGATGATTATGAAAGGAGTCTTTTTTCTTCATTTTTACTTTACATAATATTTGCAGTTAATCAACTGCAACAACATTTTGTCTAAATTAAAGAATTATAGTTGATTTCATTTTTCATGAAGTATTCCAATCTTCTTTTTCTTTTCTTTCTTTCTTTCTTTTTTTTTTTTTTTTTTTTTTGTGTGTGTGTATGTGATGACAAAGCAGATGATTTCAGTATTTAATCTTTTTTATTACACAAAATCTGGAATGAACTTCTGTATTTTGTAAGCTATTTTAATTTGCAGTATTGAGCTCTACTCCTTTTCAAAAGTTTTGATTGCATGTATTTTTCTGAATCTAAAAAAAAAGTTTTATTAACAATATAAATTTTTATGAAAATATTTCTGTAGTTTAACTCAGACTCACTTTATGTAGTTTAATTTATATATGCAAAAAATTTCTAAAGTGGTATAAATTTTCAAAAAAATATGTCAGTAGTTATTTCTTTGTTTGTGTGTATTTGCAGTGGTATATATATGCATGGGTATAAAGTTAAAATTTCTATTTCCATTTCTTTTTAGAAAAGAATAAAAAATAATGTAAATGTTTTGCTTCTCATTTATATGTAATTTACACGTGGTAATTCAGAACTAGTAAACAAGAAACTGTTGGAATTTTAATATGTTTTAGTATAGCAAGTGATAGTCAAAATGTGTTGGCATTTAAGTTTTGATAAAATGATGCTAAAATAAGCAAATCTATATTTTAATAAAGGCCTCGTAAATTGCAGGCCCACCAGCTAAAGTCACTGAACACTGGTAGTTCGGTCCAAGGTTCAAACCCTGCAAGCGGGCTGGCTGCATGGGTGTTTTCATGTTTTTCCTCATGTGTAACGTGTATATGAGCCAGTTTCCCTTTTGTGTGTATCCCTTTTGTAAGTCTTCCCTCCCCTTAGGCATCCTTCCTCTTAGGCAGATATTGCTTGTGGCTTTGCAGTAATTACATAAATCAAACCAAGCCAAAACCTCATGAATTGTAATTATATTTAATATATAGGTAAATGTGAGTCCACAGGAAAGATGCATTATTTTGACTTACATATTATGCCTAAGCAGAAACGGAATTTTTGGAATATATTTTGTTAAAAATTAAACTTTTAATCCACAATCTGTTTGCATCAATGCAATGATGCAAGCACCGAACTTGTATATGGATAAACTTTTGCAAGTCTGTTATGCGAGTATGTAAACTTTTGCAAGTTTCATCGCAGCTTGTATAGTTTCAGAATCAGAGTGCCTCGTAATGTCAATATTTTTCTTTTTTTCCTGGTGAAGAGAAAATAGCAATATTTAAAATCCACTGTAAAACAAAAAGTAGATTGAGGTTGAATGAAACAAACTTTTTTGCCAAATATTTGCAGTGAACAAGTTTTTTTTTAAGTTAAGATTGCCTTACAAAAAATACCAGCTTCTCCTGGCTTTAGATAATCTGACTTTATCCTAGTAATTATTACTATAAATGGTTCATAATGCTCAAAAAGTTCTATCCAGTGACAATTTTACATTGTGAAGCAGATTTATGAGAAGTGATGCTTTTGAAACTTAAAAAACTGTCATACCATGTGGCTTCAGGAAATGTTTTGGGGAAAAGGGCTATGTTTTGTTTCTGGAAACTTTTCCATGATGCACTCTGATGTTCAGTCATTTATACCTGAAATACCTTAATCAGTAATGATGATTGTCCCTCCAAGTGGCCAAGGATTGCTAAATATTGGTAGTTCAACTGTTTGTGTAGGTGTGCCCATAAATGTTGCCATAGTGGACTTCACTTTTCCAGAAAAACTTCAATCTGCATGAATGTATGTTATGTTTCTCGCTGTGTGAAAAAACAATGATACCTAGAGCTATTAAATTGAGTAATGTTGTCATCTATCCAGACATAGGCACCTGTGAGCCTAAATTTTGAATTTTAAATTTGTTTGTTATCTATTTCATATTTTGTAAAACTTAATTGAACTTTTGATTTAAAAACTCAGTGCTTTCAGAGTGAGTAGATACAACACTGTATTAAAAAAAAAAAAAAAAAAAAAATTTCCAGCATGTGAAACTGTCTATCCAACATTCTAAAGATATGCTGTTTTTATATATTTTGTGGTTTTTCTGTTGAATTGAATTTTATGTGGCATAAGTTCCAAGAATGTGATATTTAATAAATAAAGTAAACACATAAAATGTTAATAATAAAAAGGCAAAAAAAGTCTTGTAAAGCCATTTTAGTAAGAAAACTGAACATTGATATGATGAACTGAGAAAATATAGAGGGAGACAGAAAATGTATGCCAACACTTAACGCTACGTTGGGAATTCTAAGCGTATACTGCTATGCAGAAGCATAGCTAGGGTTTTCAGCGCCCGGGGACAACTGAAGATTTTTCGCCCCTTTCCTGTGTGCCAAAAATAAGAAACATTTCATTCTAAAATTTCATAACATCAGTTTGGCACCCGGGGACAGCTGTCCCTCCTTGCCCCACCCTAGTTACGCCACTGCTGCTATGCTGCTTAAAAAATGTTTGTAAATTTGCTGTTGAATTGTATGTGGCATAAGTATGAAGAACATTAATAAAGCTTAAATAATAAAGGTCAAAAGTCAAAAGAAAACCTCTGACTACTGATATCCTTACTAAATTTCTGTTTTTTTTTGGAAACATATTTTGCAGGTTTGCTTTCAGGCGAAGAAAATTAATACCCACAACGTAAAGAAAAATAATTAAAAATTTTTCAGGTTTTAAATTAGGCTCAAACTGTTGTTTTTTTATTTGCACACATATACATGTTTCAAAAGCATTTGGGCTACACTTTGGGCTGAAAATATTTAAAAACAGCATATGTTTAGAATTTCTGATAGAAAGTCTCACACATTGGAGAAAAAAATGATTTATTGCCTACAGTAATGCCACTGCTCGCTTTGAAATCATTGAGGTTTTTAATCAAAATTTCATTAAAGTTTTAGAAAATATGAAATAGACAATAAAACAAATTCGGGATTCCAGGTGTTCATATTCAGGTGGAGGGCTATGTTATTCAAAATTTGATGGCTCTGAGTACAGTAGAAGTCCGATAATCCGGCACGTTCGGGACCGGCTCGGTGCCGGACTACCAAAAATTCCGGTCTATCGGGCGGTAATTATAAGAACAATTAGGTTAATAATTAAACTAAAAATACAGTATGCAAATACAAAGTTTATTTTACATTTCATATAATGTATGTACACGTACTGTAAAACATATTTCACTTAGATTTAAAAAAGTCACGAATGTTTTTTTGTTTTCTTGACTTTTGGCGTTTAGTATAAAATTTATTTCTTATGATATGGAAATCAATAATTTCTGAAGCACTGTAGCTAGTACTAGCCTCGGCAAAAGAGATAAACTTATTTAGTGATTCTGCAGCTTCTGCCCAGCTGATTTTTTCCTTTTCTTCCGTTTCGGCATCTGAGTCATTTTCTTCAAGATTTTGAGTAGGCTGAGGGTTTACTACAATGTTGATAATGTCCTCATCGGTTAGTTCTTGTTCAACAGGCTCATTCTCGTCGATTAAAAGTCACTCCTCTACCTCATCTTCAGGCAGGTTTTTCAAGGGATTGTCAGTACTTCTAACGACGTCCAAAACTTTGGTCAGAGCGTCTTGATGGTTTTCTTCCTCATCAGTCTGTAGAGTTAGGTCAGATGCAGGGTTTGCAGCTGGCCAAAGTTTTCTCCAGCATTTTTGGAGTGTATTTTTTACCTGGTTCCAAGACTGTGCAATAGCATAGACGGCATCTTTTACTGTAAACGTTTTTTGAAAATCAGTCATGTCACAGTCGGCTACGTTCGGTGGTAGCAGAGTAGCAACAATATTTCCAGAAACTAACTCATCTACTGGCGGATGGGCTTTGCAATTGTCCAAAAGAAGGATGGCTTTAGTATCTTCTGGTAGACCAAGGCTTTTGAAGGATTCCTTGACCTCAGGCACAAAGTGGTGAAAAAACCAGTCTCTAAAGAGGACGGCAGTTATCCACGCATTTGATTGAGCATCGTTTTGGACAGGCAAGTGTGTAACATTCTTAAAAGCCCTGGGTTTTGCAGATTTACCTATCACAAAAGGGGTCACTCAGTGGTTTCCAGACGCATTAGCACATAGCAAAACGGTTAATCTGTCTTTGTTTTTTTTAAAACCCTTGGCTGCTTTTTCTCCTTCCCCAGCTAGTGTAGATGTTGGTAAACATCGCCACAATAGCCCTGTTTCATCAGCATTGTAAATCTGTTCAGGTGTTAAATCATTATCAGCCACGATTTTCTCAAACTCGTCTTTGTATTTTTCTGCAGAGTTTTAGTTTGCTGAGAGGGTTTCTCCAGTTACATCAAGTCTTCGAATTCCATGCCGAAACTTAAAGTTTCTGAGCCAACCATCAGAATAATTACATTCACTTTCAGCAACTCCTAAATCTTGGCCGAATTCTTTGCCTTTTCAACAATCATTGGCCCTGTTACCGGCTTTCCTTCAGAACAAACTGCACTAAACCATTTGAACAATACACTATCTAGCTGTTCCAGTTTTGGTTTTTTTAATGTTTGTCTAGAAGCCAATTTTTCAGTTGTTACCGATTGAGAAGCAAACTTCATTAGTTCATCTTTTTGTTTTTTAATGTCATAAATAGTTGATGAGCCAATATTAAACTCATTCATTAAAACATTTCTATTCTCGCCTTTTTCTAGCCGTTTGATGATTTCTAGTTTCTGATTGAGAGTCAGTTTACGTGTTTTCGTTTCTCTCCTTTTGAACTCGAAGGCTTAGGTTTTGAAAACATGGTCACTGTACAGTTAGAACGAAAATCACATTTTTTATAAACAGTTTCAAAAGTTACATTTACTGCGATGTGAAATGACACAAAACAACAACGCACAAAAAAATGGCGAAGACGCTTCGTGATTGATTAACGGAGCTGCACTGCACCTGAATTTGTTGTGACAGCTGAGACTAGCCGGCCGCTAATTGTTTCCGAACAATACCGAGCGCTTCCGGATGATCTCGAACTATCCCGAAAACTTCCGAATAGCTCTCGAGCGGTTTTATTTGCTTTAAAGACACACTTTTGGAGAAAACCAAAATTTTTACAATTTTCCGGAGCGATGCCGGACTGTTGGATGCCGGACTAATGGACTTCTACTGTACCATTATTTTCTCACAGTGCGAGAAACATACATTCATGCAGATTCTTTATTATTTAGTTTCTTTAAATATAGTACAGGGCAATAATATTTGATGGCAACAATTTGAAAAATGATACAGACTTTTATAGTGATTCAATGCAAAATTCTGCTTTGCATTAGCCTTTCTTGGCTAATGTCATTTGGGCTAATAAGCTATGCCCACAAGTTAAAATTCTTTATCTTGAATGAACACGAAAACTCTCTTTAGTTCAGAAATATGACACCAGATCTGTGTTTGCAAGCAGTTATTTTGTAGATTCCTTGCATAGGCATCAAAGGGAGGAGAGAGTAATAACAAATGCTATTCCTCTTTGGAGCACTTTGGACATCGTGCACCCTCTTTAAACAGGATTGCTCAACCCAGTATATGAATAAGAATAGTTCATTTATTTTTTTTCTTCATTTCATCACCTATTTGTGTATGTATTTCAAAAAAAGAAGTTAAAGAAAAACATTTATTGAAGTAACTAATTCCACCACCTTAATAAAAAAATTAAATCTCTGCACTTAATGGGGTAGACATGATTAGATTAATCTCTACCACCTTTCTTTAATCAACCAGACATTTAAAACTCCTGAATTCTTTCTCACCTTGTAGTGGACCATGGAATCTATATAAAGATGTTTAAGTTTCAAAATTCTTTGTACCCTGGGCACAGTGTGAGAACCACTGCTCTAATATAAAAATTTTATATGATGTTTATTCAAAAATTCAGTTTTAGTAAAGTATGGAAGCCTTTTAGCTTGTCACTTTTCTAGATTGTTATACTTAGAAATGCAAATATGGTTTTCATTGAATGTAAGTGAATAAAAATAATTTAGTATGTATCTGTGGTGGGCTCCCCGAAATGCTTGCTACATGCCACAGATTCACCATCTCTATTCTATGCTGTAAGAAATGTAATTTCTAGTGTTGTATCAATAGTCATTATTAAGCATAGATTTATTGTTTAATTGTGTAATAATTTTTATTCAAACTGAATAATTATAAAAGCAAATTTTGGAATAAAAATGAATTGCTTCATTGGAAAACCAATAAATGGGAAAATTCCCATTGCACTGCAATGAATGGCTGAATTTCCATATATATTTATCAAGACTTGCATATGAAATTTTGTACTGAAATGAATTTGTAGATGTAAATTTTATATTCTTAGGTAAATTACTTTTTCTGTTTTTAAGCAGTTGAAATGCACTATACTTTCAGTATGTTGCACTAAGTTATCATCTCTGTAGTAATATGATTATGTTTGTAGCTTTTTTGTCTATTATATTTATAACAGATATGTGAAGCATATTTTTGTCTTCATTAGTTTTCATTTAAAAGTAATCTGATTTTATACAAGCATATTATTTATGCAGATGCTTGAAACATTTGTTGAAGATCAGCTGAAATCTTTGTCAAACATCAAACATCAGCTCGAGATATTTAACTCTGTTGTTAGTCTTCAAATCACTCAACATGTTTCTGTACATTACATACAGAGCTACTGTACTCAGCTGGAAGTAAGTTATTTATGAAACAAGTTAATAAAAGTGCATTAACATAAATTTTAAAAATTCTGGTAATTATGTTTGTGTGCAATTAAATTGCATTGATATTTGTGTGTGTGTGCATTATATTTATTAATCCTCCATGTACACCTTGATTTTCCTGTTTCATACTTTCCTGTTCTGAAATACAGGATAACTGTTTTTATATTTTCTCCATCTACATTCATTATTATTATCATCAGTTTTTAAAGAATGCTTTAAAAACTGGTTAATTAATAATTAATAATAATTGTTTTTTGTCATTTCAAATTATATATAATATGGTGCACATAACTTCAGCATGCATAAGTTGCAAGTTAAAAAATGCCCAAGATATTTTTATTTTTAGGTGAATTTAATTTTTTGTTCAATTTATTGCAACAATTTTTATAGAAGTTTTGCAATAAAACAGAAAATATAAAATGTGTAAGAAAGAAATATCAGTTTTGCTTTCTATTAAATTACAGAATTATCACAAAGAGAAATATTTAAAATAACAAAATGTTTTAGTTATTTACAAATATTACATATTGTTTATATTGACCTGAGCTAGCACTCTTATTTTTACTCACTAATTTTTATCATTATTGCACAGAGTGTTTTTTAATGTGATAAACTTGGCTCCAAATGTAATCCAGTATGACTCTTCACATCAAATACGAGTTTCTTTGTGTGCTTTATTTCGATTTTTATCTTTCTTGAAGCAACAGCATATTGTCTTCTGAGTTCCTTTTTTATAGGATTTAGTGGTACATGGCTGGCAAAATAAAATGCCTTTTTACTAGACATATGTTAGTCTGCAATCAATGCAGTTTCTACAAGCACATACTAGCATTACTGGAACATTTATGCCAAATTTTGCAGAAATTCTTGACAATGAAATGGACTAAGTACAACCATCAGGCATCAAAATAATGAACATTTTTGCCCCGCATGGAGAAAGAGTGGGTTTTATTTTGAAATCAAGGTAAAAAAATCTTTGCCTTCAATTTTCATGTGAACTATCTTAGTGGACTAATCAAATCGTGGACATATGTGGAGGGTTAAACTATATGCCTTCAAATGTTAGATATTTAAATACGTTTTAAAGTTTCCTTTTCCTATTTAAAGTTTCCTTTTCCTAAGAGAAGACTGATATCTTATTATTTATATAAATTTAATTTTCTAAGAAATTGAAAAAGTAAATTCCTAAGAAATTTCATTTTAATTTTTTTAACCATGTTCTGAAAATTTTTTTACTCAGAACCACCAGGATATTCTGTAAAAGTATTAATTAAAATATTTTCTTTTCTTTAAGTTTTCATCTAAAAGAACAGATGAACTACGTAGTATTATTCTTTTTTTAAAAATTAGTTATTATAAAAATTTATCACAAGTTGTTTCAGGTTACAGCTTTTGAAAAATCAAATATCTTCCAGGCTAATTAGTTATTTATTTTCTTAAATACTGTAGAACTTCTATAAATCATATTATACTTTTTTTACAAGTGAAATTTGCAAAAAAATTAATGCCATCTTTTCTCATTTTTTCCCCTTTTTTTTTTTTTTTTTCAATTTGAAGTATTCAATAAGTGAATTTTCTTGATTAATGATACTAAAACTATTATTTTCTTAAAACATTATTTGCATCTATCTGTTTATAAGAAAAAAAAGTGCTGCTGTCAAATTTGCCGTGCTGTAATTTCTGAAAGTAAGAATTTTGTTTCTTTGCATCCAAAAAAATGGGAATGGATTGCAGGCATCAATATATTTGGTGGTCAGAGATCATGAGAATTCTATTATAGATTTAGATTTGTTTATTGGAATTCATTCTTCCAATTTTAAGTATTTCATTTTATTTTTTATTTTTGAATTAAATGGTTTCTAAGTTTAGTTTTGTTTTGAATTGTTTAGCTTTATTCCTTTGTGTTCATTTGTGTACTATTGGTTTTATAGATGTTACCTATACAAGGAATTTTTTTAAATTTTCATATACATAAAAACTGCTACATAACTCAAAAAATACTGCAGCTGTTAAATTTATGTTTAAGTGCTGCAGTTTAAACATAAATTCTATCTGTCAAATTAATTTGTGAATAGTATTGTAGTATAGATTGAATTAAAGTTTCCAGTTTTGATATATGAGAAATATAAGACATAATGATATTTGTACAATAAACTCTAAATATTTTTAACTGTTAATGTGTAATATTTTTTGCTAAATAAATTTTTTTATGGTAAAATGACTAGCAGGAAAAAAAATTATTTAAACTGAGGTGTGGAAGATCGATATTTTTTTACATTTTTTAAATAATTTTTTTATGTTTTTAAATATTTAATACAAATAAAATAAATAAGAAGAAAATCTTTCAAAGCTGTATTTATTATAGCTTAACATGAAGCATTTCTCAATTGCTTACATAAATTAAAGTAGAATTTTTATATTATATAATTTTTTTTTTCTTTAGTTGAGATTTATATAATAAAATGGGTATTTAGTGAAGTGGAGTTTTGTCTTACTTTAATCTTTTGCAAGCTTTTTAGAAATGGCTTTTTGATCAGAAGTAGAGGGATGGATTTCTTAATTTTATTTCTTTTGTAGTTACTTAGATTATATAGTTTAAAGTATTAAAAAATTACTTTTTGAAGATCCCTTTCATTGCATTTTTTTATATCCATTTAGAAACAACTGCCTATGTTCAGTTTTTTTATATTGTAATGTATGTGAAAATAAACCTTAAAATTAAAATTGCTTTGGGTTATTTTTCAGAATTTTCAAGTGCAGATAGAAACATTTAAAAGTGAAGTTAAAAAGGTTGAAGAATTTTGCAATTTATGTCCTGAACATTATCTTTATGCTGGTACTGAAGAAAGTTTAGTGGTTCATCTGTCTGAGACTGCTTCTGAACTGGAAAAGGTTAATACTATGTTGTCCCAGAAAATAATGAAGACAAAAGGTTTATTAACTAGCAGAGTTGATGATCATTATTTACCAAAAGAGGAAGCTGTAGATTCTACATTGTTTCAAAATAACAGTGAAATATCTGTTTTGGTAAGAAAGTTTTGGAACTCTATGGCTAATTTAAGGGTTGACTCTGTGTGCTTATTTTATGTACTTAAACTGTTAATTTTCTTTTTATGTACAGGCTTGCTTATGTAGTTATATAAATTGAGTTTTCTGTGAAAATGTTGCATTTCAACAGTACTTTAAATAAGCAATTAAAATGAAAAAACAACATTTTGATATTCATACATATATAGGAAAGTGTCACTAAATTTGATTAATACATGTATCATCTTATTTGTGCTAAGCACAATTGTGTAAAATGGCTGTAATAAACAGTTTTAACTAGTCATTTATCAGTTAGCATAAATTAAAAAAAAATTCATGTGAGGTGCTAAAAATGGAGAAATGTAACTAAAGTAAAAAGAAATCAATTGCTTAAATTTTAGTTAAACATTTTATTGAGCTGTATCTCCCTCATCCCCCTCCAAAACGTTTTAATGTGTAAGAGTTTCACTTTTACATATTTTGTCATATCCTCAATTTGTAGACATGATTTTGACAAGACTTTAAAAGTTTTCATTTTATATATCAAAATCAATATCTTAAAAAATCTGCTTAGCATGTTCATGTGTGATTGGACATTAACTCATGTTCTTTTGCAATTGCATTCTTGAATGTTGTTTAATTTTAGGTGTAAAGTAAAATGAGATATTCTTAAATTAGTAGTGAGAATATTTCTTCATCTTAAAACAAAGTGCTCATTTTTCTGCATATAGGCATTTTCTCCAATTTTTATTGAAATTATTGCAGAAAATGAGAGACATAATATTTATTAGAACCTGATGCAAAGTTTTAACAGATCTTCCTAATAAAATATAATATCCTCTAAAGCTAAATTTTAATTCAAAATAAGCAGTTCGTTAACAGTTTATTGAGAAGTCTAGGAAAAAAGGTGGGTATGGAAGAAAAGAAACGTTTTACTCAAAGCAATACTATGCTTTTATGGCTTATTTTAATGAAAATTTTTAGATTGAAAATGAATTTATTGCTGTAGCTTTGACAAATAATTTTGTATAATGTAAAAAAAAATCATTCACATTATTTACAAGGGAATATCTTTTAACTCAGCTGTATTAATTAATTATTCTGTATAGTAATAAAATCACTTAAAAAAGTGTTTTCTCGTAGAAATTCAGTCTATTTGCATTTTCAAATGTTTGAATTTAATTTTGTGTTTTATTTTAAACTGTATTTAGATCAGGCTAAAAGTACTGCTTACCAGTTTTATTAATTAAATTTTAATGGTGATATAAATGTTTCGGATTCATTAATTTATCATTTTGTCTTGGATGTATAAATTTAGTTGTTGTTATAGTCCTTAACTATTCTAGAAAAACAAAAAAGCTTTTTAACTAATCATTAAAGTATTCATAAAGGAAATTTTGATACACACTTTTTATATTTTTAACTATTATAATTACTGTTCCTTTTTAGTTATTAACTTTCTGAGGACAGGGATTTCACTCTTGCAAGATCCTTAAAAAGACTGGGTTTTTCATGATACTTTGATACAGAAGTATTTATACAGGGGGTCTACTGCATTCGCAGTATTTCCCTGTAAACCTGAAGTAATTCCACAATGGGTATGGTGATGAAAAATGCCAGAATAAATCCCATGGAGGGAGCAGTGAGCAGGAGGAAAAAGAAGAAAATAGCCAGCAGTCAGATGTGTCGCCCTCTGGTGGCGGTGATGGAGGCTAAAAGAAATTCAAAGTCCGGAGGTGGAAAGCGGGGATCAGGAGCTGGCGAATCAGGAGGCAGCGCTGGTAGATAGAAGCAAGGCACTTTGAGATGTTCAGGCTGGTCACGTGGGTGGTCACCCTCTCGGAAAATGACCCTAGTCGATGCTGCTTAAGTTAGGTGTACAAATTCAACATATTGGTGTGGGCAGTGAAGGGCCTATTGTAATAATCATCCTCTATGATTTCATAATTCAAAATATTTGAAAAGTCCGCTATGCTATTTTGATTTGCTTTTCTGTAGAAATTTTCATTGAGCTTGTTGATGTAAGTTTTCACATATTCAATTTTTAAGTCGCGGTGCAGGTTTTTATTTCTGATGTAATACGGAGCTCCTGTGATAATCCTGAGAAACGTGTTTTGGATAACTTGCAGCTTTTTAATATCATTCGGTTTGGCATTTGCCCAGACTGGAATTTGCCCTTCATGCCAGACGCGGTCAAAAGCTTTGGCCACATCTAGCATGAGGAAAGCAATACTATGTTTATTTCTGAGAGCCGATCCTATGAATTCTGAGATACGAACCAGTTGATGGGTGGTAGAAAGTCCTTTCCTGAACCCATGTTGTTCTTTTGGGATGAAGTCAAGGTGATTTTGCAGTCGGTTGTAAATAATTCGCTCAAAAATCTTTCCCAGCGTAGACAGGAGACTTATAGGCCGGTAGCTAGTAAGTTTATCAGGTGGTTTTTTTGGGTTTTGGAATTAGGAAGATCGAGGCGTGTTTCCAAACATTCGGAAAATAAGAGTTCGTGAGGCAGGCGTTGTAGATGGATGTTAATTTGCAGATGACACCGTGCGGAAGCTGCTTTAGTTTAGGAGTTTATTTGAAATTTGATCAGGTCCAGGAGCTTTTCTATTACTTGAATTCTTGATAATATTTTTAACTTCACCTGGGGTAGTGAGTTTAATAGCGGTATGTTCCAATGGCGCGCTAAGCCAGTTTTTGACGTGGTCAGTAATGGCGGCAATGCTGGTTTGGTCCGCAGGGAAGTCGTTGGGTGTGAATTGCTGAGTCAGGTGGTCAGCAAAAGCTGCTGCTTTTTCCTCATTGGTGTAGGCAATGTCAGATTGAGTTCTGATAGGAGGAGTGTTGATCGCTGGGTTTTTTCGTTTACGGATGTACTTCCAGAATGAGCCGTCTTCAATATTTAAGTTTTCTATTTTTAAATTCCAAGATTCATTTCGATGCTGCTGGATACTAGATTTAATTTTTCTGGTGAGTCTATTAATTAGTGGTTTTAAGGTAGGATCCCAGGTATGATTGTAAAGTTTGCGGGTTCTGTTCCGTTGCTTGATTAATTCACGGATATGCATGGGTAGGGCGCCGTAATGATAGGAATGCATCTTTTCTGTAGTTGCTAGTGCAAGGAAATCCTGAAGAGAGTTCGTAAAGATTTTTGCAGCCTTCTCGATATCAGTAGTGGTTTTTAGAGGACCCAGGCTTATGGGAGATGTAATTGCGAGGTTGTGAATTAATTTCCAGTCCACAATTTTCTTTTTCTTAGTATCTTCCGGCTTGTTGTATCCCAATCTTGCCATTACGGGGACATGATCTGAGGACAGCTCTTGAACTGCTCTTGGACTGCTCTTGCAAGGGGTATGTTAAAATTTGTGAGATAAAAATCGAGAATATCAGGTCTTTTGCGAGGAGTATTTGGGCGGTACGTAGACTCTTCGGGTGTGTATAGGAAGATGGGATAATTTTCTACATAGTCTCTGATGGTATGACCATTTGCGTTGCTATGATTGCAGCCCCAGTCCACATGTTTTGAATTAAAGTCTCCTCCAATGATTGTGGGAGCTGAGTCTTGTAGGTAAAAATGTAAATCATGCGCTGAGATTCTGTTATCCGGTGGGTTATAGAGTGCACAAATTTTAGTATGTCCGATTTTGGGTAGTACCACATTAACACAGACGATTTCAAATGCTTTTGTATTATCCGCAGATAATAAACCTGAGCAAAGAGTTCTTTTCACATAGATGGCGACACCTCCACCACGGTGTCTAATTCTGTCGCATCGATAGGTGTTGTAATTTGCAATATTGATGTTGTGCTTCGAGTTTGCATGCGTTTCAGTGACAAGGCAGATATCCACTTCATGTCGAATTAAAAAGTCCTGGAATTCAGGTATTTTTTGTGTGATGTTCTGCGCATTCCACAGAGTAATCGTAAGCGGAGAAAAACTTTGATGAGAATTAGTCATGATTTTTCTGGGGAGGCATGACTGAATTTTGCGCTGCAGCAGCGTTGAGCTGTGTAGTTGTGTCCTTCAGGATAGAGATAGCAGCTGTGAGGGTTGCTATCAATGATTTGGCCTCTTCTAGCTTTGCTGAGAGCTCGGCAATTTCAGGTGCTTGCCTGCTTTGAGGTGGCTGAGCACTATTCATGACGACTCTGTCCGAGAATACAACATTTTTTTTCCTTGTGAATATTGCCGGGGCTTTGGGGAAGTAGCTACATCCACGAAATGATGCAGTGTGATTTAAACCACAGTTCGCGCAGGTGGCTGGCTCATCTGATGGTTTGGTGCAAGTTTTGGATTCGTGCCCCTGTCCGCACTTTACACACCGCGGAGGGAGGTGACACTGCGCTTGAGCATGGTGAAAGTTTTGGCAGCGGTAACATTGAGTGGGGCCTCGTCTGCCCCTATAGGTCTCGACTGTGACACGAAGTCTCATCAGGTATTCTAGTTCATGAATGGTTCTGGCTTTGTCGCTTTTAGGCAGGATGACGAGATATAGAGGCATCTTTTGAATTTCTGTGCCACGCTTTCTCGTAAGTTGAACAACCTTATTAATTGTGTACCCTAGGTTCACAAGGGCTTCACCAACCTCTGTTGGAGGAGTATATGAAGGAATGCTACGGATAACAACCTTTAGCATTTTCTCATCCGGCAGCATATGTGTGTAATACTTAATTTCTTTTTTATCCAGTAAGGCGGTGATCTGCCTATGCATATCACTACTGAAAACTTTGATTTCAAAGTCATAGTCACTTTTCATTTTTGCTTTTTTCTTTTTCATTTTTTCTTTTTTCTTTTTCATTTTTGCTTTTCATTTTTGCATTTTTGCTTTTCCTTAGTATATTTTTTCTTTTTCAAGGAGATCATTCAGCTTTTTCCAGGTGATGTTAGTGTCCTGAACCATAATCGGAGGAATTTCCATGTTTCTCTTGAGATATTGGAAACCCTCCGTGTCTGCGGAACCGCTGAGCACTTCTTCCGGAGGTTCCTCATTGGTCGGAAGTACACTGTTGGTTGGGGTAGCAGTTTCATTGGCTGCTGCCTGGGGGTTTGGTGTGTGGATGGCTTCCTGTGGTTTAGGCGTTCCAGAGATGGTTTCCTGAGATTTAGGTGGTTGCATGGCTCCGATGGAAAGAATTTTAGTAGCACTTTCAGATAATTTTGGTGTTTTAGGCTTGGATTTGTTGTTTTTCTTTTTACCCTGTTTGGCAGAAAGGTCGGTTGTTGTGGGGCAGTTGGAGTCTTCCACATCATCCTCTAATGCGGAGAATTTGTTGTGATGCAGGTTTTCAGTAGGTTCCAGATTTTCATTGTTGGGACTGCGTGGTCTCTTAAATCTCGTTTGGGTGAAGTCAGTAGAATCCATTGCCTCAGATTTTGGTGTTTCCTCCGTAAGTGGAGGAAAATCTCTTGGGTTCAGGGTGGATGTTTCCGTGGAGATGAAATTCATCATTTTGGTTAGGATACGGTAGGCAAATTCATCAGCAGGGGTGAGAGTCTCGTTTCTTTTTACGAGATCAGATAATCTGCCGTACTCAGTGACCAGTTGCTGGATGAAAGTAGCCATCTTACAAGTAGGTATCACAATGAGGATAATTTACCAAGATAAATAAATGCACAAATAATTGCAGCGTAACGATCAGACGGCCTACGTAACTGCGTCTGAAAATTGAGAATCAGTAATATCGCACTAAGGACTAAACATGTAATTAGAGACATTGTAGAGCATACCTAAAATGGGAATCAGATTATAGAAATTCTAAGTGGTGCTTCAGAGTTCACTTATGAAATATTTTATAGTAAATAATGACTCGCAAAGAGTTGTTCATATTTATCCTTGCAGAGGAGCTTTTATGTATTTTATTATTTTATGCAAGTTTAATAAAATAATTCTAGGCTAATAATGAAATAAAATTAATTTAAAATGCCATTCTTGCTTTGTAGAATATTTTGCTTCTTGAAAACAGAGATGTACATTTTATTTCCTCAAAATGTATAGAAACTTTCATTTAAGTAATACCATTATGTGATTAAATTTTGTGTAATTTCAAGTTAAAGTTGATATCTTTCTCTTGTAAGAATTATTAATTTCCATACTTCAAAAATTACTCTTTTTTTTTTTTTTTTTTTTTTTTTTTTTTTTTTTTTTTTTTTGCATATAAATCATTCTGTTTATGCTTAGTTTTGTCTCATTTTTCAGACAAAATCACTTCTTCAATCAACATATCTACAAGAAGATCTTTTGATCAATATGCAAAATATTTTACTCTCTGACACTGTGATAGACAAAGGGCAATCATTACTTTTATCAAAAGATATCTCCACACAGTCTCATTTAGAGTATCTAGTTAATAAGGAAACTGAATGTAATATTCTACAGAAAAATGATCAAAGAATTGAAGTATGTTAATTTTGTAATTTTTTTTTTATCTTTTAATGGCAGTTGTTATTAATGAATTAATGTAAATGCATATTTATTTGACTTGTAAATTATTTGAATGTTCAAAAGTATATTTTAGTCAAAAATATTTTTTTTTTTTCCCCTTTTAACTATAAAATTTTCTTGCACATATTTTATTTGTGTTAAAATTACTTTTAAAGTTATAATTTTTAAATAATCATAGTATTATAATATTCATAATTTTTAATTAATCAATTATATTTTTAAAAAAAAATTTGTTGCTTTATAACAGTTTTATGATTTAGTTAACAGATATTTTTCTGTTTGTTTTTATCTGTTTTTGAGTTTATTCTTTGTTTTTGTTCTTGCATGTTATGCAGGTCTTAATTTTAATTCCATTGTATAGGAAATTTGCATTCCAAGCTTACCTTCAACCAGTTACTTCCCCTTTGTTGAATCTCAAAAAACTCTTTTCATGCAGAAATTGGCAGAAATAGTTGATGGGCTACTTCAGCAAACTGTGGATGAAACCAGTTCGCAAAGGATTGACAAAGTTCATTATTATTATGTTCAAATGGTACAAACTATGTATCAGTGGATTGAATTTTTGGAGATCTGGATTTTGAAAATTTCACAGTTGTCAGTGGACCAACACACAAATGAATGCAAGGTTTGAAAATAATATTATAGTAATATAAATTTCAAATTTTTGTGATATAATAATACATAAATTTCAAATTTGTGTATATGAAATCTCCTTTTTAAATAGTCCTTTTAAAAAACATTTAAATTCAGCAAAATTACTGACACTAAAATCTCATTTCTCAATCATGATTACTGATAAATGATATCAATCGTATAGAAAACATTATTGTGTTAAAAATCCTTTTTAATTTGATTTTAGTTTTAATTGCTTATCAGCATGTTCAATTATTTATTATAAACAGGTAATAAATGAGATGAAAAAGCTGATTGTTATTGGTTAATTGAAAGCTATCAGTTGAAAAATGTAATTACAGAATTAATTTGAAGTAAGAACATGATTTTATAAGTATTTTCAATACTAACCCCAAAGTCCCATTGTTAAAGTTTTTCATGTACACCCCATCATTGATTTGTAAGGACGTATTATAGGTTTAATTAGTTTACTTTCGGTATGCAGCTATCTAGAATATCTTGATGTTTGTATGGTATACTTTAAACCTTCGTATTAAATGCTAAATGTGTAATTATCAGTTTGAAAATAATTATGAAAAAAACTCATTATTAACATGATATTGCTCAACAAGAACTAATTTTTCTTTGCATTTACAAATGTTTTTAAAAAAATAAGTAGACTTCATTTTTAAAGGAATAGGTAGTATCCTAATGAATAATGAAAGTTTTTAAAAATGCATTAGAAATTTTTTTAAATTGTTCTCAAATTTCGGTATGTTTTGTTAACAGAGTAATAAATTTTTTAATTTGAATGTATGCAATCATTTTTAACATAAAGTAGAAAATAATAATGTATATATTTTAAATAATAAAGGAATTCACATCCTAAATTTGCAAGTTATAGAAGAAATTGGACAGTGGCTTTTTTTTTAGAATCTTATGTATCGAATACTGTCAGAAACTACATATTATGCCAAGCAAATAATGATAAAATGCCAAGATTCAATATAATAAAGAATGTTTGGCAAATAGCTAATGGAACCTCGGTTAAAATATAAGCTATACAGTATTTGACTTCTGAGCAGTTATGAGTGTTCTTTTAGTGAAATTTCCAAATGTTTTTGCTGTTGCTTCATTTCTTAGTATGTGCTATGAAATATGTGCTTACGGTGTTCAAAACAACTCAGTTTAGAGAATGCACAAACAATAAAAGTAGTTGATTTTCAGGATTTTTTTCACCTAAATTGACTTTTTGTAATTTTCTATGTAATGAATATGGAAAATAAGCTACTGACCTTAAACACTTTGGATATTCTAATTTCACAAAAATATAAAATAAAGCATTTTGATGCAATTTACTTATTTTTTAAAAAACATTTGTAAATGCAAGGAAAGTTTAGTTCTTGTTGGCTTAATTTCTGCCAAAATCAGTAGAAGGTCCTCAATTTTAATCATATGAAATTTCTGCCTATTTTTACGACTACCATTTTGAGTGTGAATTAGCATTTTGGAGAAATATTTTTGGCTATTCACTGATAAATATGGTTATCTTTTTAAATGGATGAATGCGTTATAATTTGTTCCTATTTCTAATACAAACGTTAGGATACTCGAGATTCTAGGCAAAAAGTGAAACATAAGCATTTCGAATTTATTTCATTGTTTTCTAATGAATAGCTCTTAAACAACTTTTCGCTTTTGGTGATGTGAATTCTTTTATTAAGCAGTTCTAAATTTGGTGACGTATCAACATTTTGGCCATTTTAAGATCAGTTTCTATTAAAAAAAAAAAAAAAATTCGGAGATCTGGGAAATTTTTCAACGATTCTTTTAAACATTTTAACATTGAAAATCATTAAAATAATTATAACATATTGAAATTATATTTAAGAAATAACATTAAAATGAAACATTTTTATTTTTCGCTGCAATATTATAAAGTGATATTACTTTCTATTTTGGCGATTTATTATGCAATATTGTGAATCTGAAAAACAAACGAGGTAATAAAGTACAATTTACGAAATAATTCTTAGCAAAAGCAAAATAGCTATGTAATTAATTAAAAATGTCTTCTTTTTAGTATTTTCGTGGTTAGAGATTTTCCCATGCAGCTATCTCAGAGTGTGTATCATTTTTCTGTATAAAATGATTTTACACATTTTTACTCTTCCCTTCCTCAAAATATTTCTGGCATTTTGTTGTCACAGGATTGGTAGAGGTAATTGTTTTTACGATTTTTAGGCATTGCAGCTTGGAAAGTTTAGAAGGATTTGAAGGCAATATTTATAGACCCAAGATTCTAGAATATTTGAGAAAAATGTGACAAAATGAAAAATGTCTTCATGGTATTAACACGTGATGGATGTATTTTACAGAAAGTTTGTGGTGAATTTCTTACTTATTGGAGAGTTTTTGGAAAAACAATGGAAACGTAATATTTGAATGTTTTACTTCTGACACTAGAAGTCTTTTTTATTTAACATGTTCTTCTTTCTTCTATTTGCTCTACTTTTTACTAGACAAATGAGTGTGTCTGAGCTCATCATACACAGGGCTGGCGGTAGGCATTTTCCCTTCTGATGCAATCCTTGTGCATACTAAGCTCTGCTACCTGGTGCCTTCATATATTTTGTACTCCGTGCCTATCCTAAATTCTAAAAGGTTTGCAATTTGTAGATATTTTTGCTTGGTGGGTCACTAAATTCTAAATTTTCGGCCACATTGGCTCCATAACTGGCCCTTAACATGTATCATTTCATATTTATTCTGAATGTTCATATTACTAAAGAAATAAAATTAGCAGCTTTTTCTGTTCATTTAGTTTTTAGGATAACAGAAATCTTTAATTTGTAGAGACATTAGGATTTTTTAGAAGCATGAAAAATGTGAAAAATGAGTGACACCTTCACTGGGAATCAAACCACGGACTTCTGAAATACGCACCCAGCATGAAGACCTCTACACCACAAAGGCAGGCTAAGAAGGCAGGAGAAATACTTCCCTCTTTTAAAGGGCGACTAGGGTTTTTTTAGGGGACCCAGTTGCCAAATCCTGGGTATGGAGAATCATTATCCACCACCATTTTTTTAGTTCGGGCACCACTGTAGAGACATTAGGATTTTTTTGAAGCAGGAAAGATGAGCAATGCCTATTGGGAATCGAACCAAGGACCTCTGGAATACGCGCCCAGCATGCAGATCACTACACTACGAAGGCACGCTAAGAATGCGGGAGAAAATACTTTATAAATTAAATCCAAAAATTCTAAAATGAAGAGGAAATGTATTGAAGAAAGAAACTGAATACATAAAGAGAAAGAAAATTATTATATAAATTAATCAGTTGTTTATAATTTCAGTCTTTATTATAATGTCCCCTTTTCTTTCCCTTGCCAGAATGCAAAATCAGTCAAAACAGTTTTTAAACTGAGTTTTTTTGGATTGTAAAACAGAGTGTGTTTCTGGCTTTGGCATGCACGATGCATTAGTTCCTGCCAGCTCTGTTAATTTGCAATTATTTATCTCTGCATTATCATTGTGTTTGAATTTGTTATGATGAAAGAGTTTAAAATTAGCTTGAAATTAAATTGACTGCTAATTTATATTTTAGTCTGAATATGACTGTTTCTGTTTAACTACGTGACCTCGTTATGTATTTTATTTTGCTAGCATAAGAACATGTCTTTATGTTCTTATTATTTTTTTTTTAATTAATTTTTTTTTTTTTTTTAAATAAGAGGTTTATTTAAACCTTTATCTGACTTTGTAGTTACTTTCAGACATAGCGATAATTTGCTTCATGTCTGTCAGAGGTTTTGGACTATTTAACTTTCACCAGCTCATGTGAAACTTCATAGGTACATTATCGAAAGATTGACAAGTTAGGAGATAAAGCATGCAGAAACTAGTGGGATTATTGTTTTGCATACTGAAACCAATTTCTGATTGTTAGAAAATGTGCTTAGAGAGAAGGAAATTGATATAAATCAGCTAAAAATGTCTGGGAAGGCTTCAAATTAAGAATATGCATAAATATTTTGTTGTGTGTTGTTACAAAACACAAACATTTCGTGGATTTTAATGCGTAATGCTCCTAATATTGTTTAAGAATCAGTGTCATAAATTATTTGCATTTTAAACTGTGAAATGTTATTAGATTGTGATCTTAATGGTGCTTTTTTAACAAACATTTTAAAATTAAAAGTGCCCATGTAAATTTATAATAACTAAGAGTATCTAACTACCTAGTTAAATTATTTGTAATAGCTTTGTAATGATCTCTGCATATCAAAGCGATTTATTGCCTTTCATTAATCCTTACCGTAATTATAATACGCAGCACAAGAATGAAAAAAATTATCTAAAATGTATTCTTTACATCTAGTGAGACTTAAAATAATACAAAACAACATGTCATCTCTGGTGCTTTAGTAGCTTATTGGTACTTTAAATTGTATTAACTGGATTAACGTAATTATAAGACGCAGCACAAGAATGAAAAAAATTATCTAAAATGTATTCTTTACATCTAGTGAGACTTAAAATAATACAAAACAACTTGTCACCTCTGGTGCTTTAGTAGCTTATTGGTACTTTAAATTGTATTAACTGGATTACAACCCCAAAGCTCTATACAAAGCTATGGTATTTGCATCAGACAGACAGAGAGAGCACAACTAAGTTTGAAACCTTGCTAACCGTACATACATCGGGTTTTCAGGTTTTATCTGATCAGCAGGTTTCTCTCTAGGGAAGCAGCAGCGGTGGCAACACCAAGCGTCTGTTACGAATCATGCTTATATAATCATGCTGATTATATAATTTTATTTCTCGTTTTAACCTAAGCCATTTGACATAAAATCTATTTATGTCTACTATTTACTAAACCTCTAGGCTAAGGAAGTATGTTACAAACTGAGACAAAAGAAAAAAATCAGTATGAAGCTAACTGTTAGTAAAACATAAATATAATGTCACTAATCTTCCTTCAAATATGTCCAACTATTGTAAGAGTAAAATATTCAATGGTACTTGATAAATTTGATTTAAAGTTAATTTTATGTTCAATTTTGTTTCATAATTATGTTTAATAATAATGCATCCCACTTGCGGTTCTATTTTATTCTTAGGATGGTATTATAAAAGTGAAGTTCAGGCATAGATAATATCTTTGAATGATTTTATTCAGCTTCCGTTTGCCAATAGGTCCTTAATTTTTTTCGTTAATGGTCCTTAAAAATCCGTAAAAGTACTTAATTTCTGTATGCAGAAATATGTACGAACCCTGTGTAAAAGCATAAAAATATTCCAGATAACTGTATACAGGACGTAAAGTGATTAAATCTATAAGAAGTCCTTAGAAACCAATGATGGGATATACAAGCAAAAATGTAACAATGGGACTTTGGGGTTAGTATTGAAAATATTTTTTAAATCAAGTTCTTACTTCAAATTGATTCCATTACTACACTTTTATGGAATATATTATAAATTTATAATTAGTTCTAAAAATATTCTTTTCCTTTTTTTTTAACTGTTAGATAAATATTTTATTAATGAAAGAGCCATTCATTCAGTTTTGTTAAGTATGAAAGACTTTTTTTTAATTCTTATTATTCCAAAGGGGCAATTTGCCCAGAAGAACTAATAATTTCGTTTTGACATTTTGCATTGATTCACTTTCTGCATTGCTTCACTTTTCAGATTGTTGTCCCCAAATATTATCGGCAAATTAAATAATGAAGAATCTGCAAAAATGTATGTATGTTTCTCGCATTGTGATAAAACAGCGATACCTAGAGCCATCAAATTATGAATAATGTAATCTTTCACCAAATATGGGCATCTGATAGCCCTAATTAGGAATTTGTTTTACATTAATTTCATATTTTGTAAAATTTTAATGAATTTTTGATTAGCAAACGCAAGGATTTCAAAGCAAGTGATGGTGACATTGTACAGAAAAAACATTTCGTCTCCAGCATGCGAGACTGTGTATCTGAAATTCCATAGATATGCTCATTTTAAAATTATTGTGCGATATTGCTGTTGAACTGAATTTTATGACTTAAGTGCAAAGAACACGATATTTAATAAATAAAGGTAACACTCAAAACGTTAAAAAAATGCCCCTTTGGACGTAATTCAAAATCTTAAACTTTTCAGATTTTTCTTTTAAATTTAATGCTGTGATAAGCAGATCTAACTGTTATTTTGCATTTTAGCTTCTAGAAGGAGAATTAGAAATTATCCAGCAGCATATTAATAACATCAAAGAAGTTACAGAGATTATTTCTAAAGATTTACCTCCAGAAATGAAGGAAAAACTTCTTTCTCATATTTCTTCTCTACAAATGAAAATTGGCTCCACTAAAGAACTTGCTGGATCATTGTTTATGCAAATTTCTTTGTGGAACAAAGAAAATCTAAGAATTGAGGTGAGATATATGAGTGTAGGCTGTATCATGCGTAGTCATAATGAAATGCTGTGTCGAACAAAAGTGTGTACCATCCCTTAACTATTGCATGTTTTTTCATAAAATGTTTTTGAAAATCATTAGTTTTTTTTAGCTTTTGTAAAATTGTGTAATAATTTTTTGCAAAACTTAATTTTTTAGTTATAGAAAAACTAAAATTTATTATCTAAAACTCATGCATTTCCTCTTATTTGTTGCATCCTTCACACACGAGCTGGCAGGAAAGCTTTAATGCATGAATTTACATTATAAAACTACATTTATGCTGTGAATAAATTACACAGTAGACTCCCGATTATCCGCGCCTGCCGCACAAAGGTTTTTTTTTTTTTTATATATATATTATATATATATATATATAATAAGCGTAAAGCAAAGAAAATAAAATGTTCACAAAACTGAGCGAAATGTTAAATTTGCTAACATCATGCTTATTTATGGCAAAAATATCCCAGGCCTTCTTGGAACCTTCCCCGCGGCCTTCTCGGAACCTTCCTCGCTGTCTTCTCGGAACCTTCCCCTCTGGTGAGTAAGTGATTTCTTACTCACCCTTGCAGTGCCCGCTCCAATGTCCTCTCTCGTCGTAATCTTACTCACACGTCCACTTCCTCCCACTCGCCATTGTTAGTTTAAGCCTGTTAGTGTTTGCGAACTGGTCGGAGTTAATTTTTTATGTTTTATTGTGTTCAGTGCTTGTGCATTTTGGTTTTGTGTTTTTCGTTACCGATTTAAAATGTCAGGAAAACGAAAGAAGGTTATGTTGACAATTATGCAAAAACTAGAATTAATTTCCAAAGTAATCCCCAAAGTAATTTCCAAAGTTCCACGATAAATTGTGAGGAAGGGAATGAAGATGTAGACACGCCCACGACAACTCTTGCCGATATGGTGAAAACAGTTCCTGGTGGTGAGAACGTCGATGCTGAAAACATTAACGAGTGGTTGGAGTGTGACGTCTACGAACCTGGCTTCGAACGCTTGAAAGATGATGAAATTGTGAAGAAAGCAAGGGGAGAGACCGAGAATGAAGGACATTGAAGTGAAGGCGAAGAAGAGCCCACTGTGTAGATGTGGAAGACTCACGAAGCGGCTTTGCAACAAGTCGACAAACTGCTGAGCTATTTGGAAGAACAAGACGATGTGGAGTTGGCCAAAAAACTTATGCTACGAAAAATGCAATCTCGGATCAAGAGAAAATGCTTCCAAAGCAAGAAGCAAACACAAATGACTAATTTCTTCAAAAAGGTGTAGTTTTACAGTTATGCTTTTGCAATTACATAATACATTACAGTATTAAAACAGTGCATATCTATTAATTTTTCTGTGTATCCTTCACGCCTCTCGTAAGTACAAAGCACTTTTCTGTTTTCATTAATAAAATGCATTTTAGTTTTGAGTGATATACTAAATTAATAAGTGTTAGTTAAACATTTCCTGCTGTTTATTTTACGTTTTATTCTACATAAAACAATTTTTCAAAGTTGGAATGACTGTTTTCTCTTTTGCTATACCCGTTTTTAGCTTTTTTTGGATTATCCGCGATGTTTGTTATCCGCGGCGGCCACGCCACCCAATTCCGTGGATAATCGGGAGTGTACTGTATTTACATTTATGATTGAATTTTAAATAGCATTAAGTGCTGATAAAGTGGTGTTTGATAATAAAATTAAAGAGACCCCAAAATATTTGTGTTAACAGGAGTGAATCTAGGAGCAAGTTGATAAACTGGAGCTTGGTGAAAGAATAAAAAAACCTTAACAAACCTTTTAGTGTGATGTTAAAAATCTTTCTTTTCTCTCTCTCTTTTTTTTAAAGTTGGTTATTTTATCCCCCTTTTCTAAATTTATTTATATTTTTCTCTTCATTCCATTTTTTAAAATTCAGAATTTTTTGCCTTTGTAACATTGTTACAAATTTTTTTTAATTAGTTATTACACACAGATTTCATTATGCTTCAGTTAAACTTTTTTTTTCCATTTTAATTTTATCATTTATAATACAGTTTTGCTTTTACCTGTATATGTATAGTTATTTTAGAAAAAATCATAAAATATGATAGCAATACTCATGATTAAATCGATGAGGCCTCTGAACACTGGTAGTTTGACCTAGATTAAAATCCTGGTAAACAAGCTTGCTTTAAATATCTGTTGCTGTGTGTTTTCATGGCTTTCATCATTTTTAATATGAACATGAGCCAGTGTTCCTTAAAAAGTGGTGTCCTTTCATTTGGGCAGATTGCCCATGTGCACTGTGCAATGTTCAGTTAAATAAACAGTCAGTCATTAGGAAATTCCTCCAAAAAATCAGTTAAAATTTGCAGCACAGTGCATATAAGAAAGGAACAAGTATTTTGCAATATACCTTTTGAAACATCACCATTAAAAAATATTGAAAGTATATCCTCTACCATCACCAGACATATTCATAATGACAGTCTTTATCATTAAGAATATCAAATCATCATAATATCTGGAGTTTTACACTAATGTTGCTTTTCAGAAGAAAGATTTCCCCTTATAATCATGACAAATCAAATGTCATTGAACTTTTCTATGTTGTACCTTTTAGTTCACTGAAACATTCTGGCACCTTATTAATCTGAATACTATGTAGGTTCTGAATTTTTTTATGAACCTGCCAATATAATGTTTGCCTGGTATTTTCTTTTTCCAAATCACTTCAAGTGAAATTCAAGTTGTATTTCCATTAGGGATTGTGTTATTTACAGTGTTTCACAAGAAATGACTGCTTTGTAATTCACAATAATTCATTGGAATTGGAGATTATATTGCCATCATGAATGACATGAAACGACTTTGACAAATATGAACCTTGCTACCAGACTCGGCAATTGCCACCAGAGGCATTTGTTATTTCATAGTGTTGGTATTTGATCATGACTATTACTATCATGCATTTTGCTACGCACATATCATTTAGAAGTAGTAAACAATGTTCTTATGTAGAGTAGAGTAGTATTTTATCTTTAGAGGGATTACCTGATGAAACCTTCTGTGGTATGGGTCTAGTTTTGTGGTTTCAATCAAAGCAGGGAAAAAAAAAATATTTAGCAAGTCAAGAAAAGAAAAACTGAAGACCTTTGTGCTTTTGAAATTAAATATTCATATGTCTACTGATAAAAGTGTATCTGGATGCAGAGTTTTAGGTTATAATGGTTTCTAATAACCTAGAGTTACATGCATATCATGTCAGAGTATTGGTCAGTATGTCATCATAATTTAGCAACTAATTTATTTATTTATTTTATAGGAGCAACACAAAAACTTGACTTTAAACCTTGCATCTCTTAGAAAAGAACTGGATGTTATAGCAGATAATGACTTGTTTCGAGTACCTGCTGCTAAGGTTGGTAATTTTTTATTGAAATATTTTCCCATTTTAGTTTTAATGTTACCTGCTTTTCGAGATTCAATGAGACTTAATGTCACTGGTATTAAAGACATAGTACTATGAAAAACTAACTGAGGTTATGAGATCAGCAAAGGATAGTTTATTATTCTTATGATTTTTTTACTGTATTTTTATATGTAAAGGTATTTTCAGTTATCGTCACATCTATCTTAAATGTACTTTTCAGGCTTTGAAAAGAAATGTGTTTAATTCTTCATTGGAATTGGAGAGTATGTGTCAAGAGAAACTGGACCTAAATCTTCAATGGCCTGGATGTGAAACAACAAACTATGAAAGTGAATTGGTTTGCATTAAAGATTTAAAGTTAAAGGTAACAATTTCCTTTAAAGCTGAAGTTTTACAGTTAGCAGATTATTAAATGTTTTGTGTGATGTTTTATACTTCTGAATATAGGAAAAGCCAGGTATATCTTAAAAATAGTTAATAAAGCAAAATATCAAACCAAAAGGTTGAGTACACTATATATTAAATGGTGAATAGGAATCATTCTTTTGTCATTAGTCCTAAAATTAGTTTGAGCTTCAAATTGCCTACTGATAGCTGGAAACGAAATAAAAGTCATAGGCATTGCTTTGTTAATATTGCTGTAAGTTTTCTTGATTAAGTTTCGCCTTCATGTGATATTTTACCAAGAATAATATTGTTACAAAATGGCTGTTTTTGTTGAATGAGAAACAATATTAATCCTGTATAAAATAAGGTTATCATTTAACTTTGGTTTGGTGAAAAGAGTGATTAATTTAATATGTATGTATTATGACAAATAAGAAGATTTTAAAAGTTGATCTTTGCATTTAGTAACTCGAAATTGTTCTAGTTTGAATAACTAAAAAAAGATATTCTGTTTGCTACTTGATCTTGTCTTTCCATGCTTTTCTGAGGTATGCAAAGTTGTACAGTGTCATTTTTTAGTTCCGTAAATTAATATCTTATTAAAACTTTTGAAAATAACAATGCTTTGTATATATAAAGTCACAATTAGGATTAGTTTTATGTGAAATATATAAATTTGTCGTATCACTTTTAGTAAGACATCTTCACTTTCATGTAGAATGAGTTGTCATCTTTGTGCAATAATCTTTAAGGTACTTACAGCATAAAACTACGAAAATCTGTCAGTGTAATAGTATATGAAAATTGTTTTAGGATTGACATCATTTAAAATAAATTATCTTCCCTCCTAAAACATTTATTAGTATAACTATGAAAATGATTGGTAAATAATTAAAGGGCTTAATTTGCAATATAGGAAGGTAAATCACAATGTATAGTGTAAGTATACAGTAAAAGCTTGACTATCCGGCATTCATTTAATCAGAAAGCTTAAGTAATCAAAGTATAGGGTGCTTATAATTAAAGTTGCGATTTCAAAACGCTCTAAATTTATGACTTGATGTTTCACCAGAACAACTGTGAGGCAATGGAATTTTGTTTGGCAAAGGAAAAAAAAATAGTTCCAAAATGTACCGATAGATGGTGCTATCAGGTATAAGTCCTAATCATTAAACACAGGAATATTGTTAGCCAAAAGGAAATTATAGACTCCAAGGGTTTACAACAGGCAAAAAGACTTTTTCACAGTGAACACTTTAAAGAATACGTGTGTACAGCGAAAACAATAATAGTGACAAGAGGAATTTCATGAAACAAACATCTTACGGATGATTAATGATAAGTTATTGGATATGGCCTCTGCCTTGTTCCACTGTTAGCTGGAAGTGCAAAATGGCGTGTTCCACAACAATTTGAAGGGTATCTATTCTGTGGTGCATGATGCTTGCCTTCAAGTCAGCCAGATTCTCACACCACCCACTATAAAAAACATTCTTCAGGTATTCCCAAAGCCAAAATTCACATGGGTTTAGTAGGGCAAGCATGGCGGCCGCTCTAGGAAAATGGCAGTTTATGATTTTATGAGCTATCAGCAGCTGCTTCACACAAATAGCAATGTCCAGAGGAGCGCCATCTTGCATGAATACTGTGCAATCCACGCTCTGACACTGCTGAATTGCAAGGACATGGTTAAGAAAAAATGCTTCATACTGCTTGACAAAAACGGTGCAGTTAACGGGACCTGCAGGTGTGATCTCGAAGAAGAATGGACTGATGACAAACGCTACCATTATTCCAACCCACACAGTGACCTTTTTTAGAATGAAGAGGTAATGACTGTAGTGGGAACGTATTCTCTATCACTGATATCCTGCAGTTTTGAATATTTTCAGACCCTTGCAAATAGAAATGGGCTTGGCCAGACCACAGAATCTTCCCTGGCCATCCATTGTCACTTCCATCGGGGCAAGAAATCATTGTGTAAATAATACACATGTTTCCAGGTCACTAAGTAGCAACTTCTGCACATGCATTATCTTGCACGGATAACAGTGCAAGATGTTCCATAGGACATTACACACCTTGCTGATAGGCATATCAGCATTCATCCAAATCTTCATGCACTGCTAATTCTTGCATCACTGTTAGTCTATTCTTGTAACGTTGTGGTCACATCTCCCACTGCCGCCGCCGTAACTGGTTTTCGTCCTTTACCTCGTTTCACATCAAATAAAACCAGTCTCTTTGAATTGATCTATCATTTTCCGCAGGCCGTAAGTGGTCATGGGCTGGATTTTATGCCTTTTAATGTCCAGAACTTCCTGAAAGCTGTTAACGCCGAGTCACTGTTCTGATAGAAGGGCTTCACGAGCAGAGTACGATCCTTCTTTGTCAGTCATGCTGAAGCATTCAAGCAAAGCATTACGTATTCGGATAGTGTTTTGCATTTTTATCACGGCTATGTCTGCAGTGCACATGTCAAGTCTCAGGAATGTGCATACCTCCAGAACAGCCACGTAAACCCTGACAACACCATCTTTCATTTTTAACTATTTTTTTTTTCTTCATCAAAATTCCATTGCCTCAAGATTATTCTGGAAAAATGACCTTACGGATGATTTGAAATGTGAATGTGCTTCTATATTTGAGGTATGTTTTTTTTAAAAATCGTACATAATGTTAAATCTGGGCTTTTGATATTGAAACTGATAGTAAGAGGACCATTCTTATAATTTTAAACTGGAAATTTCTTCTTCCATTCATTTGGATTTTTTACCATGAACTGCACTTTAACACTGGCATCCAGAAGTTAAGCATATTTGGGTAAAATCAACAAAAGTGGAAAAGAAGTTTTGATTTACATCAAACTGCACATGAAAGTAGCAAATACAAGAACGAAAATAAGCATTATGTACAAAGATGAAAATAGTATTTAATTTTTATATGATGATGCTACATTTGGGTCAGCTGGTGTCAAAAAACAAACTTGCATTGATAAGGTATGTGACCAGCTTCCAGACAAACTTTACGGCATTGCCCTTGCTTTCAATGAGGTTTCAACCATGGCTGATGTTAGTACTGGCCATTCGTCAATTATTGCAGTTACCATTTGTCTGAGATTGGCTGTGGGAGGTAAACATTCAGAGACAGCATGCCTGAAAGTTTCTCAAAGATTTTCAATAGTATTAAATTCAGAGAACTACATCTGCAACACCATGCAAGAAATGCCTTCATTTATGATACCCAGATACTCATTACCCTCTAGATACTTGTTAATGATTTTACCTCAATCGGAATGAGCATTGTCATCCATGAGGAGGAAATCAGAACCTATTGCAGCCGTGCAAAATCTCACAATGGAGTGTAGGACTTTCTGAAGAAGTTCAACTGAGATTTTGATGACCTGTACTGATGAATATTTTTTTAACAAGTGACACTCTAACCACAGATGTAACAATTAAGTAGGTTGCTTGTTGATTCCACTTGGCTAATATAGCAATATTAATTCAGAAGGGGTAGTAATGACCAAGTATAGGTCTCCAGACAACTATTTGACTTGCTTGGAATTGTTTTTACATTCAAAAGGTTAAAACATTATAAATTCCAAGAAAAGAAAGTAATCTTTGTTTGACTGTTCTGCTTTATTGCAGCCAACAGCATGCCGTACTCGGTATTTGTCATTCATCTTCTTTAAGCTGCAATAAGCATGAATATCATCAAATATTTTCCTGTAAAAAATTATAATTGCTTCATATAAGCATTTAAATGAACCTCCTGAAACTCTTCAAAATGCTAGTGTCTTCAACAGCTGTTTATTAACATTAAGGCAGCCAGTCATGATTGGCTATGACATGCAATATTTACATACTGCCATCTGCATCAACAGCAGTTTTCTGGTACTTAAATTCAATTCTGCTTTTTAAAATCACAATTCAACGCTCTAGAATTTTTATTTATCAAGCATTCAGTATTTCCAAGCCATCGGGATTGTCAAGCTTTTACTGTAATTTGATTTTATGGAAATCTTGTGCTTAAATATTCAACTTTGTGTAAAGATTCAATTACAGTCACATCTGCTTGGGGTGGTTACTTTGCATTCAAATTTAATTTATATCACATTAACGTTCTTATTTTTTTATAGTAACTAATTAATTTTTTGTGATTATGTATCACTACTAAATTTGAAGTGAGTGGGGTATACAGTTTTATATATGTATATATGTGTGTGTGTGTGTATATAATTTGTAATTATTCAGCAACAGAATATTAACTACAATAATTATTTAATAAAATATTGTAGGATTCCTTTAAATATGTATTGTTTAAGTGAAACTGCTTGATAAACATATGAAAATGTATACTTTAAGCATAGAAGATTGCAATAAAATTGTTTATTTATAGGTGCTTGATGTTTACATGAATGCAGTCTTGGCTAATAATACTGCCAGGAAATATCAGTTATTGTCTGAAGTGCTTGCAAGGTTTTTAGTTAGCACTTCAGAAATAATGTCAGATCCATTCATCACAACAACAGAAGACCTGAAAATAAAGTGTAATAATGCAAAGGTAAATTTTATTTTCATTTTAATAAATTTAATTTTTCAATGTTTTCTAATCAGACTCTTAAATTACAATGAAGGATCTGTTAAATATATCATATCCTAAAATGTGTGCAGTCAATTATTTAGAAATCATATATCAGATAGTCTATATTCATAACAAAAGAAATTCTTGAATTTCAACTTTCTTTTCCAATTATTTTTCTATAAAAAATGTTTAAACTGTGCCTCTCTAGAACAGTCTAATATAAATAAGCATAATTGAAAGTTGTTGTCATGTTGGTCATGCGGAAGTCCAAATATTAAAGAGAACTTTTTTCATGATTAGTTAGTAGTGAGTGATAGAAAATGGGGTAAATGTCAGAATTAAATTAATGTTATCAAAACTAAAATTTGTTCTAATTCAGAAATATAAATTGTTTTGACAACATATAAGATGATTTGTAAAATTTTTATTATGTTACTTATCTGCATCAAATATTTCATAAGGCAATTTGTAATGTATTGTTTTTTCAACAGGATTTCTTATCTGCATTGATATTATTGCTATGTCTGGCCAAAAAATATTTCCTGTTATGTGAAAAGGACCTCAGTCCTGAAGCTGTTGCCACATTTAACACATTATTATCAAGAACTTCTGTCTTGATAAAAGAAATTGAAGACAAAATCAAGGAGTGGTACTTCTGTTCAAAAAATTTAGATGAATTGCTGAATCAACTTCAACAGAATTCCATTTGGTTACAAGAAAAATATCAAATGGTCACAATTCAGTCTTCTAACAAGAAGAACTATAAAAAATATATTGCATCTATGACTGTAAGTATTTTGGGTAGGATTATTATTGCTAAGTCATTAGTGTTGAAGTCTTTCAATATATGAAGGTAATAATTAAATGTGTTAATGTAATAAATGAGTCTTTCACTGGATAAATTGATTAACTCAATAGAACAAAAATTGGAGAAATGCAGTGAAGTAACATAAATTGTTGTAAGTTGAAATAAATATTGTAGAATGCATAAGAATATAGCTTTCATCTAACAACATATAGAATTAATATAAAAGAATAACCAAAAGGTAATCATCAGAAAAATTAATTAATTACTATTACATATTTTTGTTACTGATTTTTCTTAAAAATGAGTATTTTCAAATCTGTTACAATATATTATTTGTGATTAATTCGTCAGCAATAAAATAATGCCTTTTTCATAAGCTGTATGTTCTCACATACAGCTTATGAAATAATACATTAATTAATTTTTGTCATTTCAATTTGTTCTCAAATTTTTGTAGTAATCGTGTTTAACTGGAGGAATGAATTTTAGAAGGTCCATCATGTTCTCTCCTTTCTTTTCTCTTGCCACAGTTCTACTTTTAGAATATAAATAAAGGCATTTTTCAAACTTTGTGGTCTTCCTGCTGCAGAATTACTTATATTAATGGCATTAAATTCTGAATCTTCACTGTAGTCACATTTGAATTGCATGAGGTGGAGTTTGAATCTTTCTAACTTTATCCAGCACACTTTAAGTTAGTGTACTAGAAACTTTATAATGATTACTTTTCTGTTAATGACTGAATTTTCTAAAGGTTTTGTTGAGAGTTTGAATCTTTCTAACTTTATCCAGCACACTTTAAGTTAGTGTACTAGAAACTTTATAATGATTACTTTTCTGTTAATGACTGAATTTTCTAAAGGTTTTGTTGAGAATCATTTGGATTAAGTTAAATGGCACCTCCTTTTTACATGTTTTGATTATATCATTTAAATTTAACATTTTTTAAAACATCTAGTGAAAAAAATAGTTGGATTTTTTTAAGATTATTTATTAATGTAACTCAATAATGGCAAAATCTGAATCATTAGGCAAATAGCTTTGTCTGCTTACCAAAAATTTAATTTTAATTGACTCAGCTCTGATTTCTATACCTTGAACAAATAAACTTAAGACAATTTTGATCTTTTCATTTTGACCAGTACACAAATCTGAATATGTTATTATTTTTTCAAAATTTTTAACATAAGTCTTTATGCACTTTATTAAACAGGATGGAATTGAGACCCACAAGATTCTTCAGTTTCTGGCCAAACAAGGGTGTGGTTTATACTTTTATTGAAATCTTGGCAACCGGAATTATAAACATATAAATTTTGTTTATAATAAAGTACAGGTGTGCTCAGTTTGGGAAAGCTAAATCAAAAGAAAGTATGGAAATTTTTTCATATGCTGCCATTCAGTCTGCAGCCATATGACAGCCTATTCTAAACAATTTTACTTTCCAATTTCTGCCATCTGAATTCCCTCATCTTCTGAAGATTGAATTTTTATTTGCAAAGAATCATAAGCACTGCATGTATTCTTAGATATTTGTTTCAAATTTAAATTAAATTCTGTAGAGAATACATTGTAATAATACTTTTCTTTCTCGGTTACTATATTCTTCTTTATATATTATGTGACATATAGTTCATAAATTTGTTTCAGTCAGTCTTTAAAGGATTTAAATAGTGTTTTATATATTTAAAGTTGTCTTGCAATATGAGAGCTCTAGTGTAGTGCCTAGTGTTAGGCTGGAAATGACTTGATAACATGTGTGTCATTTATTTTATTGATTGCAATATGACCATTGTGGTGGTCAACCAAATATGTAACTTGTTCTTTAGAACAATATTTGTATATCGGCCCATATCTCACCTGATAAATGTCCCTAAAATATTTTTTTGCAAATGGGAGAATCACGTTGGTCTTTTTGAAAATAATGCAGAAAGAAATGTAATCTTGGTTCTTTATTGTTTATTTTTGAGGCATCTTCTTTTTTTTTATTTCTTTAATACAATTCCTTAAGAAAATATTGTGCTCAACTTGACCATTTATAAACTATAAAATACCTTCATGGCAGCCTCTCTCTCTCTCATCTGAAATAATTTTTTGATAGCACTTCTGATGACATTTCCATATTAAATCAAGAAATGTTTTTACAGATATTAATTTTTCTGTATTCCTGTAGGCCAAACCTTTTGTTCTCTTATGCTTTTGTAAATTTTGAGCTCGGTTATCAACATTACAGTTTTTTTTCCTGACCATCAATGTGTTTGTTTCAATATGTATACAGTTGCAATTAGAAGCTGAAGAAAATATAACTGTTTTCTTGAGCCAGACTTCCTGTTAATAAGTCATATATTGAAGGACGGTCAGATGAGTCATTATTTTCTACATTCAAATTATTATTAGTCTCATTTATCTTGATTATAAAGGTGTAATATTTATTTTCTTAAGTATAACTCTCAAATTGAATTAATTTCTTATAATAATTAAAGCATTTGAATTAATTTCATATGATAATTCAAACATAGAACCTGATTCTGTGATAACTAGTCTGTGACTAATTTATTTTACTTTAATTCTGATAAAATAGCTCTAAGAATTTATTGTTATCATTAAGCACATGCTGCTGAATTTGAATTGAATTATTGCAACGATTGACATTACAGTACAGAGTTAATCAAAATGGCTTCTGAAATAAATTATTTATTATTAAATGGCCAAACAATTTTGTCATTCAATGGCATCATTTGGAAAATTTATTATAAATATAAAAAGCTAATACTAGACCAAGTGCCTTTTGACACTTAAGATACTTCAAAAAGTTGAGTTAATTATTTTGTGCACTGAATGGCCCAAATATGGTAAGTGAAAAATAAAAATCACATGTTACATATGCTTTTGAAAAATTTCTAAATTATTTTTTCCCATATAATACAGGATTAAATAACTCTATGGGTCCTGTGCTTTCTTTTTCCCTTTTTTCAAAATAGAATCTTCCACACAATTAAAATTGTGTCTATTTTGAAGGATTCTTAAATATCAATTTGATAGTTTTTTTTACATCTCTTTTAATACTTTGATTAGTCATTTTTCATTTCCTTATTTTTTTAGAACCTCTCAATTATTTTTTGTGTTGAGATTACTGAGAAATTACTTAATGCTAAGTTCAAGCTATGTGGAGTGTATTCTGATGTTATTTCTTTCATTTCAGATAATGCTGTCAGTGTAATAGTAAGAGTTTGCAGCCAACTAATTTTTTGGGCAAAAATTTAAATTTCTTGAAACAGACCTGATCTTTTGTTTCCTTATGTTCCATGTAAATGGATTTTTGGGATATTTGCAAGATAGTCATGTTCATTGATTAAATATAAGTAACACATTGGATGACTGCTAGAAAGAGCATTGCTGATCACTTATTATAGAGCTTCATAATTGAAATACAGCTAAGTGCTTAACCACGTGCAGTAACATTAAATGCTTCTTACTGCTAGTTCTAAATTTATGTAAAATTCAATCATATCTCAGCTATATTTCCGTAGAAATGTCTTTTTCTCTCATCTACCAGAACAAAATACATTAAATAACAAACCTCTTGCTGTAACCAATACTGAATGCAGTTATTTAACTGTGAATTCAGTCACATCAACCAATAATCTTCAGTCACATTAACCAATAATCTTTGCAAATCCACCGTAAGGTTATCATATCTTATATCGAAAAACAGAAATTTTTCATTTTTTAATAAATTTTTATATATTGCAGCATGATATGGTGTTAAAAATAGATTAGCAGTAAAAAATGTGTTGAATCTTTTAAAATTATATTCACATATTTTTTTATTGCAAATGCTATAGTATAACTGAATCTAAAATATCTATTAATGCCATCAAATTCTAAAAGCTAATTTTCACTGTTTTATTTTTAGTTCAAGACTATCATAATAATAATATCTCCTAATCAAGTCAAATACAAACAAAATAAACATCATTGTTTTCTAGACGAGCAAAATTTTGATAAAACTCTATGTGCTGTAGAAATTTACTGTTTAGTAAATGAGTAATTTATGTATTATATATATATTTAAAAATTAGAGATGTGTCTATTAAATAAAAATTCAGAGTAGTAAAATTATATATGTATACATGTACAAAGTAATGAAAATAAAATTTTGCAACTGAGGAAGAAATTAGTGTTTAGTGAGATATAAATAGCTCTAAAAAGGCCAAAAAATTATTAAAGCATTTTTGCTTTATTTCAAAAGATTGATATAAATACACATATTTTCATTTGATGACTAGATGAAATACATAGTAAGGGCAGTACTAAGTAAGTTTATTTATAATTTTGCTTTGCAAAGCTGAAAAATGAGCCCATGTATAAAAAGTTTATATTATTAACCTAAAGCAAGTATTTTGCTAGAAGTCTTTACTACAAAAACTTAAAGTAAGTTAATTATTTTCTTTTCTTTCTTTTAAAAGGCTGAAATAAATTCCTTATACTTCAGCATTTGTGATGTATGAGGATACTACTATTTTTCTTGATATTTAAAATGGCTTAAAATTATATTGTGTTTTGCATATAATGCATTAATTTGAATCAAATAAGTTAGGAAATATCATTTAATACATTATTGCCACATTTTTTTTTCAAACATATAAAATCCAAATATTTATAGGCTACTTTTGATGTAAAATTTATTCATTTGAAGTATTGAAGTTTACCATTATTCAGTTCATGGAACTGAAAACGGATTGAATTGACAGAAAGGGAAATTTCTAAATTTTGAGAGTGCTAGGCAGTGTATTTTAGGAAAGATAAACTTTTTATGACGTGTGTAGATTTTTCTTATTGGTATAAAAGTTTTAACCTTTTGAAGACAGGATGGCCATTATAGTGGCCATAGAGTCCTCTCTGTGAAAAGATGGGGTTGTCCACTTTAGTGGCCATGTCTTTTTCCCCCATTTTCCAGGCTGAAAAGTGGGGTGAAATGTCAAATTCGACGTCCCTTGGGTTTTAACCACTTATCTCTTTCAAAGGTCTTCCTTTTGTGACATAGATGCACCCCTCTGAGAATCCATTAAACTACACACAAGAATCTTTGTTGCAAATAGGAGATGATTTCTTAAAGGGGGGAATGCATTCAGTTCAAGATTACCCGTCCTTTGGTAGCTTTTGCTGCTACCAAAACCCCGGCCTCAAAAGGTTAATGAAAGTTGCATGGGCATAAACAAAAACATATTGCATATTTTGTAATTAAGCTATGCTTCTATTAATTTCTTATATTTGTAGACAATAATAATATAATTAAAAATGTGGCTACAGACATATAGCCGACAGCAATTAACCGATAGGACGATTAACCGACACATGCATTTAGCCGACATGGACATTTAGCTGAGAGGACATTTAGATCTGTTGTGCAAATTTCAGTGAGTGCTATTATTGTGTAAAATTTACATTATTAGATTAGAGCTGTCTCTTTTTGACAGACTGAGATATATTTGTAGGTAAAATTGACATATTACTAAACATAACATATAAATGCATAGTGCAAAGAAATTCATTAGTGCAAGTGTATATGCATACAAATTCGTGAATATATAAAAACTGTTTTTCTTAGAAACCTCTTTAGAATTTAGGATATTGTTTGATTAACAGAGTGTCACTTAGCACCAAATGTAAATGCTGGTGCAAAATCTAAATAGAAATATGATCTTCAATCCTAACAATACTATACATAGCATTGTAAAAAAACAGCTCTTTTATTAAATCCAATAAATAATACAGAAGTTTATAAATAAGAATGCATGTAATTATTCCATCTCACAGTTCCATAGTGATTCATTCTTAATTGTAATAAATATAATTTTACCAACATCAGTTCTTGATACCAGAAGCAAGTAAAACTAGAACATAGGAACTTTTGAATTAGCATCCACTCTGTAAACTTTCTTTCTTGCAGAATGATTTTTTTAGTAGCAGTGATAGTTTTTAGTTTTAGAGCAGTCACTCCATATGGCTGACACTTTTGTCTTTCAAAAATTAACCCTGAATATTTGTTATTTGATAATTGCAAAATATTGTCATCTGTACTAATCCTCAATGATGTTATTTGACACACAATCATGATTAGCATTGCATTAATTGAAAAGTATGAAAATTAGTGACAAATTTAAAGCAACACTATGAGATCAAATTACCTTAATTTGAAATCGTTATTAATCTGACAAGTTGTGTTATTTGCATTTTTATTTTATTGATAATATTTAATGATTAACTTTGTGTGAAATTGCTTCATATTTTTCTCTTTATATCTACTTTATTTTGTGTATTAAATTTCATAATTTGAAAATAAATTTATGTGAATATATTTTGTTGTTTGTATTTTTAGTGTTATGTTTTATCATCTGTTTAAACATTTTTAAAACTTATTTTGGGGTTTATTCATTTTATTTTTTAGAATCTTCAGTTTGATATTCAGGAACATTTTCTGCAAGTCAATAACATTCAGAAACTGTTTAAAAAAGTGTGTACTGTTATTAAGTGTCCTTTTGTGGAAATAACTATGACTGAATTTTTAACTAAGTATGACCAGTTGGTGGAAAATATTGAGAATGAACTTGCTTGTGTTAAAGTTATTTATGCTCAATATTCAGAAAATGAAAAACGTCTAGATGAATTTCAGAATTATTCTTCGGATCTGAACAACCGAACCTGTGATATTTTGCATAAAATTGAAAGTAACCAAGATGACAAATCAACTCTATTTCAAAATATCCAAACTGTTATTGTAAGTTTATATAATTTTTATTTTCTATAATTCTGATTGCTCACTTTTAGACTAAAATAAAGTAGATTAAGTTTAAATTGCTTAATTTTCTAAGTGCTGTTTTAAATGTTTATTTTAAATGACTTTAGAGTGAGTATCATTGGGAATGAATGAAATCTTCAAATGTTTATTTTTTTAGAAAGCTATTCGTAATAGAAATTCTAATATTTTAATTTTTTAATTAGACTTGCATAAATTTAAAGCATTATGTGATGCAATATAATTTAATGAATATTAAAACATTTGACATAAATGTTGTATAGTTAAAAATTATTAGTCTGTGTTCTATATAGAATGTTTATTTGAATGAATTTTTTTTTTTTTTTTTTTTTTGCTGGTTAGATGTAGTAGCATTGAATAACATGTGAGAAGATAAAATTGTAAGAGATGGGTAATGAGTTAAATTTATGTAAATATATAGTAATTCTTTTATAATGTAAAATGTATCTAATATTCCTTTTTCAATAAAGAAATATTTTTTTCATATTTTCAAATTTTTTTCTGAAAAACTTGTCAAGGGAATCATAGAATAAAATTTTGTACTGTTTACTCTGGTGTTACCAGAATATTTCCCTTCATGTACAATATCAAATAATTTTTATTTATATCAAATGTTTTCTTCAGATTTTTTGTATAATAATATTTTGTATTTGTGTTGCATTATAATTAGAATTGAATAATTTTCTGCAATTTTTAGGTATATAATTTATAATAAAGTGAATTAATTAATTAGTTTTAATTAATTAAAATCAAATAGCATGCACCTTATAAATTTAGTTTATTCACTTGTGTAACTGTTCTTATCATATGTTGTATAGTAATCAGTTAATTATTCATTTTATGTCTTTAAAGGAATTAAAAATCTTATCCTTTACTGTTACAGCACAAATTAATTGTCAATTAATTTAGTTTAATTTTGAGCATAGACACTGTAAACTTCATATCTCCATCCTGCTTCCTTTACTTCATTTTTGTCATTTTTGCTCACTGTTGATTTAATTTATATCCCTAGACTCTTCATCTTCTTCAGTGACTCAAGATCTTATGATAGAGCCTGACCTTCTTCACAGTTTCATTCCAGGTTGTTCTACTGTTGGCCTTAGTCTTTCAGTTAATAACCTTTTAAGTTAGACAAGTCTGTCTTCAGACAGTCTAGACATCTGAGTTTTAGTATCCCTGTTTTTCGAGTATCTATTAGTTTTGTACGTGAATATTTTTCTAGTAGTCTATTTTTGAGCATTATGATTAGGTAAACAGGCCATCTTAATTTTTGCATGCTGGTAAAATTTATGATGTTTGGATGCCCATATGTCCTATAGATTTCTACATTGTTTCTGCGATTTATCTCACTTGTCTGACAGTAACACCAGAACGAGTCCATGAAATTAATTGTAGCAAGGACAGCAAGATAGTGCCTGTTGTTGGCAAGAGCCTTGAGCACCATACATGTGACAATATGACTTTGCTCAGTTCTATCCCCGAATTTGATGGAGGATGGCTCCAAGATTCTCCCACTCCTGCTAACCAAGCCTGCTACTTTTGCTCAGCGCTTTTATTCTTGTTTCACCTTGCTGCTGCTAGCCATATGTAGTTTGCTGCTGTGCTTCGTCCTTTGTCTGTAAAGTTGTAAGATACGTACTGCAGATGAAATTTATAGAATTGTAGGGTGCGTAGTGCACCCATAATGATGATGTGTGAAGGTATATATGCTTATCAAGGCTTATAAAATTGTGTTAATTATAAAATTGTGTTGAATGAATGGCCACATATGAATGTCCTTCATACCATCTACCCATAAAAGCCATTCCAGGGAATTAGAACACTGATAAATATCACATCTTTAACAGCTACCTCTCCAATCGCCATTTTATTGCACCCACACATGTTCACATATATAAAAGGCATATACATATATGTACCTATATATATGCCTTTTTTTAATTGGATAGTGCAGGTTTTGTACTTGAAATAATTAATGAAATGCGTATGTATTTGTGGGAAAATAGGCTTACATTAATTTGTATTTAGAAGGATGATTTTTCTTTTTAATATGCACATTAAACATTAGTTCTATTTTTGAAAAATCTGAAATTATGATAATTTTGCAAGTAACTTCTAATTTTTTGCAATGCAAATTTTTTTTTATTCTGCACTTCTGTCTGCTGTTTTTTTATTTGTGTGTGTTTATGCATATGTATAATATATGCCAAATACAAACTGGGAATTATGAGAAGTCTGAAAAGTAATGCTTTTCAATTAAGCTTTTTATAGGCATTTCAAGTGCATTTTTATTTCAGTTCTGATTACTTTTTTAATAGCATCCTAACTGTCTTTCATTAACAGAATGAAATACGTCCATTAAGAAGTTACTTAATTTAACCAAGATATGAAGATGTAATTAAAAAAGTGAAAATAATAGCTTTTCCTTTCTTTTGTACTCGTTCATTTGAGCAATGTGTCTTAATTTCATATAGTTTAAATGTGTGTATACTTCTGTTAGTTTTATTTGGTTCATTCTTATTATTCCATTTGTAAAACTGAGAAATTAGCAAAATTGTTTAACATATATTCTTAATTTTATGAGTTCATATTAAGCTGTTTTAAAATTATGTAGCATTTGTGTATCATCACATAGCCAGCAAGTTACTTAATTTCTGCTTATAACTAATTAATATTCCTAGTGAAAACCTACGAGGGCAATCCCCAAAAAAAGGTCTCCTATATTTTTAGATATACAAAGAACCATTTATTTTCTATAATTGCTACATCACTTTAAAGATTGAAGAATGCTTTATTTTTCAACATAATCGCCATTTCATTCAATGCATTTTTGTAGACGCTGTGGCAGTTTTACAATGCCCATGTCATACCAGCTTGCCGCCATGCTTTTCATGCTCATCTTTCACCTCATCATCGGTGACCGTCGTCCAGACAAATGTTCCTTCAACTTAGGGAACAGGTGGAAATCGCTGGGGTGCCCATTGCCGTTTGTGGTCTTCTGTCAGCATACGCGGCACCCATCTTGCACACACCTTCCGATATTGCAACGTTTCCGTTAAAATCCTGTGGATGGTGCTTCTGGAAATCTCAGGAACCAAAATGCAGAGAGCATCCAGAGTGATCATCCGAATTTTACGCATGAGTTCCTCAACTTTCGCGATTGTCTCGTCAGCAATTGACGGCCTCCCGCTTCTTTCTTCGTCATAAATTTCAGCTGTAAACTCGACCGGCTGTAAACTCTCTACGCCACTTGTGAACGTTTTTGACATCCATGCACGACTGTCCATACACGTCCGTCAATAGGTAGTGAATTTCAACTGGTTTAACGCCTTTTTGCGTTCAAAAATCGAATAACTGTGCACTTCGCACTTGGCAGTAACGTTTGTCGGGAGCTCCATTTCAAATGGCTGCCAAGCCAAGACTGAGCATCCGAGCGAAGCGCCTGCATGCTTATGTGGTAGCGTAGAAGGCACCACTCACAACAGTGTTGCCAACAACCGTATTAAAACTTTCTCTATGTCCCCAAAAAATAGGAGACTTTTTTTTGGGATTGCCCTCGTACCTTGAAATTTTTCTGAATTCAGTAGATATTTTCATGCATATATATATGTTACACTAAAATATTTTTTCTTTTGGTGGTGAAAATTTTCATATTTATTCTCATGTTTGTTTACATTAACTTAATGTAAATGATGCTAAAAGGCTTTTGAATTTTCTTAGGAACTGGAATCGGAGATTACAGAGAATGAAAATGCATGTTTGGAAATTGAAAATGCAGTAATATCGTTAGCCATGTTTGATCCTGAAGAAAAGAGTGTTTTAAAAGTTATCCATGGAACATTTGATGATTTAAAGGCTGCTGTGAGAAAAAAGAAGTTGATGATGTTGAATGAAATAAGAACTCTTCCAGAATCTGAAATTGAGAAGGGAATAAATTTGTGGCTGAATAAAATAGTTGAAGCATATCGTAGCTCAAATGTTTCAGAATTTACTTCTTTAGCAGAAATTCAAATGTACAGATATAAACTTCATGTAAGTAGCAATATATCATTTTCTCCTTTTATGAATCTCACAGTTTTATTATATACTGTATAACCTCCATTTTTTTACTAATTTTACTTTCTAAAAATTGAGAGCGGAAAATTTGCAAACAAAATTATTTTTTGAAGAACACGGTTACAGTAAGATCATTACAAATGAAAGGTAGTCATGAATAAACTGCAGGTAACTATCACAATATTACCTGTTTAAAAGAAATTTGCATTCCAATAAAAATGCGTAATAATATTAACATTATAATATAAGATATCTTCACTTCTAACTTCTCTGTAACTTGAATCTCGCCCATTCTTATTGTTGTCTCTGGTATCCTCAAGTCTCAAATCATCCATAAATGCTTGGAAAATGTATATGTGCAGCTGACTTAGCAGAATAATAGACTGAATGTCAGTTAGTCTTTGCTTTGCTATAATTGGTTTTTGTATTAGGCTGGTATAAGGTTCAACAGTTAGAAAGGGAAAGGTTTGGCGTGATCTTGGCAAGTATTTTATGAGGATTTGTTTCTGCTAGTAAGATGAAAACAATAATTACAGGAAGAAATCTATTTTAAAATTTAGCAGAACTTGTTCTCTGAATGCATGGAAGAAGAGTAAAATTCTGTGAGTACTCTTAAAATTTTCAGAACTCGGCACTAAGAAGCTGGGGGAGGGAATTGTGAGGGAGAAAAATGTGCAAGGAAGTACGGTGGAAGAGGTACTAAAATGCATATCTTGTCAAGATAATGTAATTTCTATACTTATTTTGATTTTTAAAGACAAAAAAAAAATTTATATTATTTATTTTATTTTACATTAACGTTAAAGCACAGTCTCTCCAGTACTTTTTAACAACTATCCTCATACGGAGAAAGTGCAGTACAATTTAATTAATTTGCATATCAAACAACAATGAAATATATTAATGGTATACTAAAAAAAACAATCTGATGCTTTATTGTATTGCAAAGTAGATGAGATAGTGGAAGGAAGTAAGAAACTCTGAGAAAGTTATATTTTGTTTTAGACATTGTCTTTTGGTTTATTATTATCAATATTTACAAAAACCTTCTTCCCTCTCCAAGAAAATTCTTATTGGGGAGGAAATGTTAATTTTTTATGTATAGTAATAAATTCAAAAGAAATTGTGTTGTCTGATTCTGTGTGTACTTTTTGCAGGGATATTATCAAGAACTTGATACTATTAGAGAAATATTGACTGCTAAAGGAAAAGTACTGTATGTCACTTCAAAATCTGAAGTCTTTAATATGGATCTAATTCAAGAAACAATCATGGAATTTTCCAGTTGTATTTCAGAAGCTGATAATCTTGTACTTCATTGGTCTGCATTTAATGAAATATCATCAAATTTAGCATCTTTCTTGCAAGATATGCAAACATCAGTCAATAATCTTGCAACAAAAAATCTAAATAATGAAATCTGTCTCTTAAATAATGTTGCTAAGATTAAAGTGAGTATCATATTTTATTTCTTTTCCCTATAATTGAATTATAGTTGATATTTCTAAATATAAATTGATAATTTTACAATCTTTGTGCTTTTCTTTTTGTTTTACTACAGTCTTTGTGCTTTTCTTTTTGTTTTACTACAGACAAATCTTGTTGAGAGGCCATCTTTTAGACCATGAATAAAACCTCTTAATATCTGGAATATCTGTTATTTGGAGTTTTGAATAGGTTTTTTTTAATACTAATGAGGAAGTTATTTAATCAAATGAATCAAAATTATGAAAAGAATTTGCATTAACTATTAACAATTTATTTCAAGCCATTTTATATGAAGGAATGCAATATGATAATACATATCATAAGAAAAGATAATATTTTGAAATAAATGTTTGATTATTTTTGGAACAGTTGTTTAAAATTTCTGCATTGAATTTGATACAAGCATTTATGTTTTATGATATTGCTCTCTCAATAGGGAACACCTGCTTGTAATGATATCCAAACTTTTCAAAGTGTCCTTTTTTGGTTGCTGCTTTTTGAAAAATTTCCTTGCAGTTTTTTCACTCTTCTAAAAGTTCCATCATCAGTGTCAGCACTGACAGTTTTGATGTTTGTTACGATTTTGACAAATGTTACATCTGAAATAGACACACCATTATCACTGTTGATGTAGTTGCTATCATCCATTTTATAGTTTTCCCATGTTTGGCTACTTTCTTCAGGAGCTGTATAAGCAGAATATTCTTTGCTTCTGATTCATAATCTCCAACAAAATTTCCATCATGCTTTTAAAGCAAAGCTCAATAGTTTTTTTTAGATCTTTCAAAAATATATTTGGTGGCATTTAGAACCAAAGAACAGAAACTGTAACAGTTCATCTAATCACAACCAGAACTCGGCACTAAGAATTCGGCACCAGAACTCGAAGATTATACCTGAGTCATAGCCTTTAAAATGTTTTGGATGTTTAAGAATGTGAAGGTCAGCTTTTAGTCTTTTGATTTCTCTGTAAGCAGTACAGTTAACTGCAACATCAGCAGGATTCTCATTCAGAGGCTTTAAAACTTTTGGGACGTTTGAGGATATGACTGTAAGGTCAGTTTTCATTCTTTTGATTTCTCTTTAAGCAGTACAGTTAACTTCAATGTCAGTAACTTTTTCCTTCTTATTTTAAAATTTTTCATTCAATTCTTTTGTTGCCTCTAGCCAAATTTGAAACACATGTATTTAAAAGTTAGCTCAGAGGCATTTCATATAAACATTTTTAAAGCATCTTGCTGTTAAGCATTTATGAGTTACAAGAAGCTTTCAGTTTATTGTTTACTAGTTATGTTCACACCTAATAATACATATATTTAGTCTTTGCTAAATATAAATTAATAGCATTTTCATAGTGTATATTGTTTGTTAAAATCTTTTGGTTTCCAAAATTCTTTTATTATTTTAAAGGCCTTTCTTTTTATGATGATTTCTGATAAAAGCATATTTTTGGCTCTGGCTCATCTGAGCCATTTCAGAAGTATGGTTTTTGCTTATTGAAAGTTTCATTTCTAAAGCTTTCTTTCTGTTTTTGCTTTAAAGTAATTGCTGAGCATTTCTTTTGTCATGTCTTAGTGACTCAAATATATTCTTGATATATTTATTGTGTGTTTTGACAAGTTGTATATGCTTCATATAAATAAATTTACCTTTGCAGTTAGTGTTTATAGTGGCATTTTTAACTTCCCAAAGTTTATTTGCCACATCCTCTGCATAAAATTTGCTGAAAAGAGCTGTTGCTGTTTATTTTGGGATTTTTCTTTGAGAAGTGGAAGAAAATTGAAATTGCTTACTGGCTAAATCTGCTGAACACATGCTCATTCCTGAAACTGTAAGAAACCACACCTCATATATTGTGTTTACTTTCCCCAGAAACATATCAGACCGCTTCATCAAATGACGGGTACTTCATTCTCGGTTCTAGTTTCATAAAATGGAAATTAGAAAATATGTTACTTCCCTGGATAAATAGGTAGATTACCACTATTTTTTTTTTGATTGACAGATGGCGACTGATTTGAGAAATTTGTAAAGGGGGTAGGAATGTTGTGTAATGATGAGAAAATTTTGAATAATTATGAAAACCATTTTGAATGATGAGAAAATTTTGAATAATTATGAAAACCATTTTGAATGTGACCCCATAGCTGGTGTGAATATCTCAAAAGTGATTTAATAACTAGTGAATTTTATATGGAAATGAAATAGGAATTGGGGAAGGGTATCAAAAAATGTTTAATGTAGTAAGCAGAGTGCTATCTATTAAAGGTGATCTTTTAATGATATTTTACTTTAATAGGTAGTAAAGTATTAAGTCACAAACAGTAATTTCATATATTAGTTCTATATTGTTCTTACTAATAAAAATTTACTTTTATAGTTATTATAGTATAGATTTTTTTCATTTTTCAGATTTTTGTAGGGTTATGATAATTATAAAAATGTAAATTATAGTGTTTTTAGAACTAAGATGAAGTAAAACGAAATCAGTTAGAGAATACAGTGGTTTGATATGATTATTTTAATGTTACATTTTGCTATTGACTGTTGATATTCTTTAGGTTACGTACCTGTATGCAAATATTAAAAAGTTACATATTGTCACCATGTCGTTTTCCATGATAGTGATATAAATCTGAAGTCCATAAAATACGTGTAGTGTTGTGTCTGTATGTTGGAACAAGAATCATTGATCAAATTTATGTAGCCTTTTCAAAGTTATGTGTTAGCTCATATAACTGTGAGTAAATTTAAATGAAATAGAAGCAAGCAGATAATTGGTTGTTAATTATTCTGTAATTCACAAGCAGGAAAGGTATTCATGGGTGGGATGGAGTAATACTATGACTGCAAGTGAAATGTTTGATAAACATTTCATTTTATAATATTTGCTTGATAAAATAGGATTGCTACAATTACCATAGTCAAAATCTGCCACCATTATCCCTTAGCTATTTTGATATGAGTTTTGCAATTCTTTCCTAAGCAACTTAATAAAAGTACCATTATGCCCAACAGTCCATAAGCCATATTTTCAAAGTAGAGGAGTTATAAGATTTTGTCAGATGAATTTGAAGAACTGTTGAATTCTGAAATGTTGTATAAATATTACAAGTTTCTGATGTTATATTATTTGTAAATAAACACATTGTTATATTATTACAAATTTCAGTATGTTATATTACATGTGAGCTGCTCAGCCAATATATTGGTTAGCGACCTTGACTGCCATAGCGATGGGCCTGGATTCGAATCCCAAAGAAGGCATAGTTGTAACTGTCCATTTCTAATAGAAGGCAATGGTGGACCGCATATTAGGTGCTTCCGTAATGAAATAGCTACCATATCTGCAAAAGAGGAACCTGGAAGTCACCCTGGAAAAGAGGAGCAAGAATATTACATTTTTTTAACATTAAGGACAAGCAATAAAAACTGGTTTCCTGTAGTTTGATTTATACTGATTGCTCATTTAACCAAAGGAACCACTTCTCCTTAATTAACTTTCTCCATATTACATCATTAATAACTTTTCATCCCTAGTAACTGGAGAACTTTGTGGTTGAATAAAAGTCTCTTGCATGCCATCCTGCTCTTTATATTAATGTTATACAATTCTTAGCAGTATGTTCATTTGGAAATCAATGGGGAAAGATGTAGATGCACTGCAGCAATTTACACTTTAAAGTGAAACAGTATTTAGCCACAAGCTGCTCACACTGATGTGTTGTGATCTGTCAGTATGATCTTTTGACCACAGTTCTGAGGAGAATTTTCTATATACTGAGATTTTCATTACTGCTGGCATACTCATGTAATCCTATGTATCAATAAACATCACAAGATGACCATTTATGTGCCCAAATACATTCACTGCTTTTTTTGCCGCTCAATTTTATACTGCTTCACACTCTATTTTATGCACAGCAAAAGAAATAGGTAATTTTTTAGTCTTTTTGTTTAATGCTGTGTTATGTACGGTAAGACCCCGCTTAACGCGGGGGATATGTTCCATCAAAGTAGAGCATAATGCGAAACAGCGCTAAACGAGGCTATCTTAACATGTAAATAATGGGGTTAGGGGAGGGATAGAAAATTGTTTAGGTATTAAATTTAATAATTTTTTTTAATAAAAATAAAACCAAACATTTATTTCTTTTCTTACAAAATAAAACAATATAAACGAATATACTTATATAAACAAATAAAATTCCAAGTCAGTCAGATCATTCAGTCTATTCTGTGTTTCCAATTTTCTGCCTTTTTGTCAAGAAGGCATTATGATAGATTGGCTTAATGGCATAGTGCATTCAATTTCGTCGTCAATCCATATAGACAGTTGTTTTTACATTTCCTCATTATTTCTAGAACGGGTAATTCTGGTTGCAGAGCTTGATGTAGTTGCAGTTGCCGATGACAGTATTTTTTCTTTATTCTTAAGAATTGTTCTTATTGTTGAAGTTGCCAAATTCAATGCAGCACTAATTTGAGATTGATGTTCACCAGAATCTAATCTTCTAATCACTTGCATTTTAGTTTCCAGTGAAATGCTTTTTCTGGTTGCTTTCTTTTCTTGTTTTTTATTATCACCCATGATAAAAACTAAAAATCATAATATTTGTCACTGTATTAATCGTTATAGTATTATATAAATTTATACTTACAATAATGTCAACAAATGTTTCAAATGATAAAAATGCATCCATACAGCACCACACCAAACAAGAAACACAACTACACTGTTTTGGATATGTTATTTGGAAACCTAGCGCAGCCCACAATTTTGGGAAATCCCCATAGTGCTGGGAGCAACTTCGGGGAATCCCCGGGTTGGAACAAAAGAGCACTAAATGAAACAGCATTAAGCGGGGTCTTACTGTAGTTATAAATGTTTTAAACATACCAGGGTCTGAGTTTTTTATCTGGTGGGCATAACTATACTATATTTAAATTATTTTCATTAGTTTTATGCTATCTTCAAAGAATTTAATGCTCAAAATAACTGTGTAATATTTTATTCAATTATAATATTCTTCCAAATAGAAGTATTTGTTTATTTTATGCTGTGAACTGACATTAAAAATACTTATTGTGTATATTCAAATTAAGTGTTGATTAAAGCATTTTACAGGATTTGGTGCCTGTTAACTTGCTATTTTTGTTTATTCCTTAATAATTAAATATGAATTATGATGAATCACAAAATTTTCATATTAAAAATTATCCTATCCTGATAAAAATAACTTTTTCACAGCAATTATGATTTAGATAAATGATGTTTGTTTAAATTATCAGAAAATTTATAGTTTTTTCTTTTTTTTAACAGAAAAAATGTAAGCTATTAAAATTTTTTAAAAAATTCTGTTTGATGGCATAGTTTTTATGTTCATTTGCTTCCATTATTTTTAAAATTTCTTTTGCACTTTCAGAAATTTCAGAAAATGTTGTTTGAAAAAAGTAGCGATATTGAAGATGTGAAACGAATAGGTGAAATAATATCAAAGTCTAATAGTGAGCAATTAAAGAACTCTATAAAGTCTACAGAAAAAATGTTGAATCAGCTTCAATCAGAAGTTTCTTCTGCAATTTCTTCAGTGAAACTCATAACAGAAAAAAATTTTGATTTGTGGAACAAATATGTGGAATCTGTAGAATTATGCTGGATATTTTTAACTGAGCAAAAATATCTGTTGAATATATATAGTGAACCTGTGCTAAATTTGGAGCATTTGAATTATAACAGTTTAAGGTTGAATGTAAGTATTCTTTTTTTGTGTTTGTATATCAGTTTAAACCCTATTTTGAATTCAGAATTATTTTTTGTATTGCCTAGTGAACACTTTTTATACTGTGGATTTTTTTTTGGATTTCCTTCTTTTAGGGAAAAAGTGTGATAACTACATATTGTTTCTTTTTGTAATATGTAATCATTTACTTGATATCAATAATCTGATTGATCATATTGATGAACTATTTGATTCATATCAATCTATTGACTTTATATATTGATTCATAATGATCATCTATATTTTTATATGGTATTTGGATCTTTTTTCTTGTGCTAGTTAATTTTTCATCTTATGCTAAGAGTTTTGAAATTTTATGCTGTTAAAAATCTACACTTAAATTTTGATTTTTTGCAGATCTAATTATTATGGGCTTGTATTTAACCAGATGTTAATTGTACCTAAAACAGTTGATTAATGCATGTTTTGTTTATTATGTGTGTTATTATATGTTGTAGTGTTGCAATAAAATAAGTTAGGAAAGAATAATGAATGAAAATCTCAAAGAAGAGAAAATACATGCATTTGTAGCATATTATATTTATCAGTATCATAAATGTACACTGCAGGGGAGGGACAATATACTCTAAACTGTCAAGTTTTGTATAAATCATACAAGTAGTTTTTAAAAAATTAGCTGTCAAAATTTTACTTTCTCAATGTTAATTGAATTTGGCGTATATTTATTAATATTTGGTGTATATTTATTAAACTTTTTTGTTTTTTTCCCTTTTACATTTCGAAATTTAGGTTAATTCTAAATAAAATTCACCCATTTTTTGTGTTTTATTTTTAATATTTCTATTTAAAAATAATTTTTATAAATTTTGAATTATAACCTACAAAATTTTTACCATCATTTTAAAGGTAGTTCTAAGCATACCTGCAAAAAATTTTCAGTTTTTTTATTCAAAATTTTCTAAGATATACACGAATTTACATATTTTTGCATTTTGAAATTTGGCATCTTTTTTTTAGCGATAATAATGCCAAATGTGGTTTATGGATTTTTGTTACAATGAATTGCCACAGCTGTTTTTAACCTTAAATTTCAAATAAATTTTTAGGGAGAATTAATTATATGAAATTTTTCTCTCAATGATGCGTAATAAATATTTATCAATACTTTATAAGAAGCTATTTTTTAAAATTATATATGATCTTATTCAAATTTAAAAATTTTTTTTTAATTCCATTTTTTCTTCCATTTTTTTTTTTAAATATTTGTAAGAGTAAATTTTTATCTCCGCTGTGTTATCGTCTGCTACTTTACTTTGACTGCATTTAAATTGAATTGTCTAAAACTAAGAAAGTTCGTTTGATGTTTATTTTTACAATATTTTTAAGCAAACAGGGATGTTGATAGTTTGGGTCATGTCTCACCTTTAAAAATTATATATATAAGTATAAATTTTTACATCATTAATCCTCTTCGAAAGAATGTTTTAAGTAGCTAATTTTTTCTTGTGTTATAGATTGTATAAAAAACATGATCTTTAATATGATTTAGATCGTTTGTAGACCATATAATAGACCGTATAATAATCGGGTCAGTCAGTGGTATAGATTAAACACTGCTGGATTATTTTATTTCTTTGTCATTTAACAAAAAATCTTTTAATTAAAATATTTATCCTTTGGACTTTGCTTTAACGCCAAATGTGGTTTATGGATTTTTGTTACAATGAATTGCCACAGCTATTTTTAACCTTAAATTTCAAATAAATTTTTAGGGAGAATTAATTATATGAAATTTTTCTCTCAATGATGCGTAATAAATATTTATCAATACTTTATAAGAAGCTATTTTTTAAAAATTATATATGATCTTATTCAAATTTTAAAAATTTTTTTTAATTCCATTTTTTTTTCTTCCATTTTTTTTTTTAATATTTGTAAGAGTAAATTTTTATCTCCGTGGTTATCGTCTGCTACTTTACTTTGACTGCATTTAAATTGAATTGTCTAAAACTAAGAAAGTTCGTTTGATGTTTATTTTTACAATATTTTTTAAGCAAACAGGGATGTTGATAGTTTGGGTCATGTCTCACCTTTAAAAATTATATATATAAGTATAAATTTTTACATCATTAATCCTCTTCGAAAGAATGTTTTAAGTAGCTAATTTTTTTCTTGTGTTATAGATTGTATAAAAACATGATCTTTAATATGATTTAGATCGTTTGTAGACCATATAATAGACCGTATAATAATCGGGTCAGTCAGTGGTATAGATTAAACACTGCTGGATTATTTTATTTCTTTCTTGTCATTTAACAAAAAATCTTTTAATTAAAATATTTATCCTTTGGACTTTGCTTTAAACTCTATTTATAGTTAAAATTCCTAGAAAATGAAAAGCTGTCTTCAACTGAAATGCAGTTGATGTAATTGATATTTAAAAAAAAAAATGACAAAAATGCAAAATTTATGGAAGTCTAACAATCGAAAAATCTTAATTTTCTTGTGGTGAGCACTGAAAATAAATGTAGAAGGAAAAAAAAAATTAGGGAGAAAAGTAAGCAAAAATTTGAAGGGGAATTTGGCTGTCAGAAATACCAAGGAGTTTTGAAAAGTTGGATGCTTTTGAATATACTTTCAGAATACTTCAAGGAATGTGGGTGTTCAAAGAGAAAACACTTGAACGTGTACACCAGCAAATACCATCAATTGAGCTTGTGCTAATGGAAAAGACAAAAACGATATCATTTCAAATTAAAGTGAAGAGTGACTGGCTTACGACTATATGTTTGTATAAATTTAAATTACGTTATAGAACATCATATCGTCATAAACGGAGAATCTTATGATTTCTTAGTCAAACTATTTGAATATTCAGGAATTTATCCAGTGATGTATGTGAATGTCACCTAAAGGCATTTTCCCTCTTGATGAAACCAGTCTTTTCTTTCATCTCATGCCTTAAAATGCTCAGCCTCTAAAGATTGATAAAGGCTCAGACCAAAGTATTGATGAAATGTATTGATTTGGATTATTAAGTAAAGGCAAAGCAGTGCTATCTGCCCTAAAAGGAGGAATCCCTCCGTGAAGAACTTTCTAAGGAAACCAGCTGTCATACATGTTACAATGAGAAAAACCACAAAAACGCTCGTGTAACCAGCCCGTTCACTGGGATTCGAAACCCGGAGCGAACTACCAGTGTTCGTCAACTTTACCGCTCGACCGTCTGTGGGCCTTTATGAAATGGAAGGCGATAACTTAATTTAAAATGAATGCCAGAAATACCAAAATGTTTCAAAAAGTTGGATGCTTTTTAATATACTTTCAGAATGCCTGAAGAAAAAGAGCAAGCCATTAAGAAGAAAAAAATAAATTTTTGTATAAAATTTAGTATTTTTTAAATTTAAAACTTTTTAATCGTATGATATTTGATTCTTATGATTTCAAAAATAAAATATTTGACTAAAATATGAATAACATTTTAAGAAACTAAATGTAGGATGATAAAATTGTGTAAAGCAATGAGCACAATGTTAAAACTATTGAAAGCAATATATGCAAGTCATCCTAAGTTAAAATGTCGGTTATACATCTTTCTCATTTATATATCTTTTCTGAATGAAACATTGAAAGGCATCTTAACTGTGCTTTACTGTATTTTTTCTTTAATATATTCTGTTTTCAGATGCATTGTAGTCTGGGACACAAAGTATTCTTCCAAAAGAAACACAATTAAAAAAAATAAAATAAAAACATGGAAAATTTATGTTAATAAATATGTTTAAAATGCTCATTTCAAATGAATAAATAGAAAATTTGAAGAGACAATGCAACACAAACAATTAAAATAAAAGTCTAAAAATTTAAAAATTACCTAAACTTTGACAATATATATATATATATATAAAGAAAACTATTTGAAAAAAAAAATAAACGATGCACCTTATATTTAAGCTACACAGTTCGAATGGGTAAATAGAAATTAAAAAAAAAAAAAGTTATTCGAAAGAAACCATGCAACTTAAACAATTAAAATGAAATTCGAAAGAGGAAAAAAATATTTGAAATAATAACATAAAAATATAATATAAAGAACATTATTTGAAAGAAAGAACGTTGTGATTTTTTTTTTCCTGTCACAGGAAAGGAAAATAGGTTGCCATAAGTTGAAAAGTTCGCCAAGTGAACTATTCTTGGCGCAAACTGAAAAAAAAAAAAGCGCCAATATAAATTTGTGAATTTCTCCATAAATTTCGCACTAAATTTTACAAAATTTCATATTTGGGCATAATTTGAATCGTAGAATCGAAATGTGGGAAAAAATTGGTATGTTATTTCAGAAAAAGTCCAATTTCGTGTCAAAATAACTATGTTAGAATAGAGCTGTATATAAATCTAATATATATTTCCCAGGTCGTGCTTTCAAGACATGAAGAACGCAATTTGAATTTCGTTAATCGGCCCAGTGGAACAGGAGATATAGAACTGTCCCTTTTTTTTTTTTTTTTCTTTGTGCAGTGTACATATGTATTACTCTTACTATATTGAGAATGAAAAGAGTTTTTTTAACTAGTACAAGAGTTCATACATTCAGGGGCGTAGCTAGAGGGGGGCAAGGGGGCCATCTGTCCCCGGGCGCAGAATCCAAGGGGCGCCAAACTGATGTTACGACATTTTAGAATTAAATGTTTTCCATCCTTGGCAAGCAGTAGGGGGCGCGAAACCTTCAGTTGTCCCTAGGCGCTGAAAACCCTAGCTACGACTCTGCATACATTAGTAATTAAGTAGCAGCGATATGATTGCTTCTTGTTTTAGTCAATGGATCATCATAAAATTTGTAATATAAAAGTCAGTTTATATTATATCACTAGGAGCAATGTTGCATTAAAAATTTTACAAGCAAGCGGTAAAGCATTTTTAAAAGAATAATTTTTTCATATTTAATGAGAGCAATTGTTTCATATTTAGTGGTGTTTCATGGCGGATCACAGTTTTTCTAATATTACAATAAATATGATGAATTCAAGAACCATGAAAGATCATGGAACTATTATGTGGAGAAGAATAGCATCATAGAGCTTTTAAACAGATATTCAGAATTCTTGAAATCACTTCTGTACTAAAGACAAGGGATGACTGAAAAATTACAGTATAGGTTGTAAAATGTTGCTTGTAATTTTATACTGATAATTTAACATTTAATCATTTTGCTAGTTTACATTTCTTTCATTGTGGATGACACTATGTGAAGTTTGCAAATGTTTGTGTGCTTTATTTAACTATCTGCCGCCCAGACGGTATAGTTGTTAGGGGAGCCGACTGCGATACTGAAGGGCCCAGATTCGAATCCCAGAGAAGGCATGATTGTAAATTGCCTGTCCCCTCATAGGAGGTAATGGTGGTCACCTATTAGGTGCCTCTTATAAAATGAGCACCAGATTAGTAATGGTGAAAGCCTAAAAATGGCTTGTGCCTGCCATTAAAAAATATTATTTAACTATCATTAGTCAGGAGGTTACAAAACACTCATACTCTAGTATAGAACAGACAGATCTGAAATTCAGCAAAATCTTACACAAAAATGGCTTAAAAATGAGGAAATTACCACAAAATCATGTTACAATAATAAACTACTTTTCATTTTACCATATATCTGGACAACCATTTTACGAATATTATTTTATATCAAACTACAAAAAGTATAGTGACCTTAAAAGGATATGAACATGAGAGGGTCAATCATTTGGATCCTTGCTGCTGAAACTGGTAGGCTATTTTCAGAACCTTCCATTTAAATTCAGTTTCCCATAGTTTAATGTATTTTAAAATTAGCATCACATGTATAGTTTCTTCTTCTTCTCCCCCTAAAAAAATCCGCTTTTTACTATTAGTTATTAAGTTTGGGTTTAATTTCAAAAACAAAATATGTAAATAAATGTGCCATGTACATTGTATAAGAATTATGATAGCTATGGCACTTCAAAAAGATTTATTATAAACACTTTACTATTTTTAGTAAGAAAACAATCAAAGTAAAAAGTTTTAAATTAAAGTAGAATTTATGTATATTTGTGCATGTGTGTTTGACTAACTTAAAGAGTATTTTCAGTTTAAAAGTATAACTTAATGTTTGGTGTATATAAGAATTGCATAAAATAATGAAAATATATAAACTACGAATATCTTATTTTAAGGATTTATTGCGAGAAATTGAATGCAATGAGACAATTTTACAAAATGCCATATCAAAGGGCTCTAATGTTAAAGAAATTATCAGTGCAAGCAATCATTCTACTGTGAACTCAGATCTGAAAATGTTAGAAAATCAGTAAGTAAAGTTATTGGTAATAAAACTTAATTTTTATTTCATACTAATTTCTGCATGATTGCATATATATTATTGTCTCAAATAGTTCTTTTATTACTAAGTTCTAAATTAACATTTTCATTTTTATAATAGTAATTTTTCAGTGCTAATTATCTGAATCTTTTATTGCATATATTTAAGTTTTTTAAACTTGTTAAAATAATTTCTTGTAATTCTACTCATTTATTTATAAATATGAATGTTATTTTAACAGCATAATTTGTAAATAACTTGCTATGTCATGGCTGTATTTATTGCTGTTAAAGGGTAATTTAAATTATTAATCACATGTGAATTAATGTGAATTTAGAAAAATTTTTTTAGATGTTTTTGTGTTTAATTCAGAACTTATATTTTTTAAAAGTTGCTATAGCAGGTAGCATTATGAATAAATGGTAAATGCAGAATAAAGTTAGCGATAAGAAGTGCTGCCATACTGTAATATCTGTGTAGAAATGTATATAGTGTAAGAAATATAAATTTACGAATTGCAATTGGAAAATGATACCCATGCATTCATTAAAACTGTATTATGTAATGAATCCATAAAGCAAAAACTGCAAGAAAGAACACCACTTTAATGCATTGGTGTTAAAAAAAAAAGTGGTACAAAAATATATCAAAGCAAAAAAAAGGGGGGGTTTAAAAAATGTGAGAAATTTAAACTGGCTAATGTATCCCACTTTAATATTTTTTAATAGCATAGATTGAAATTAAAGACACAGACTGGACTTAAAAGTGCTAGTGTCTGAAATATTGTTTTTGTATTTTGTCTGATTTCTTACTATATGTGCCCTTCTGACTATTAAAAGAACTGTTGCCTTTGGGTACTTGTTTATACAGATATAAATTTCTTTTTAACGGTTTTCTTTGCTAAATTTTAATGCTTTATCGTATGTACTTCTAAGTATATATTCTGATCTGTAATTTCTGCTATATTCAGTTTTTAACAAGTTAATAATGCCTATATAAGATCTTCAATATATAAATCAGGTATTGAGACCAATTGATGGTCATGTTAATGAAATCACAGAGCTATTTGCTATTTTAGAATAAAATGATTTGGATACATTGAACTTTCTGAATAAGTTTCATGCATGATATGAAAATAATATTTTTTCAGGAACTCCTGTAAAATAATTACCTCATAAAGTTCTTGCATAAGTTTTAAGTTAGATTTTACTTCTTTTGTTAAATTTGTTAACTCATTTTGACTTTATTAATGCTATAAGGGTAGCAGGCCTTAAAATGTTTTAAGTTATTCACAAAAATAATGAAGTTAATTTTTCTTTCCCTTTTACATTTTTTGAATGATTTTAAAGAATTTTTAATTTTATTTTATTTCACACATACTGTTATTTTTGGTCCATACAATGAGCTTGTGGAATGAATTTGAATACTTCACACAGTCAATAAAAATACTGATTCTGTTTATATATATATATATATATATATATATCTGAATAAAAGGTATTGATGATATTATGTTGATTGTAAAAGGGAGCTGCTATACTAAAATGTAAGTTTGGTGTGAAATAATTAAATTGGTAATTCATTGCTTGATTTAGCTGGCGATGCCTTTGTGACGACTGCAGCACACATCTTACAGATCAGCAATGTCTGATTATAGAATGGAGTGAATATTTAAAAGAACTGGAGTCATTGCATAAATGGATCATGAAAATGCAAAATCTCTTGCTATGCCTTAATTTAAATAGACCTTATCCCATTGCTGAGTGTAATGTAAGCATCACTTTTTGATTTCTTTCCTCATTTATTATCTTATTAATTCTTTTCATTATATTTATCTTATTATAACTAAATACTGTTAAAAATGAATATTTTAGGTAATTTACAAAGAGGTTTAATCTACATAATTTGAAATTTGATTTTAGGCTGTTTTTCAAGAACTGGAGGATAATAAATGTACATTGACATCCTTACAAACGAAATATGAACTGATGAATAGAAGTTCTGTATTGCACTCCTTGACAAAAGAAAAACTTAAAAACAATCTGCTTTCAACAAAAAATGCTTTTGATTCACTAGAAAGTATCTTAACGTATTGCTGTGATATATTTTTGGAGATCAACCATGAGAAAGAGGATTTGGAAAAAAATCTTAATATAATCAAAGGCTTTTTGAATACAACTGAAAAGGTAAGATTTTATATCTTATAATAATTTATTTTAATGGTCAGAAAAACCTCGGTTAGAGCTTAGAAATAAATTGGATAAACTGATATGTGAATACTATCTTATTTTTCATTGCTCAAGTATTTTATATGCACTGTGTTAATCTGGCTTAAATAATAGCATTGCTGTTATGTAGAATATATAGTTAACTTTTTCAATCTCCTTTTATAAGAAAACATTTAGGTGATACCGCTTTTATTTCTTTTAAATAAGTAGTTTCTTGTATCTTCTAATCTTATATTATTCAGTATAATGTGATAGAATAATTTAAAAGAAAAATATTAAATGCACGATAAAAATTATGAAATTTGTCATCGTTATACTATTTAAAATAGAGCATTGTTAATAATACATGTATATCAATAGTAAGCTTGACTTGCAAAAGACATTTTTTTAGAGTTAGAAAATATGAGAAATTATACTGAAATTTTATTGACTTAAGAGATGTTTCTAAATTGTACTTGCTTTTCAGTCAGTCATGAACTAATTTAATTTCAGCAACACAAATATAAGAACATATACTTAACTACTGGATGTTGTTTATATTGGGTTTTAATGAAAGTTCCTGCTACCGCAAATCTCATCTGTGCAAACAGTTTGTTGGTGTGTTTAATCATATTTTGTCAAACAGTTTTGGGTACTTAAAAGAAAAAACTTTAGAACATGTTGCATGTTGCAAAATTTGTAAAAAAATATTGTTATCTTTAAGTACAAGGTGTCTAAAATGGAACTATCATGCTACCAAATTAGAACCATCATTTACTCCCAATTTGTTTGGTACCGAAAATTCAAAAACAAGGAGTATGCCATTCAAGAAGCAGAGTGCTCTGGCCAGCTTACTGATGTTGATGAGGCCTGCCTGTGAGAACTTATTGAAGAAGTTCAGTATGCAACCACTGAGAGTATGCTAAGGAGCTAAGACGTTAGTCGCACTATGCATCACATAAACTTGACATACAAGTTCAATCGCTGGGTGTCACATGTGCTGACTCAAGCAGATGAGAGATGTATTTGGGCCTGCACTAATCTACTCAAATATCAACACATGGACAAAATTCTGGACTGTATCATCACTTATGATGAAAAGAAGATTTACTTCAACATCACAGGTCAGAAAGGGAGTTGGTGGCACCTCACAAAGCTCAATTTGACTAACAAAAAGATCATGTTTTGTATCTGGTGTGACTGCCATGGTATTATCCACAAAGAATATCTGGAAAAAGGTGAAACTCTTGACAGTAAGGTGTACAGGGAGCTATCAAGAGCAACACTTGCAACACTCTTGATAGCAACACTGCTATCAAGAGAAAACTTAGAATTGAGTTCCGACATAAAAAAGGTAATGTTTCATCAAGATAATGCAAGACCACATGTGTCTGCATTCACCGTCTGGACTCTGTACGGACTCGGGTCTTTTGCCACACCCACCATATAGCCCTGACATTCAGCTTGTTGGTGCTATCTTCCATTCTGCACAGGACATCCGAAATGACGTTGATTTGCTTTTGAACTCGCGGCCACCAAGTTTCTGGGCCGAAGATTTCGAAAAACTACTACAGTACAAAGTCTGAAATCCGGACATCCATTATCTGGAATGATCTAAAATTTAGACCTCAAAGCCACAAACATTTTTTTTATTAATGCTTTACGCATGCTCATTTGATTTTTCCTTCCATAATAAAACATATGGTCACTTAAAAATTCCGATTCTTAATTTTACTTAGGCACTAAATAAAATACCTCATTATGCAAAAACAATCATGTAAGCATCAATTTGTGAGATTAATAATTTGGCTCCATAGCTGAGTATCTATTTGACATACATCTCAAACCAAAACATTCACCTATTTTACGTTGACGATCTGGCTAGTCATTATTTATTATATTTTGCTTTCATCACCGCATGTTTATCAATACATGACAGCTTCAGTAATAACTCATGCTGTGATGTCTAAACTTTTTTTATATTAGTAATTGAATAACAAGAGTATGGCAACCTTTTATGCTAACATTACGCTTGGCGATAATTACAGATTTTTAACCTTTTAACTGTCATGCCCGAGATTATCTTGGGCACAGCACTGGTGTTCGAAAATGTCACGCCCGAGTATTTCTCGGGGTAATTTTTTTTTGAGTGCATCGTATTGTCATACCCGAATATATATATCGGGAGATGTTTATTTCGGCTACATTTGGTTTTTCCAATAAAAAAATTTGACAATTTGTGTACCCAAATCATCAAAATAACTTGACAGTTAAAGGGTTAAATGCTCTGAGAGATGTTGACGTGGAAAAATTCAACAAAAATTTTTCATATGCTAAAAATAGATTTTGTTAATGAAACTTATAGGCCAAAAGTGCTATTTTAATTAAGAATAACTGATATAACCAGAAGTGGCGGCAGAATATGTCTTCACCGGATGGCAAAATTTAGGGAAGATGAAATTTTTAGAATTTAGGGGAAGCACCGAGCGGCAAAATTAAGGGATGGGAAGTTTTTATGATTTAGAGAAATAACTGGGATCCAAAGTTTAGGCACGGTGAAAATTTAGAATTTAGAAAAGCGCTTTGTAGCAGAATTTAGGATCCGTAGAGACTGCACCAGGCAGTATCGAGTGCCGGCCCTAGATAAAGCCTTAAGTATATGTGGGAGTTTATTTTATTCAGACTCGGATTAGTTTGAAGCATGTGCAAGAAATAAACATAGGTATAGTAAATAACTAATACAATTCAGGCTTAATTCAGTACGCAATATGAGCAAGACATAATTTAGCGAAAACATCTTGGCTTTCATCACCAATCTGGTGATACACAACCAATAATGTATAACGAACGCTATTAAGCTAGGCTAAAAATATCTTTACTGATTCTAAAGCATTTCAATTAATGTAGTGGACTGCATTGCTCCCTGATCTTCTAATTTGATCCAGCTTATTATTTTTTGCAGACTGTTATTATTACAGCAATTTTATAAAAACTAAGCTTGAACTTTCGATTATGTCAAAAAGAGTTTCCAATTCTGGAGTTGCCAAAGGATCTACAAAGCAAAACCATGTTTTGATGTCCATTAAATAAAAAGTAGAATTGCTGCAAAAAATGGATAAAGGCATATCCGTCTCAAAATTATGCGATGTGTATGGCATTGGAAAGTCCACTGTATATGACACAAGAAAAAAGAAAAAGAAACTTTTTGAATTTTTTGTGGAAGCATCTTAAATAACTTGCATTGAAAGAAATGTTTAATAAAGTAAACAAATAAATATTAAGCTTTTTAAAAAAAATTGATACCTATACGTCATAATTATTCTTTATTTCACAAATTAAGATTTCATATTTTTAATTGTATAATTTCTGCATGCCATCTTACCAGATTTAAATTGATGATCTATTATCCAGAAAAATTCCAAATCCAGAATCACCGAAGTCCCGACCAGTCCGGATTTCGGACTTTGTACTGTAAAACATTTTCAGAAAATCATAGATTTGTGTGGTGATTACTATCTGCAGTAAAGGTACTGCTTTCATGTTATTTTTCTAACTTTTTCAAGAACGTTTTTTGGGGAAAACATTTGTTATAACCAGATAAAAATATGTTTCTATCAATATATTTGTTAAAATATGTAATTGTACTGTTGCCTTTTTGTGCCATTACATAAGTAAGAAAAATTATGTTTCTTTCATAGGACTTAAGTGATGCCATTCCATGTTCTAAGGAAGATATTGGTAGAAATCTAGAAAATACTGGGGTAAAGATTAAATTTTTTGTAACAATTATTTCTTTTACTAAGTAAACTATATTCTTACAAAGTTTGAATAGAAGATATTTTTCTAATTGAAAGTTTTTTTTAATATACTGGACATTTATGATATAATTATTTACTTTAATGTCTGTAATCCTTTTTAGAAATAAAATAAGGATTATTCTGTTAATGTTTTATAGGTATCTTAATCTTGTTTTTCATCTTATTTCAGGTCTCTGTTTGTGATACTGCATCCCATTATGCATCTCTCCAGTGTATGAGAGGAGAAATTTCTCTTGGAAATATCACTGATTTCTCTATAATATGCAGTCTGTCAACACTTCTTCTCCAAATTCAAGAGCTAATATCCAAACTATCTCGACATTACTTTAGGTTGACAGAAGCTTATTCTAAAAATGCATCCTTCTGGGAAAATTATATTTTAATTTTTAAATTCCTCAATACATTTAGACAGTTTCAAGTGAAAGAGATTCCCCTGGATTATAGGAATTTATTTATCCATTATCTTAAGTTTCAGGTAAGTTATGCGACTACATTCATATTTGTACGTGGAAGTTTTTATGCATAATGCATTTTCATTTTTACATCATTTTGCAAGATTAAGACATTTTTACATCATTTTGCAAGTTATACTTAATTTAAAAAAAATTTTTAACCATCTCGAACTGCAGATTACTTATTATCTCATCTTTAAATAATTTTCAAGAATATCAAGAGAATGCAACAATTATGAAAGCAACTAAAAGTTCATTTGTAGTACAGGCTAATAATTTACAAACTAAAGCATCAACTAAACTTTAACTCTGCTATCCACTTGCAAGAAATACAGAAGAATGTAGCACTGACTGAGTTCCCAACACACTCTGTTTAAACATGCATTCACATTTGTTATTCAAACACATTTAATGTACATGTCTTGCAGAATCGATGGGGAAAATAGAAGTGCAGAAATGATTTAATAATAAAGAATAACGTGTTAATTAACCCCTTGACATATAAATAAAATATGTGTCGACATGTCCAAAGAATGCCATTTAATTTGGCTCAATTGTGGACACTCTTGTGCAAGCATAGAAACAGAAAATTATGGGGTTGGAGGGAAAGTTCTGTCGTATTTTAAATAGGCAGGTGATTTTTCTTGTAAATAAAAAATAAAAAAAAGCATCTGGTTAGTGAGTCAATCCGATTTTTTTTGTTTTTTTAGCTGCTGTATAATATAAAAGGTGCCCTTTTTTATGTTCATCATTTACTTGTAATATTTAAAGGGAAAAACATGTCGGTACATAAAGTGCATTTACGACACTGCATTTTATATGAATTCCAAAAAGGAAGCAACGCATCTGTTGCATGTAAAAATTTATGTGCGGTATTTGGAAAAGATATTGTAAATGTTCGTACTTGTCAAAGATGGTTTAGCAAATTTCGTTCCGGGGACCTGAGTCTCAAAGAAAGTGTTCGATCTGGACGACCATCCAAGATCGATAATGATGTTTTGCGATTCATGTTGGAAAATAATCCACATTTAACAAGTCGAGAAATTGCAGAAGAGTTTGGCATTCATCATACAACTGTTGGAGATCACATTAAATCTCTTGGGTTTGTGTTAAAGCAAAGTGTTTGGGTTCCACATGAATTAACGGAAAAGAATTTGTCTGATCGTGTAAGAATATGTTCATCACATCTGATTAGACACAATGCGGAGCCGTTTTTGGACAAGCTGGTTACTGGAGATGAGAAAGTGGATTCTTTACGAGAATATTAAAAGAAAAAAATCTTACTGCAAACCAAGAACATCATCAGCAACAGTTCCAAAACCAAGTATCCATCACGAAAGTACTGCTTTGTTTGTGGTGGGACAGGAAAGGTCCAGTGTATTACGAGTTGCTGAAACAGGGGAAAAAAACATCAACGCGGATCTGTATGCAATCAGCTGGATAAATTGAATGCAGCTATCAAAGAAAAAAGACCAGCTTTAGCGTCCAGAAAAGGAATAGTGTTCCATCACGATAATGCTCGCCCGCATACTGCAGTGGTGACACTACAAAAACTGAATGCGTTAGGATGGAAAATCCTTAGTCACCCCCTGTATTCACCTGACATTGCACCCTTGATTATTACCTTTCGATCTCTCTTTTGAAAGTGTTTCTAAGGCAGTTGCTGACTTTTTAACTCCATGGATGAGAACTTCTACAAACCGGAATTTTACAGGTTACCTGGAAGATGGCAACAGGTTGTAACAAATAACGGAGCATATATAATTGATTAATATTAAACACATATTTTTATAAATGAATTCAAATATTTTCTTTAAAATACGACAGAACTTTCCCTCCAACCCAATATATTTTCAAATTTACATTGCCATATAACAATAATAATATACTTCACAGCATTGGCTGAAGACAGTTCTTGATGTCTTGAAGGCATCAAAGTCTGTAACACATCAAATGAATGATGTCTTCTGGACGTCATTTTATGTCAAGGGATTAAAACAAACATTGCTGTTTTAAAAGTTTGTCTCAGTTTCTGACTTTTTCCCAAATCATATTATTTATTGTAATTTTTATTAATATTTGAGGAAAAATCATTGAAATTTATTTTGAGAATTTTATTTTACTTCTTGAAAGAGCTAATGTGCATTCTATTTATCATTGCTGAATTATTAAGAAATCTTTGAATGATTAGGTTATAAGATTAATACATTTAATTAAACTTCAATTATAAAACATTTTGAATTTGTGTAGTTATAAAATATTTCCAAAAATCTTATTAAAAGAGCAGTTTCATTTGTGCATTAGTATTTGAAAAGCATCATGTTAGGATGAGGAAGACACATTTTCTTTCATAAATAATATTTTATTTTTTCTCTGCCAGATTGGCAAAAAGAGCTTTGTTTATATATATATAAATTGCTGTGTATTTCTTTTAGCTGTACAGTGATATATCTTAAGTTTCCTTTCCCTAATTTCTCTGTGAATTTTGCGTTGTTGCTTAGATATCTTTTTTCGAAATCACATTTTAGTTATTTGAATAAAATCATGTATTATGAATGTTTTTTTACTTCCCTAATACAAAGTAAAGGAAATATTGTAATCCCGAAAAACTTTAGGGTAGCATATTTCAATGGAAATATCCATTTTTACCACCCCTGAATCCATTTGGGCATTTTTTTTTTTTGGAACATTTGTATTTAGGTACATGCGTATGTATATATATGTATGCATTGACATGTGTATCTGGCATAACTCAAAAATGTGTATGGGATTGCTGTAACATCTAGTTATGCACCTCTCTTTTTTTATTGCAATTGCAGTACCAAAAGTGCATATATATGTATACACACACAACCTGGCCTTTATTTCTTTATTTTCACAATCTTTTGTCGTAGACATATACTTCTAATTACGGAAGTGTTTTAAATGATGAAAATATTCATAGTTTGGCAATTTCAAATTTAAAAAAAAAATTATGACAGACAGCAAAATTTCACTTTCAATGTCATCTGCCAGTTCTTATATTTATATTTGGGTACGAAAAACTAAAATTATAAGAACTTTGACTTCTTATGACAAAAATTGACTTGGATGTTTAATTTCAAAATTTGCCATTTTTTATATCACTTTCAACCTTCCCTAAGGGATCAGTTATTTAAATTAGAATAATTCGAGAAAATAAGTTTAAATGAAGTGCAGTAGAAAGTGTGTATAATTTAGTGGGCAATACAAGGAAATCATGTGGTGTTCACATCAGATTATTTTAAAGTTCTGAACTTTTATTTAATTCCATTTACTTCTTTGGTTAAACAATGCTACCATTCTACCAATTTTGATTTGTCAACCTATTTTGAACAACATTTATTGGATGTTTTATTTTTTTTAATCACATGTTAATTATATGCCTAAAATCATGCATTATACGCATTTTTAGATTAAAAGTTTGAACTTATATTTAATTAATTTATTTATTTGGTTAACCATTAATACTCTTTGTACCAGATTCAGTTCGTCAGCCATTTTGATTATATTTCTTGAATGTATAATCTTATCCCACTGAGTTAGGAAAAATCATTTATAAAATCTGTTTCATTTTATGCTTATTTGTCATTTTTAAATTAGTAGCTTCAGAAGGAAGTAAAATTACTGATTTATTTGAGAAATAAATAAATACAATATACACGAAAATTGATAGCTTGAATTATCTCTGTTTTTCAATTATCTGTGACCTTTCTTCCCTGCCATTAGTCTGGATAATCAAGAATAAAATGTAGTAGTATTTTTTTTTTTTAAATATAGTAGAGAATGCTGTGATTTTTTTGTTTTGTTTTGTGATCTACTCTGATGGATATATTATGATTTATTTAATTTTTTTACAGATACTAGAAGTTTATATTCATTGCCATGAAATTATTGTACAACATATGATGGATACTGGACTTCAGCAAACATCCACAAGGAGTGAAGTTTACACTGCCAGTTTTCTTAAGATTTTTAACAAATTTCAGATGGAATGGAGCTCCTTAGAAACCACATATGCAGCAAAAATGTCTAGAATGAAACAAATTCTTTCTCTGTGGCAGAATTATTTATTTTATGTCTATAAGATACGTTCATGGATGCAAAACATTAAGAAGGATATTCAAGTGACTCCACAAATTTTAGAAGTAAATGAAATAGCAGCAGAGTTAGATAAGTTACAGGTATGTATTATATTATGCTAAGTGTACCATTTGCATAAATTTCAATAAAGTAAGGTATTGAATAGCTGGAGTAGGAGTCAGCAATGTTGTAGCTATGGTAGCTGCACAGTAGGAAGTGTTTTAAACAATTCGATTCATGCAGCAATGTATGCAGAGTTTGAGAATACAGGTCAAAAATACCGATTTAGAGTTTTATTATATATTAATTATGCATAATTTAAACATGTTTATTAACATAAAAATAAACAACATAAAGTATAACTATTCCTTTAACATGAATAAAAAATTTAAATTGTACATATATTATGTATCTTTTAAATATATTTATTAAAATAAACAACATAAAGTGTAAGTATTCCTTCAATATATAAAAAAATGAAATTTTAATGCGAACTTTTTTCCTGCGCTGCTCTACTTAATACCACAACATCAGGGGCATAATTTGTATCTTTGTGAATTCAAAATATTTTTCATATGAGGAAAGATTTGTTCACATATATATGTGGAACCAAAAGTGGAAAACAGAGCTCACACAATTTTCTTCAAGCAATTAAATCTCTCTGGCATTGGCATCCAGCAATTTCAGTAGCAAAGTAGTAAGTTAAGTAAGTTCAATTTCCATTCACTCAAGAATTGACAGTTTGGATGGGGTTATTAATGTGGTTTTTAAATCTGGTATGATTAGGAAGAAAAATATAGACATACAAGATTCAAAGTCTGTCTCTTTTAAAAAATGCCTCCTTAAGTGCTTTAACGTAGTTTTGAAATTTATCTTTGTCTATTGTCGATGTATTTGTAAGCTCTTAAATGTTCAGGAAGTAGTTGTAGGTACTGATACTAATATCAATAATTTAGGTACTGGTAACAGTAATATAGAAAATAAATTTAATTTTGTAACAAAGCTTTTTCAATATTCAAAACGTTTAAGCACTATTTGGCCCTTTCCTTCCAATCCTAAGTTTAGTTCATTGAGATGTTTTATTCAGAAGTTTAGTTAGTTTATTTCAGATCAGTCAGAAACATCAATTTGCATAGCCATTCTTTATCATTCCTTTTGGGGGAATGTTTTGTCTTTTCATTAAGAAAAATTTCATGTGGTGCAAGGCCCAAGGCGATATTTTCCGGAGTACCTTTGCAACTTAATGCAATTACCTCCACAACTTCGTTAAGAAAACTGAAGTAATTAAGAAAAAGCACTGGCTAAAGGGTAATGAAGGAAACCATTAAGGGTTTACGGGGAAAGAAGTGAATAAGGAGTCCACACTAAGGACGAAAAAATTCTTTCTGCTTTCAACCTGTTTTACTAGATTGAAAGAGAGAGAGGTGATGATTAAAGGCGAATTCCTGAATGCATTGCATTAATGGAATCGGAAAGGTTGGAAGACAATCAGCCGGGAAACATAATTTTCCAGGGCTTGGGAAAGGTATATTAGGTAATACGGAAAACCGCAGTAGTTGCTAATGCCTTGGGGATGGGCTGGGGGAAACCGAGTAGTTGCTAACTTGGGGAGCTGGGCGGGGAGAGGAGGACGAAAAAAAGGGGAGAGGGAGGGGGGGAAGGGGATTCGAGAGGCGAAAAAGTTCTCCTACCGCCCGTGGCGAAGGAAGAATAGGAGCAACTTTTGAAGCGGAAAGAACCGTGAAGAAAGTTAACTGTAAAAAAGACGGAGAAGTTTTAAGAGAGTTAAAGGGAAGACAGGCGAGGAAAAGTGGTTTAAGTTGGAGAGGAGAGGTGGATTAAAAAGGGGGGAAAGAAATAAAAATAGGGACAGGATTAAACTGAATTACCTGATTGAAGATGATAACTGAAGATATGCAAGCTTGTATATTTATATGCAGATTGCTGGAAACAAAAATTCATATCATAAAAGTGTTTGGAGTAGCATTATGAAAGCGAGTAAATTTTAATGATTAGAATAATTAATTTTAAATTTTAATAGTTAAATAGTTTAAGTAGATTGATAAAGTATTAAAGAATCTTTAAAGCTATTGTAATTTTGAATTTTAATTGTCTGGACCGTGTTTTATGAAAAGATGAGGTCTTGGCAAGTGGAGGAGCATGTTAACTATAGCAGCACGGATATAGAACCGAGAAACGAGGCCGAATTAGGTCCGGCGGGCATGTGGTAATATAGAGATAGTTAAGGGTCGCCGGGTTAGGCCCGTGAAGTGCTAGTTAATTTTAAAAATTTTTAGAAAGAATTCCTAGTCAAGCAGACACCTCCGCTTTGGCTTCCTAGGAAAGATGTTGAATGTTCTATCTAGAACGCTCCTAGGTCGCTTAGCTGAGCTGGGCTCAGCTGGATCATAAGCAGGAAGTGAGTGCAAGACTGGGTTTTCGATCTGTGATAATCTATTAAAGAATTTGGCCGAATTTTGCCGGAAAAAGGCATCAAGGGGTAGAATTTTGAGATCGTTATGAAGCACTTCATTACGGACGAAATAATGAGCATTTGTCAGAATACGAAGCGTGACGCTCTGGAATACTTGGATTTTCTTTAGATGGCTATTGGCAGCAGTTGACCAGACGACAGCAGCGTAGGTTAGGATCGGAAGGATGGTGGTACTTTTATACAGGAGGATCTTGTTGTTGAGAGAGAGGTTGCTGGTTCTTTTGAGAAGGGACATCAGTTGAGTTCTTGTAGTTCTTGCTTTGGATATTGCATAGTTGATATGGGTATTCCAGAGCAGCTTCGCATCTAGATATACTCCCAGATATTTGTATGAGTCCACCCAGGGTACATTTTCTTCAAATAATCTGAGTGGAGGGAGTTGACTATGGACATTCCTCTTTCTGGAAAAGAAAACTGTGGCGGCACTTTTTGCGACATTAATTTTGATTTTCCAGGTAATGAGCCAGGACTCCAAGTCTGTTAAATACAGCTGTAGGTGATTGAGAGTGGCATGTAGTGTTGAGTGCTGTGAGATGATGGCTGTGTCGTCTGCATAGAGTGCTAGATCGACACTTGGTGTTTGTGGTATGTCATTTACATACAAGTTGAAGAGCGTAGCGCTAAGAATTCCTCCCTGAGGCACCCCCGCCAGGATAGGACGAGGAGAAGAGACAGAATATTTAACTTTGACAGAAAAGGTACGGTTAGTGAGGTAAGAGTGCATTATGTGCACAAAATTTGCCGAAATTTCAAGTCGCATGAGCTTGAATAAAATTCCGATATGCCAACACCTGTCGAAAGCCTTTGCTACGTCTAAATAAACAATAGCTGTAGGCTTTCCACTGCGAGATCCTGTGTGAATGATTTCAACTACCCTCAGTAGCTGGGCCTGAGTTGAGTGTTTAGCACGAAAACCGAATTGCTGAGGAATAATAATATTTCGGTTTCGGCAGAAATCATTCAGGTATCTAAGCAGTATAGCTTCGTAAATTTTACTAAGTGAAGACAGGAGGCTGATCGGTCTATAATTTTGAGGGACCTTTGGGTCCATTCCAGGTTTTAGAATAGGAATGACTAATGCATTCTTCCAGCTATGAGGATAATATTTTAACCTTAGCATTGAGTTTATCAAAACTGCTAGGTAAAATATGAATTTAACTGGTAAATTTTTAATCATGCGATTAGAAATCCTATCCAGGCCAGGTGCTTTTGCAGGGGTGAGATTTTTGACAAAGGCAGAAATCTCAGTCATTGTTGTGGTGATGGGTTCCTCAGAAGTTGTATCTGAGGAGAGAAATTCTTCAACTTGGTGTTGGACTTCATGCGTGTGCTCTGCACAGGAATCGAACATGAGTCCAGTGTTTAGGTGAAAATTGTGTTTGAAGACTGTCCGCTATGCGTTCAGCCTTTTCAGTGTCTGTTAATGCCATCCGGTCATTGACCGTGCCCATTAGGGGGGGGAATGTCGTGTTTGGTTTGCGAAGCCGTGCGCTAGCAACCCAGAGGCTATTGTCAGAAGTCTTTAAGGACTTAAGATAAGTTTGCGTATTTTTCGTCTGTGTATTTCTTAATGTCAGACTTGATCTCATTCTGGATTCCTTCGCAGTTGCACTCGAAAGGTTTCCAAACGTGTATTTTGCCAATCTCTGCGAAGGCGGTTTTTAATTTTGATTTTATCTTTAATGAAGTCAGGTAATTTATAAGTAATTTGCCTGAATTTGGGTTTGGAAGCAGCCTGTAAACGCACTTCCCTAGGGTTTGGTTGAGCCTGTCAATGGCTAAGTCAACCTCCTGATTATCGTTAATTTTGATAGGGGGGAGAATACCATTTTCCAAAGACATACCGAAAGTTGTCCCAATTTGTCGAGACTTGCGCCGGTAAATTTTGATTGATTTTGGATGTTTTAAGGGTGAGGTGAACCGGATAATGGTCAGAGGACAATTCCGGAATCACTTTCGATCGAATAATCTAACTGGAATATTTTTAAATAAGGCCAAATCAATAATGGAAGGAGCACCTAACCCCCCAGGAAACTGGTAATGGGTAGGTGAGTTTTGGCGCAATAATTTGGATACGGGCGTCCTGAGCCCAAATTTTGAGTTTATCGCCATAGTTGTTGGCAGTGACACAATCCCAACTTCTATGACGGGCATTTAAATCTCCTGCGATAATCAGGTTATTTGCAACACCACTTAATTTTCTGAGATCAGAGATAAATGCAGGTCCCTGTCTCGGAGGCATATAGCAGGACGCTACTGCTATTGGGGGGGACAATTTTGGAATATGAATTTGAACTAATTAGTCGCTTCTAAGGCCTCCAGTGGTGGCGTGGGTATTCCTAGAATGCTTTAAGGGAGCGTTTTACATATATGCTAGTACCGCCACTAGCACGAACAGTGTCACTGATGCATACCTCTCTATCATTTCGGTAGCAGAAATAATTCGCGATGTTCGCGCTAAGTCCCTCAACCAGATGTGTCTCCTGAACGAGGAAGAGGTCCATGTGGTGCTCATTAATAAAATCCCGGACTTCGTGGATCTTGTTTTTTATTCCGTTGGCATTCCAGTAGGAGATCAGGAGAGAATCTTCACTAGGTGCACAGTTG